TAGTACAAAATTAGTACATAAATAGCACAAAATTATGGCACTATCAAAATGCTGATATCTTAAAAAGGGGGTGTAACTGCACGTCCAGCTACACCTCCCACTTTAACATACATAAAAAATATACTAAATGATTAATACAAAAATTTTTAATGTCGTACAAAATTAGTACATAAATATCACTAAATGATGGCACCATCAAAATGTTGATATCTTAAAAGGGTAGTGTAACTGAACGTCCAGCTACACCCCCACTTTGATATATATAAAAAAAGTACTAGATGATTAGCACAAAAATTTTTAATGTTGGCACTATCAAAATGCTGATATCTTGATAGGGGGGTTGTATATGGAGGGTGGGTTGTAACTGGACGTTCAGCTACACCCCCCATTTTGACATATTATATAAAAAAAAATACTAAGTGATTAGTACAAAATTTTTTAATGTAGTACAAAATTAGTACATAAATAGTACATAATTATAGTAGTATCAAAATGCTGATATTTTGAAAGGGGGGTGTAGCTATACGGACGTTGACCGTTGCGTTCGAATAGACAACTCTGGGATTACGCGGAGTTTTATTCTTAATACAGAACATCGCATAGAGAAACTCGAATTATACCCCGAATGTCGGGTTCGATCGATAATTGACGTTCATCGGTTTATATTTAAATACAGGGTGAGTTTTTTTGCATGTTTAGTATAGAGATCTTGAAAACTAGCGAAGATAGAGAGACGATTAAATAGGGAAAGAATTGCAGTTTCATAATAGTATATTATTATATGAGCATATAATGAAAGCTTATGTCACGAGCGTAGCGAGTGGCATAATTAACCTGAGTGAATAATAGCTCATTATATGCGAGTAGAATATTATACTTTGTCCACGACTATTGAAATTGAAAAAACCGTTTTTTGTTATATCGTTCGATACCTATGGCTCCGCTATTATTGATTTTAGGAAAAATGTGTAAAGAAAGATGTGTAGGGTATTACATGTTTAATAAAGCAGTGTAACTGATTTTTTTATTTAAGCAATAATTTTTGAGTTATGACACAAACTTGTAATTTTTCTAATGGAAACCATAGTTGACCAAGACTTTATAAAGAAGGCCTTTTCTCAACGATTCTAACGATATACCACTTGACATAGATATTTGTATTAATAAATAAATTATAGCCATTTATTCTTTTAATTTGCAAACTGTTTAGGTAGTATGCTATGGAAACAATTGATAGATACGTTCCCATGATTTCGTACCACTAGCTTATTAAGTGGTGGTGTCCCATCGCGTTGAAGCCATTTAATGACGTGTCTGCAGGAGTAATTTAAACATATTATCGAACTCGTTCTGTAGAAAGTGAAGATAATTATCTCCGTTTAAAGTATCATAAAAAATGTACGGACCAAGAATTCTTGAACAAATGACACCGCACCAAACATTAAATCCAAACTTAACTTGAGTCTATAATGTATCTATTATGTCTATTAAACATACTGCATTTTGTAAATTGTGCTTCATCTGTCCACAAAACTTTAATCGAAGCTATGATCAGCTTCACACATGTTAATAAACCACGTACAATATTCTACACGCTTATAGTAGTCATCTGGGGGTAGTGTTTGTGAAACTGCCATTTTATATGCATGAAATCTATGCTTTTTTAGTTCTCTTACGACAGTACGTTGTGACGTACCTGCTTTAGATGCAACTTGTGTTGAAACCGATGGATTCGTGTTAATACATTTACTTCTGCCTTGCATCTTTAGTTGGTTTACAGAAAGAACCATACTCGCCNCTGGGGGTAGTGTTTGTGAAACTGCCATTTTATATGAATGAAATCTATGCTTTTTTAGTTCTCTTACGACAGTACGTTGTGACGTGGCTCCTTCAGATGCAACTTGTGTTGAAACCGATGCATCTTGATGGATTCGTGCTAATACATTTACTTCTGTGTTGCATCTTTAGTTGGTTTACAGAAAGAACCATACTCGCCCAAATTATCAGCCTCTTCAAAGTAGGTAGAGAAGGCTGGCGACGATCAAAATACTTTTCTGCAGCTTGTATTGCATTTTTATAGCATAAAATGTAACACTCAATGATATCACGCTTTTATGGATTAGAAAAATTCATATTGATCTATCGTATCTATCAATTGTTTCCATAGCATACCATCGAGCATCCAGAGCTATAATTTATTTATTAATAAAAATATCTATGTCAAGTGGTATATCATTAGAATCGTTGAGAAAAGGCCTCTTTTATGAAGTCCTGGCCAACTATGGTTTCCATTAGAAAAATTACAAGTTTGTGTCATAACTCAAAAATTATTGCTTAAATAAAAAAATCTGTTAGGCTGCTGTATTAAACATGTAATACCCTACACATTTTTTCCTAAAATCAATAATAGCGGAGCCATAGGTATCGAACGATATAACAAAAAACGGGTTTTTCGAGATATCTAGTTAGCCATGCATTTCATCCAAAAAACAAAAAGCTCATTAAATTGAGTTCATGAAACTGCAATTCTTTTCCTATTTAATCGTNTCGAGTAGGGGTGTGTCTAGCACTGCTTCCCTCCAGAGTGTTGAACTGCTGCCAGCGTCCTCATCCTTCATAGTTCCTACTGATTGTAGTCGTTTCATGGTTACCAACGCCACTTCCTGGATATGTAGGTTGAGTGGTGGTAAATTTAACATGATTTCCATGGCCGCTGTGGGGGTTGATCGCAGCGCACCTGTAACATGCAGACACGCGAGTCTCTGTATTCTATTAAGCGCAGTGGTGGCGGTAGACTTATTGCTTAAATAAAAAAATCTGTTAGGCTGCTGTATTAAACATGTAATACCCTACACATTTTTTCTTTACACATTTTTCCTAAAATCAATAATAGCGGAGCCATAGGTATCGAACGATATAACAAAAAACGGTTTTTTCGAGATATCTAGTTAGCCATGCATTTCATCCAAAAAACAAAAAGCTCATTAAATTGAGTTCATGAAACTGCAATTCTTTTCCTATTTAATCGTCTCTCTATCTCCGCTAGTTTTCAAGATCTCTATACTAAACATGCAAAAAAACTCACCCTGTATGTACTGTTATCTATTAAACATATTCTATTAATAATATTACTTCAAAATATTTTTTTAGCGGAAATAAATTTTATTTTATTATTTCAAAATAAAAAAATTTAACATTATTAAAAATAATTAATTTAAAATATTTTGTCCGTTATATCCAAAGTCTGAGATCTTTTCAATACATTAGCTTTGTTCGTTGGGATTGCACTACTCTGCACGACATGGCACTCGTATGACGTCATAGTGCAATGAAGTGTAAGTCAGTACAATGTAATGTCAACTTAGTGCAGGTCAGAAAAGTGTATAAACCGTGGTCCCAACGAACAGATTTTTATAAAAAAAGTGTATAATATTTGAAATGGACGAACAGGAGATTGTCAGCGAAATACTCGTGGAAAATGAAATTATCGCAGAATGTTTTTTTAGTAGCGTTTTTTTAGTATTCATCAATTATTATTATTATTTTTTATTTTTTTCAATTATTAGCGAAATATATTTTCTATACCAAACTACTAACCCTTATTAGTTCTTTCAAAAGTACTACTTAACGTATAAAGAAATCACATGCTAAATTGCACCAAAATTGATAAGCAGTACTTGCAAAAAAAAATTTGGGGTGGTGAGGGTAGTTAACCCCAGCCACCCCTAAATGAGAAAAAACACATAATATTTTTAAATGTACTATAAGTGTATTTAATGCCGCCAAAATCGACAGGGTAGTTTTTAAATTATTCCAAAAAAGTAGGGGTAGTTTTCTACTGCCTCTACTGGGATTGAATATACTGTGTTCTCTAATACAACAAATATTAATTATTATAAGGTTTTATTTCTTAATATTTAATATTAATATTAATTATTACAAAACACGTTTTTAAATATTCCGCCATTTTAGTTACACTGCACTTATTGAACTTAATCGAAAGCAGGTGCAACAAAATCTGCACTAACTTGCACCGGCTGCACTAAATTGCACTGCACCTGGCCCAACGAACAGTATGAGTGCAACTGCACTAAACTGCACTATCCCCAACGAACACACAACATCTGCACTAAACTGCATAGTGCAAGTGAGTGCAAGTAGTGCAGTCTCAACGAACAAAGCTATTGACTCGGTCCAAATTGATGACAGTAAACTGTTCTTTCTTATTTTTTTCTTATCTTATTTACTTTGCTTTATTTGTATTTCTGTAAATGTCATCAGTAAATAAATAAATAAAATAAAAACATGCACCGAACACATCTATACGCGTCTATTTTTCAACATTTACCGTTGTATTGACCCCATTTGGGTCTCCAGGTGATTAGGGTGTATGTATTTGTTTCGGATAAGATTTAAACTATTTTTAGTTTAAAATTACTAATTTATTTTAGTTATTACATGTCTTGTGTTCGTTAAAACTATGTGGCTACGAATGCTTTTCGCTTAGAATTATTGACTACTCATATATTTCATTTGCGCCAACAATTCTATTGCTCAGCGTTATTGTAACCACGCGCCGATGGCCAAAGTGTAACTTAACACTTCCGATGGCCAAAGTGTAACTTAACACTTCCGATGGCGAGGTGCATTGGACTTTACTTGAACTCGATAATTTAATAAAACTGTTTAATTGGCAACTTATTATTATTATAATAACAATAATTTATGTAACTTTGAATATTAAAATATGTCCATCACACCGTGTCTCTGAGGTAAAACCTAAGATTTACCAAGTGGATGGTGGTAAAAGTTTGAAATGAACGGTGCTCACAGAACATTTTGCACTTTTACTATTCAGAGTTGGTAAATGTTAGGTTTCACTGGAAAATGTTAGGATTTACCGCATTTACAGTAACATATACATTTCATATGGATTCTAATTGTATAAGATTTTTGTAATTATTGCTGAAATTAGATATATTAATGTGTGACTGTTTTAGATCCAAATATACCAGAATCGGGCGAGCAGAGGTCGAAGTCGTCGCAAGGAGACGAAGACTGCTGCTACACGCACTGCGGCACACCCGGCCGGGGCCTGTGCGCGAAATGTGCGAATGCGTCGTCGGTATCGGCTTTGGGGGGCATCGTGACGCCGGCCTGGGTGCAGTGCGCGTCCCCGGCGGCCCAGAGGACGCCGCCGTGCAGGGCCGCCTCGTCGGGGGCACAAACGACTCATAACCGTAAAGTGGTGCACCCATTGTGGACCGCATGGATTATACTCATTCACACGCAGACGATTATCGACTTGTTCAAATGTTTGTTAGCCGTGTGCGCGACCAGTGTTAGGAGGAGGACAATGTTATTCGCCTTGATGATGACGAGAAGAAGAAGAAGAAGGAGGAGGCGCGAGAGAACGAGGCGACGCCGAACGCCAAAAAGGAGGAGAAGACGAAACGGGAAACCAACAACGTCTTCGTCGTGGTCATAGAATTAGGGGAATTAGGCAATATGTGTTCTGTCCGCCCGCGATCACGTCCTGGTCGACCGACGTGGTGCCCCATAGCTCTATTCGAAGTCCCTTTTATTACGACCGGCATTTAGTACTAAGCCCAATTGACCGGAAAACACGTTGGACGATAGCCAATCCAATCGAATCCTTCAACACAAACACCACAGTTGAGATTCCAAATCAAAATGAAAAATCATTTTAAGGAAAAACAAATCACCCCAAAACTAAATAAATAAATTAATTAAAAAATCGGTGAACCCGGCGAACATTAAATCCTAAATTTACAACTTCAAATAACATACAAACCAAAATACGCCATTTACCGAATACAAACATTCGTGTCGGTGTAATACATTTGTCGTGTTAATCAATATTTTATATTGAATTACATTACCACTCATTCATTTTGGTGAAATACGTCGAAACATGCTTTTATTTATAAAAGCATTTTCTAAATGGATTCGATTAGGTTGGTTGACGCAAAAAAAAAGTACGTAGTGAAATGAGGCCTCATCGAAGGTCGATCAACCGAACGGGTGGACCAATTAGAAGAAAAAAATATCTTCACGCACATAGAATATGTTTAGGACTGCAAAAATGCGAATGGAATCGACGGAACGCCGATCTGAGCACGTCAATTACTTGTAATTTCCGATTTTAAAAATAATAATCGTTAAGATATCCCCGCAACACTCACAAAAATACACCGAATCACCATCCAGTTTTTTAAAAATAACAAAAAAAAAATTTTAACGCGGCGTTCCGTCGAAATCGCGTTCACCAATTCGGCTGTTGCGAAGTTAAAAAAAATAAATTTCTGAGCGGCGACGAACACGAAAAAAATAAAAAAAATAAAAACGAACTTTCAAAAAGTGAACTATAATTGTTAACGTTTACGAAACGTCGAAAGGTTTGTTGACTTTTTCGGTACTAAACGACGACTATGTTGCAATATTTTATCGTGTGTGCAAAATGGTTTTTCTTACAAAAAAAAGTATATTGTAGTGATCCACGCGCCGATCTGTGAGGTTTTTTACGGTGAGGTTATAACAGTGATATAATGTTTCTAATCGACGATAAAACGTATGTCTTTTAAGCCGTACTCGTTGTGCTATTTGCACAAAATTATTTTATTTCATTTACATTGTTGATTTTATTTAAAGAACCTAAAAACGATGGCAAAATATTTTTTATCGTCGTTATCAAAAAAAAAAAAGATTGTAATTGGTACTGATGTCAGAGATATTAACAATATCATTAAGATTATCAATACATAAAACAATAATTCCGAAAAATTTTAAAAATAAACAGCAATAAAACAAGTTTTTTTATTGAAACTACTAATCACGAATATTTTTATATGTGACCGTCTAAAAGAAAACCGATTATTTTAAGAAACGATATCATTTTATAAATTTCATGAAAAATTTCAAGTTTTGAATTTGTATGCAAGTCGCTATGTTACATCGAAATTATTTTAAAATGTAATGTGGTGAGAAAAAATCTTTTCTGCTATTATCTAATGAGTTGTTGTAGTAGTTATAGTTTTGTTATGTAAGAGCAGTTACAACACCCAATAGACTGGGTGAACAATGCACATTGGGTCACAGGGTTTTTCCACCTGTTAATAAACCAAAGAATAATCTGTTGCAGTATATGATAACAAGAATTGTTCTTTGATCACATACATTTCTTGAAAAGTAACCCAGTTTTGTATGTTTACATTATCATTAAAAATTCATGATCTAACTTTGCGTTTATAAGTCTTCATTTAAAACTTGATGATCTTAAGATCTAAAAGCTATATCACATTTCTAATTGGACATACCCCATCTCCACATTACTTGTAATTTTTTCTTAATGTCTTCAATGAACATCCTGATGTGCTAATTTTTGAAAATCGTTCATTAACGTTCTATTTATTTGCTATACATTAAACTTGCAATTGCTATTGCAACCTTAAATTTATCATTATTATTAATGATATGTTGCTCTAAAAATCATTTTAACAACATTAAAATCTAATTGAGTTCATATTTCACTAAGATTCAGATGATGGGCTGGCAAAAATAATACTTAGACTAATCTATGAAAATATCTCGTGAGATTCAAGCTTTCTTGTCCCACTTTCAAGAACCTGACGCAGTGTCTCTCATTGATCCTGAGACATTGCTCCATAACATCTCTATTTTTTTTCAAATTTAAAACCAGAAGTTGAGCGTTCTTCCCGAGAAAGCAATGTTCATGCTGATAAAGTCGTCTCAGTAATGTTGAAAATTGAGTCCGGAGAATAGTCGTGTTCTACTTAACCTAAAACTCCTTGGAAAAAAGAGCTGCCATAACACCTACTCTTCATCACATACCTTTCTGCCAGTTACTCCATCAGTTTACCATAAAAATCCAAAAAATTAATTAAACCTAGTAGGAGTTAGTACTAATAACTCCTTAGCGAACTTCTTCAAAGATAGTAGATGTTTGCTCTTTGAAAATCATTTTTGTTTATAACGAAATCGTTGATTGCTTTTAAGTTTAGTATCAGGAAAAAATCATCAGTGACCACTATGTTGTTTCCAGCTACAGTTTTGTGGTTATAAAATAGGAAATGATGAATCTGTGGTATTCTAATTTTCATAGAAATTATCTATTTTATCATCATAATACACTGATTAACTCACAAATTCTTAAATTATTTGGGAACATAATAACCTTATTATAAATTATTTATTTAGAGGCCTAGGCTTAACACTTTTATTTTCTGTTGGCAGTTAATAAATAAATGTTGTTGGCATAATTCTTCTGTGTCAGAGTAAAAAATGTGATATCCTGATCGCATGTTCAAATATCTGCAGTTTTTATCGATGTTATACCGATTGCAGGCTTAAATTAAGCTAAATCTGCCAAACACATGAATTTCGCGTTATTTTAATGTTACAAACAACTTGTCAAACAATCAAAGCTGTTTCTGTACAACAGTTTAAGATTAAGAAGAGTGTTTTGATTTAAGCACTTCCTTCTTATTCATAAGTACAAAAAATATACATATATACTTGAAATTTAGGAGTTTCTTTGACATAAAAGAATTTCTGTTTAGATCTTTTACGTTTTTATAATGACAATATGTTCTTTGTTTAAAAACATCAATTCTGATAAAATGATTGATGTCGTTTTTGGGCTAGATTTCTAATAGTTCTGCTTATCATACTCAAACCTTTTTTATACCAATGAATATATTTTTGTACCTACGCATGGCAATTTCATGATTTTCTCATCTTACAATTGTTGAAAGCACTATATCGTATTCTAGTTTCATGATTTCAGCATGTATTGAGCAGCAAGTCCTCATTGAGTTCGTTGGGCTCCTTCCAAAATTCATTCTCGCCACCAGTCATTCACACTAACATGCCTACAGAGTTCCGGAAAGGGTAGGATATCTCTCAGAAGCACTCATTCTGAGTCCGGCCAAAGAGGGATAGACATGCAACATGTGTTCTATTGTGTTCATTTAACTTGGAAATTCAATAAAAACAGAAATCAATATCTTATTATTGAAGGATATTTTAGACATTTTTTTTTGTAAGATATTAACTCGTGCTGCAGTTCAAAAGTATAACAGTTGACTTGACATACATAACAGTTTTTATACATCAGCAGGAATGGTTATTCAGATAAGATATAAAAATTTACTTATAGTTGATTGTTGGTTTTTGGTTTAGTTCCTTTCTTACTTTTCTGTTTCTAATTATATCTCTTCTGGGCTTTTTCTGGGCACATCTTTTTTTCTTTCAGGTACAAGTATTCTTGATGTAATCTTTTTAATCGTTTTCCATGATATTTACCAGAGTAGAAGAAGGTTCTTTCATAATATTTCTCTTTGACCTATTATATAGTGTTGATTTTCATCTCTTTTGCTTCTAATTTTTTTTGCTAGATGGTTATATATCGTTTTCACGTTGATGCGTTACTGGTTAAGTAGCTGATTTAAGGTCTTGGATCCTGCACGAATTGAGAACATTATCGTGATAATGTTCCTCTAGTTTCGTTTTTGATTTTTTCGTTTCGCGATTCTCGGTACAAGGGAAAAAGGTTTTTGATGATGCTCTTATTCATACCTATCACCTTGGGGATGGTTTATACTTCTTCAAGTGGTGTCCAAATATGATGTTGTAGTACTTGGTCGAATGCAGCTTTATGATTTAGAAAGACCAAGAATATTTCTTTTTTATTCATAATTTTGTTTTCCATTATGTTTATCAACGTTGTTATCTCTAACAGCTTTTCCGTTTCATTTTGATTTTAGAGCTTGCTTTATTTCTCGTTTTTCCTTTTCTTTGCGTTCTTTGCCTTGATACATATTGTAATAGTTTGCCAAACTTTTAGCACTTATTTGGTCTCTCATCGCTTTATTTTTCTTCTAACGTGTTACCATTAGTCATTAGGCGACTACTTAGTAGCATGTTTTTAATTCAAATCTATGTTTCCAGTTATAAACCTGGTTCAAGAAAATTCATGGTTGATTCGTGGTTTTACAAACAAGATGGAACGCTGTTACTGCATTTGATAACACTGGACCTACATTGTCAAAACATTATCTTCAGATTAATAAGTGCTCAATCATACTAATATCATTGCTAAATTACAGATGTTGTCTACTTTAAAAATGTGTGGCAATGACATCTATTTAAACGCTGTTTGATTAACTCATGAAGCGTGGTCTTTATGCCAACTCTTCCTAAAATGATAGTTGATCAGACCTAGCTGTAAAATCTTATTGCAAATTTCAATTATCTTGGTTTACTCATTTAAGCAACCAAATCCAATCGCCATTAGCTTAATTACAAAGATTTACAAGTTTCTTTTTAAAACGAAATAAAAGGCAGTAAGTAACATTCTTTCATGATATTGCTGATTAATGTTTGAGCATAGTAATAAGTATTTTAATTTAATCGTATTCTATTCGCGATTGTTGTACGATCTGTTTCATATTGCTCAACGTACTTGTACTTTTTTTATTTCATTACACATAAATATCCATGAAAGAGCAACTTGGCACAACTGATTTTCATCTCTTTTGCTTCTAAATTTCTTTGCTGGATGGTTATATCGTTTTGACGTTGATGCGTTACTGGTTAAGTAGCTGATTTAAGGTTTTGGATCCTGCACGAATTGAGAACATTATCGTGGTAGTGTTCATCTAGTTTCGTTTTCGCTCCCTTATTGATTGAGCGAACCCAAGTGGAAGACAAAAAGATTTTTGATGATTTATTTATTGCTCTTATTTATTTCTATCACCTTGGGGATGGTTTATACTTCGTCAAGTGGTGTCCAAATATGTTGCTGTGGTACTTGGTCGAATGCAGCTTTATGATTTAGGAAGACCAACAATATTTCTTTTTTATTTCCGTTTCATTTTGATTTTAGAGCTTGTTTTATTTCTCCTTGTTCCTTTTCTTTGCGTTGATACATATTGTACTAGTTTTGCCAAACTTTTAGCACTTATTTGATCTCTCACCGCTTTATTTTTCTTCTAACGTCTTACCATTGGTCATTAGGCGAGTAGGAGCTGTTTTTCATTCAAATCTATGTTGTCAGTTATAAACCTGGTTCAAGAAAATTCATGGTTAATTCATGGATCTGCAGATTAATTAGTGCTCAATCATTGCTAAATTACAGGTGTACTAGAGTTACTATTTGATTAATACTTTACGCCAACTCTTTCTAAAATGATAGTTGATCAGATCTGTGTATGTTATAATCCATATCAGTATCTGATTCTCACTAATTGTGCAACTCTTTCAATCATTAATAACTCGTTCGATTATAACAAGAATATTTGCGTGTCCTTTATTTTTCAAAGATTATAATTCTGGCTGTAAAATCTTTTTGCAAATTTCAATTATCTTGGTTTACTCATTTAAGCAAGCCAGTCCAATCGCAATTAGCTTAATTACTAAGATTTCAGCGAAATTCTTCCAGAGCGTTGTCAATTAACATAATTGTCTCAACATAGCTACGTTTCGGTGATACATGTTCCTTTTTAAAGCGAAATAAAAGGCAGTAAGCAACATTCTTTCATGATATTGCCGATTAATCTCAAACACGTACTTGCACTTATTTGATTTTGACATTTAGTAATTATTTCCTACTAAGCTCTACAATATGTTAGAATCAATATCATGTATTGTAGAGTATACAAAGCTAATTAAGTTGGGAATATGTTTTACATGAACATTTGTACTGGTTTTATTTAGTTAATTTATATTTAATCGATTATTTAATTTCCCACTGAACAGTACGGTATATTAATGCATTGCATCTTTTCGATAGAAAATGGCAAAAATAGTCTAAATCAGTGGTTGTTGTGATAAGAATTCATAGAGTGAACGGTTTTTTTTTTCATTTGGACGGTTATATATAATGATAATCTTAAGGATATTGTAATAATCATAAGAAATTGTGTTTAAGAATCCAACTACCATTAGTTACTACGACGTACGGCATAATATAGCATATTAAAACGCAGATCGACAAAAAAAATATTGTTAAATGTGTCATCCCGTAGAAATATGGAGAGTAGCCAGTGGTTTCTGAGAAAAAATAACCAGTAGCGATTATTAATTATCTTCTATAGGAAAAAAATGAGTAAAAAAACAGAGCGAGAAAAGGGAGCATGAGTACTTTGAACAAAGAGAAAACACCACACTTTTAGTTCAGTGTTTCTGACTGCCACCAAACCAAAAAAAATAAATAAATAAATAATTAAAGAGTGCGTAGTGATATTATATTATTATTAAAAAAATAACTATAATGATAAAAAGGAAAATAAGAGTCTCTAGTAATTATTTTAAAAAATTGCGAAATATGTAAGGGTTAAGAAAGCTCCAGACGCACCCGAAACGGCACAATTTCTTCATATCAAGCAGAAAAAACACTACCGTGTCGTTTACACCTGTTAATTTCTTAAGGGTGACTTTTAAATTGGCGAGATTTAACGATGTAAATCGTGTCATTTTACAATTTTAATCATTTTAGAACGAAATCCATCGAAAAAAAATTTTACCAAAACGATTACATCGTAAAATCCCAAAACAAAAAAAATAGGCGAAGGCAAACCGTCGACTTAAACTAAAAAAAAATGAATAAATTTCGTGATATGAAAATAAAAATTAAAAAAAAATAAAATAATAGTATTAGTATTCGCGATTTTGTAATAATAATTTTTATCAGGGTAAAAATACTTTGTCAACTTGTTAAAAAAAAAATAATGCTCACACAGTCGGCGGTCTGCCGGAAAAATTTTGTTGAATATCACTTAGCTTACGTGTTTTCTGAAAAATAAAAAAAAAACAAAAACCCATTGCCCGTTGCGACCGCAGCCAAAAAAAAAATAATAAAAATAAAAGATATATACGAACGAAACTTTCTTTTTGTACCAACGGCGGCCGCTGCGAGCAACAAGTTCGACTTTTATATGAAAAAAGTTTTAAGAAATCGTAGCCAAAAAAACTGTGTTGTTCCGTTTACTTTATTTCGTTTTTTAACGAAAGAATAAAAAAAAATTATTAAAACAACATCAACAAAAACGCGAAAACGGTCCACGTTGTACTAAACACGAAGAAGATAAAAAGAATAATGGGTGAATTAAAAAAAAAAAATAACAAACGCGAAAATATATGATAAATGTGGAAATGTTTTAGTACAGAAATCAAAATATATAAATATATATATTAAAAAAAAAGAGAAGAAAAAAAGTATTAAGAAAAAAAAATAATAAACACTATGGGACATTTGGGAACGATTCTCGTAGTTTCTAAATAGATTCGTCCGCAACGCGCAAAGTGTCGCTAGTGGTCAAAGTGTTACTAGCTGTGTTCGTTAGTGGTTTCTGCAAAATGCTACGAGGTTTAGAAGGCGCCCTCACAGGACGAGCCTAAGTAGGTGAAAAACACGAAGATATAAGATATTAATGGAGCACCAACCAAAATGTAAATGTAAAGTGTCTCCGAGCCTTAACGCGCAATACGGATATTAAAAAAAACGACATATTTTTAGACGTAGATTTTTTTATTTGTTATTATTACTAATTTTTTAATTTTTGCTAAACGATAAAAAAAAACTTTTTAATAACTTAAATTCGTCATTTCTTAGGCTCGATCTAGATGGGGGCGCCCCCTTACCAACGTTACTTTTCGATTTTTACAATTATAACGTTTCCAACCAAAAATAACTAGATTATAATTTTCATAATTTCACAATAGTTTTTTATCATCATTAAAATTGTTTCGATTTAAATATACTTTTTAGTTTTATCTGCAATAAACGCACATTTTGTGAACGTGTACTTATATCTGACCTGAATTACAAAAAAAAAAGAATACGATTAAATATTGTATTTAGCGAAATTCTTATGATTTTTACAAAAAAAAATATAAAAAAAAATGTACAGCACAATATTTGTATTTTATAAGAACTTTTTATGAAATAAGAAAAAAATGATTTTTTTAAAATAACTTGCTAAAAGGTTTATTATTTTTATTTCATAAAAAGTTTCTTATAATACTCATAAAAAAACGAATGTAATTAAAAGACATTTATCTTAAAAAATATCTTGATAAATGTCTTATTAATGAAAAAAACTTTTTTTTTGGGCCACCGACTGTGAAATTAATAATTCGCGACCGCCTAATCAATCTCATTTTGTGAAAAATATTTTCTGATAAATGACAAAAATTTTTTTAAATTCTGATTTAGAAAACTCACTTCTTTATCATACAGTGAAAGCTCTAATAAGCGAACTTACATTACTTTTGTCCACTTATCAGAGATGTCCGCTTATGAGACAAGACTTCTAGTTTTGCCTAATTTTGTCAGCTAGGATAGCAAGCTAGATAAATGTCCTGGTTTGCTGCCTCGCTTAGAAGATGCTAGTGCTATTTACATGATGCCAGTAATTTCAACCAGTACCATTGCAGACTGTTGACGGTATTTTTTACTTCTTTGGTTTTCATTTGTATATCCATTGTTAATAATTCGCCACATATTTTTTGTAGTGCTGAATCTCGCATACGTTTGTCTTTATAAGACGAAATGGCAGCGTTCCATAGATATTCCTAAACCCAACCCAACCCAGGACAGCGAAATCAGTAGTAGGGGAAGCTTACTAGCTTTAAAAATAGAACGGCAAGCTATTAAACTATCCTGGCTTCAAACATTAGCTTTCTAGCCTAGAATAAAGCTAGGTTTGTATACACAAAGATAGATGCACTAGCTTGATAGCTTACTAGTACTAGCTTGCTATCTTAGCTTACAAAACTAGGATCATGTATCCCTGGAATATATGAATCCTAGCCATCCTCTTCCAGCTCGTCGTTCCGAGAATCTCCTGACCGTCCTTCGTTACGCTGTCTCCCCATCTTGCTTTTTCATTTCTCTGTGGATATTTCGAGATCCTATGATAGGTAACAGAAACTAGAATACGCGGTTTCCGTTTGGCTATTCGTCTTTGTATTTCCTGGATCTCATCGTTCTGTGTAATTACGTTGCTGCCCAGGTAGTTGAAGTGGTACAAGTCCACCACTTCAAAGTTGTAATCCCTAATCGTAACGCTCTGCCCGGATCTTCATCTCCTGCTCTGGGTCAAGAGTTTAGTTTTGTCCTCGTTGATCCTTAGACCAACCTCTCTACTGGCGATTTCGAGGTTTCCATAGATTTCTTTGACCACCTGCATTGATCTGCCTTAGATCGTTTGCATATCCCACCACTTGTACAGATTTGTTCATCAAGGTAGAGTCCAGATCGACTCCAGTTGTTCTCATAATATATTCGAGTGATATGTTGAAGAGTATGGGTGCTGCTAATCCGTCTCCTTGTTTCAATCCCGAGGACACTTTGAATTCGCTTGACAGTTCCCCTTATACTTTCACTCAGCATGTGCTATCTGACATTGTGCATTTAACAGTACAGTTTGTTTCTGTCAACGTTGTCATATATTTGTTTGAAGTCTATAAAGAGCTGGTGGAACTCCCAAAATTTTTCATTCCTCAAAATTCAACCCAACCCTAAAGCCCGCTGAGAAAAGACTACTCAAATTAAAGTACATACACATAATATGTATTATCATTCTTGAATAACGAATGATTTTAGTTGGAAATTATATTCAATGCTTCTTTATAACATGTGATTGAAAATTCCTAGTCTCTAACAGTTAAATATTCTTCTGCTGTTTTTACATTATGTATCTCCAGTTCTTTACTACATTTATGCAAATCAAGTGGTACATTATTTTCAACATCTTACTCACTGTCAGTTGAACTTCCTTGATCGATCAAGCTTGTTAAAACAATTTCCAATTGTCTCTGTGACTTTCTACTACGCAGATTTAATAAAATGTAAGCTGTCTTATATATAAATCAAAAAATTGGCATCTTTGGAAGCAACATTTTCTAAAATTATTTCTAAAACCCCACTTTTGTAACCACCCATGCTTCATTTCCTTTGCTTTTTTTCGCTACAAATGGTTCTGATAGTGCAATATTTTGATTTATAATTTTCACAAACCATTCCAAACAGAATTTGTCGATTTTTGAACCATCACTACACAAAAATTTATCTCCGTTTTTACACTGACTCCAAACTGCCATTTCAATTGGAAGATTTTCTTTATCTTTGACAATTTTTGCCGCTTGTGGTTTCCCGATTTCAAATTTTTTAGCAATATCATGACAACTTTTCTTTATGTAATAAACTCACTATTTCCATTTTCTCCGTTAACATAAGTATCTGTTTCTTTACCACCTTTGAAACCATTTGAACGCATATTATACGCAAACGAACAATTTAATAAAAGAACTCGTAAATTAAGGAATCCCCGAACAGATGTCGGTAAATATCTACTACAGATTACTTCGATATATTCCGCGTCCATTTATGTATTAGAAATATTTGCCGTGAGTTGTTCGCTTCGTTAATCTTGCTTTTTACATTCCAATCACCGAGTTAACACAAAAATATATAAAACCATCAAAATTAATAAAAAAAATGTTTTGTACCCCTCCATGATTCTTTGTTTCCATTTCATATAAAACAGAGAAATTAAATGAAAAGAAGAAGCCTGTTTAATTAAAAAGTTCTGTAATATTTTCCGTCTCTACATAAAATATAAATCTATTGGCACTTTGCCAATAAATTATTAGAGGTGACTAACTGCAGTGTTGGGTTGATTCTTGGCGGGGTTTATTGACCTGGTAGTAATATCGTGTAATTTGACACACTTTGTGGCTGAATCACTCCTTAACTTATATTAACTTGCGTCTTCCAGTACCCCATCTAGAGATATTGACTGTAGAAATTACATGAACCTCGATCTCACAACGATTTAGTCCGGATGTTATTAACAACTAAAGGATCTTTGAACTCTTAGTATTTTGTTTATATTTCCAAAGGGAGGATTTTAAAAAACAAAATGTTAAAAATTTAAATCTTTAAAAACCTTATATTAATGGAACAAACTGAGAGAAATGAAGTTCATCAAAGTAACATCTTTCGTAGTTACAGGACTTGGTTTCATTGTAATTCCTTCATATTCAAAAAGCCTCTTTCTCTACTCTTTGTTAGATTGTGGAATTATTCACTTCAAGTCTTTAGGTGATGTTTCTATTGGTGTAGAGTGCTGGGTTACATATAATAGAGAAATTAGTACTCCTTATGTTCCAGCATCTCTTCAATAAACTCATCACACGTCTTTATCTCTCACCCTTCCATCTCCACTTTCGATTTTTGTCATTTCCTCATTGTACATGTTGAAATCTAAATGGGAATTCCCTTGCTTACGTTAACCATAACTCGTTCGATTATCCCTTCATTGATAACACTCCTTTCTTATTTTCCTAATTGAAAGTAGAATGCTTTAACTTGCCATTACATTTTTTTACCTTCCTCCGCTTAGTTATGATCTTCTTTAATCTTGCATACAAATTGAGCAGAATTGGTTTTTGAATTTTTTGAAACAACGTTCCTTGCTACATCTGATAAGTTATGCATATCATTAACATCTAATACTTTTTTATAGTTCTGTCCTTTCCAGATGGTAACTATTAACGAGTTTAATTGAATTACTTCAAAACTGTTTTTCTCCAAAATGTATACATTAAACATATAAGTCTTTATACATCATTTTAAAGACGACATTTTGAGCTTTAATTTGCAGTATGAATCGTTTTATAGTTATTGCAATTAAGGCAGATATGATTTTTTGAATTTAATTTAGTTTGCAAATTAACACTTTTTTTACAATTACTTCAAAATTCCATTTTTCCAAAATTTACATCAAAGATATAATTCTTTATATATCATTTTAAAGAAGATATTTTGAGCTTTAATTTGCAGTGTAAATAGTTTTATAATTGTTGCAATTAAGGCAGATATGATTTTTTGAATTTCATTTCGTTTGTAAATCACCACCCTTTTTACAACAATTACTTCAAAACTGTTTTTCTCCAAAATTTATATATTCAACATATAATTCTTGATACATCATTTTAAAGACGACGTTTTGAGCTTTAATTTGCAGTATGGATCGTTCTATAATTATTACAATTAAGGAAAATATGATTTTTTGAATTTAATTTAGTTTGCAAATTAACACCTTTTTTACAACAATTACTTCAAATCTGTTTTTCTCCAAAATTTATACATTAAACATATAATTCTTTATACATCATTTTAAAGAAGACATTTTGAGCTTTAATTTGCAGTATAAATCGTTTTATTATTATTGCAATTAAGGCAGATATGATTTTTTGAATTTCATTTTGTTTGCAAATCACCACCCTTTTTACAACAATTACTTCAAATGTGTTTTTCTCCAAAATTTATACATTATACATATAATTCTTTATACATCATTTTAAAGACGACATTTTAAGCTTTCATTTGCAGTATGAATCGTTTTATAATTATTGCAATTAAGGCAGATATGATTTTTTGAATTTAATTTAGTTTCCAAATCACCACTCTTTTTACAACAATTACTTCAAAAGGATTTTTCTCCAAAATTTATACATTAAACATACGATTTTTTATACATCATTTTAAAGAAGACATTTTAAGCTTTAATTTACAGTATGAATCGTTTTATAATTGTTGCAATTAAGGCAGATATGATTTTTTGAATTTAATATAGTTTGAAAATCACCACTATTACTTCAAAACCGTTTTTCTCCAAAATTTATACATTAAACATGTAATTCTTTATACATCATTTTAAAGAAGGCATTTTAAGCTTTAATTTGCAGTATGAATCGTTTTATAATTATTGCAATCAAGGCAGATATGATTTTTTGAATTTAATTTACTTTGCAAATCACCACTCTTTTTACAACAATTACTTCAAAACTCTTTTTTCCAAGATTTATACATCAAACATATAATTCTTTAGACATCATTTTATATTTTCATTTTAGGTTCCAATTTTTGGTTTGTATTTGCAGTGGCTATTCCCTTTCTCTCTTTATCTAATAACAGTTATAGACCTTGTCTTGTCCTTCATGGGTCGTGTTTCGCTCAAATTGAGGTTGTACTTCCTCCCAAGCTTTTTTTCTTCAATTGTTGTTATTCGGATTTTTTTCTGATTCAAAAGCATTAGTCAAGTTCAATCTGTTCACCAAATTCCATCCAAACTCTTGGGCATGCCTAATATCTGCATTATCACTTCTATTTATATGAAAGTCAAACCATCTAAATCTTTAAAGAAAAGTTACTTATATATTTTTGTCATTTATCAAAAATTTTCACATGACGTAGATTAGTAGTCATGAAATACAATAATTTCGCACGATTTCCCAAAAAAGATCAATTGGTACATATACACTTCTTACAGCTCAAAACGTATTAAAAAAATGAAATAAACAAATGCCTTCAACAATGCAAAATAGATTCTATTCATGAAAATAGGATCGAACGGTACAAAAGTAAAAAAAAAGAAATTCAGCTCTAAAAAAAATGTGTAAAATGTATAATAATTTATATGTTGTACACAGGTGTCCCGAAAAAAAACCGAAATCTTCCCTGTAGACGCACAAAAAAGAAGTTTACGAAAAACAAAACGATAAACGATATATTAAAAAAGAGTAAATATAAATAGGAGAAAAAAATTGAGATAAAAATAAATAAAACCGCTCTGCTTTGCATTGTTGTAATTGTTGTTAATGTTATTAACTGTCGTTGTTGCTAGAGGATAGACGTTGTTGTTGGTTAAAACACGAAAAATATATAGCGATGTGTTATTGTTTTTGCGTTTACAAAAAAAAAATAAATAAAAAGCTCTCACACTCACGCAGACGATGATGATGATGAGTTTTTTTTTCTATAACGATGATCTCGAAATATGTATAATAAAGAAACGCGTAAAGAAAAACTAAAATATTAATTAAAAAAGTATTATTGTATATGTCCATAGGTACTAATAAAAAGGGTAGCCTAGGCAGCCGTAGATCCGTCTTGTATAAAATTTAAATAAATTACAAAAATTAAAAAAAATGTGGGAGTCTGAATGCTCTTAGATGAAGAGAATAATGCTGGATGGTTAATTTCCAATTTAAGATACGATTTAATTATAAATAAATCTCCCCATCTAAAATCATTCAAAATAAAACATTTTTTTTAATAATTTAAAATCGAAAATTTCCGAGTTAAATGTTATGATGCTACGGCTTAGTGCTAAAAAACTAATAGAAAAAGCTTAGAGAAAGATATTAAAGCAAAAAGTTTAAAATTTTTATTATTAACTAATTTAATTTGTTAACTTCACTGCGCCATACATCGTATGAACGGTTGCGTGTTTTTTATATAGGAGAAGTAAAGCAAAAATTACTTAAACAAAAAAAAACTCAACTTGTTGTTATGTGTAAATACAATATACATAAATATATTTATATAATATACTTATAGCTGTATACAATTTAATAAAAAAATAGCGTCTAAGTACCTAAGGATATTGACTGGCAGTGCCAAGTAAAAAAATTAATTTAAAAACTTGTTTTGTTATAAACAACGGTGATGTTGTAAGTGTAAATAAATTTGAGTGTTTTATTATTTATAAAACCAAAAAAATCTGATAAGAAAAAACCCTGTATACATAGGTGTGTAGACTTTTAATACATTTATTAAGTACATAAGTGTGTATGTGAATGTGTAAAGAAATATTACAGTGTATAACTCAAATTGGGCAATATTATTCGTTATTAACTTTTACAATTTCTTGGTTACATTTATACCATGTAATCAAAAATTACTCAAAATTCTTAAATAATCTTGATAATATTTATAATTTTCTGTTCCAATAATTCATTTCTTTTTTGATAATATAACTGTAATATTTTTCTTTGACAAATTTCACTTGGTCTCATAACACCAAATAAATGGTAGAAAAATATCTTGTAAAGGTCAGATATTTGTACGTTGTTTTCGTTCACAGTATCGCAAAACTCCATTCATCGTTAAATATCTTCTCAAATAAACACACACAAAACTCACACTCACTCTCTTTCTCAAAAAAAGCTCTCTGAAATGGCAGAAAAATAGCGAAATAAAGGGAGTATTTTTGTTTTGGGAACGTTAACAAATTTTAAACAAATTGTATGGACACCTAAGTTAAAAGTTGCAGGAATTTACAATTAAGAATTAAATCAATAAGAATCATGGCATTGAGTTAAGATATTGAGACGTCTTTTTTATTAGTGAAATTATTATATTACTGAAAAACGATTAAATAAAAAATTTAAACAAGTCCTGATTAATGTTGTTGATAGTAGAGTTGACAATAAAGTGCATTTCGGGAGTGTTTCGTTAATTTAATATATTTAAATATGTAAAAATCTTTTTTAAATTTAAATTTTCAAATCTAGTTCCTTTTTTAGTAACTTTCATTTTCTTAAGTTGTCAATTCACTAATATGACAAATACCAAAAAGTGAGGTTAATCGTATTTATCGAAAAAATCTTAAATACACCTCCAAAAATCCCAAATAAATCATAATATGTCAGCAAAATTCACAGAAGAAGAACTTACATTAGCACCATGTCAATATGAATGTAAGTTTTTGTAAAAATCAATAAAATTTTAATTTATAGGTTATGTTTCCCATTTTTCAGATTTAGATCATACAGCGGATGTACAGTAAGTTTTATTAACATCTTCTCATAATAGTTTTTTTAAAACAATCTTTTTTAGAATCCATGCTTGGGGTTCAAATTTAAAAGAAGCATTCGAACAATGTGGTATTGCAATGTACGGATATATGACAGAACTCGAAACTGTAGAAATCAAACAAATGAGCGAAATTGAAGCGAACGGAGATGATATGGAGAGCCTTTTATTTCACTTTCTTGACGAGCTTTTATTTTTATTTAGTTGTGAACCGTTTTTAATATGTAGTAGATTAAAGATTACAGAATTTAAAACTGGGGATGAATTCAAAATAAAATGTCAATGTTATGGGGAAGAATTTACACTGGGGAAACATCCCCAAGGTACAGAAGTTAAAGCTATCACTTATTCAGCAATGCAGATTATTGATGAACCAGAAACTAATAAATCACAAGTTTTTGTTATTATCGATATTTAATAATTAAAAAGACTTCTATAATTTAATTAATTAATGCTTATTGTTATTATGATACGTTTTTTAATGTAATGTAAACTGTATTAAACCTTTATATTAAGTTAAATTATTTCTTTGCATATAACATATTTTATCACAAATTTACTACATTTTTTTATTTAAATTGAATTATTTATTTGTACAAGTAATTAGAAGATATAACAAATACATAAAGCAATGGTTTTGATATAAACGCAAAAGCAAGTTATTACAATAAAAGGCAAATTTCCTTTTGCAATGTGTTTGTACATAAGTAAAGATGTTACACAAAATTGTAAAGAGATGTCATAACTTTGTGCATGGTTACTCTTACGACTGTAAATTCTCCAAAGTCGAACTCTTGATTTCTGCGTTTAAAACTTTTGGGCTAAATTTGTCAATCGAAAGTGACCTTTAATGTAAATATGACAAACCATACAACCGGAAGTGGTACTTAACCTGAACGTTTAATGTTAACAGCTGTTTCTTTTTTCCCCTTAAGGCGCTATGTCATTTTTGTGCAATTTAAGCGTTTGATGCCCTCTTTAATTAACAAAATATTTGTTGTAAATAAATACTACTAACTACCAGTATGAAGACTATATAGGTACTATGGCTGACGAAAACGGTTTTTCTGGTGAATAACAGCATCTCAACGATTTGGCCAACTAAACAATGAATAAAAAAGGAAAATAACTAGAACCCTGAGACAAGAACTGGCACTTAAGAAAGTCCTGGGAAAACATTACATGAATGTTTCTCTTCTTCTTTTAGCGCTACAACCTGGGGCTTTGGCTTCCTCCACCATCCTCTTCCAGCCATTTCGGTTTTCAGGGATCCTCTTCCAATTCTTGATCTTCAGAATTTTTGCAACGTCTTCACCCTATCTTTCTAGCCCATCTGAGTCTTTGCGATTGTCCTATTAAGTCCTGAAGCTCAAAATTCATATTTCTTAGTGATCTCTGTCACTGGTCCGAAGAGTTTACGGAGTATTTATCTTACAAAGATGCCCTTTGTTTTTTTATTTGTTTATACCAAATTCTAGGAATCTGCTTCATAACTCAAAACTGTTGAAAACTTTCAAAAACATTTTCAGTTTGGCTCCCTTAGCCCTCAAAGTGTAGGTAGCCTTTCTTCTGGAGTACATCTTCTAGAAATCCTTCATCTTTCTTCAAATCCTCTCTGTCACATATTCTTTCTGTTCGCAGTAACAAGGCTTGCACCACTGACCTCATCTGTTGTGGATGGTGATGGGATAAAGCCTGTAAGTACTTGTTCGTGTACATCTTCTTTCGATGGTAAATTTGATCATAGTTGTTTCGAGTTTAGGTGATCTACGAACTCTTGAATACGCTCTTTTCAAACTTCTCCATGTAGAAATTTTCGATGACTGGTGACAAAGGCTGGGATTGCCTTTGCATTGTTCGTAGAATTCTCTTTCTAGCTAAAATATATCGATGATAAACGGTACTCCACTAGCCTTGGTACATACTCAGGTAAGCTCTTCGGAATCAGTTTTTGACGAAAACCATCCACGGCATCTTTGACTGGTACTCTGGAAAATGGAGATTCCACATCCAAACTTACCAGGATATCCTGGGGATCTAGCTTCATACTTTTGATTGATTTTACAAAATGTTACCTGTCAAAGGAGACGGTATCTTGACAAGGTACTTCGTAACCTGTAGGTATTTTAGGTATTCATAAATTTTTGATGAATCTCTGTATTCGGGATGATATGTCACTGTCACTATTAAAAAGTACGCCTAGATATTAGAATGTCTGAACATTCTCTTCTCCATTCATTTCGGGTCATCTTCATATACTTAGTATTTTCTTCATTTATGCACAGACCTTGCTTTTTGGCTGCTCTTTCAATGTCAGTAAATATTTCTAAAAACCTCCCGTAACTTTTGCCCATTACCAGTATATCATCTGCGTATGCACATATTTGTAATGATTTCGTTATTATATTGCCTCTGTTTCAAGGCTACCAATATTGGAGTGCAAGGTTCGGTGATACCAGTTTATATCTCGAATTCATCGGAAATTTTCTCCCATACCACTACCACGGCTTCCCATTTGGGGATTCCCATTTCCCCAAGATTAAACTCCAGTCTGGTATTTTGTATACTGTCGAAGGTCCTACCATAATTTATGAATATACAATGCAGGTCAGAGTTATACTGATAGTATTTTTCCATTACTTGACTAAAGAGGAAAATTTGGTCCATCATAGATCTATAGGAAAAAATGGAAATTCCACAATGATGTAAATTTATTTAGTACTACAATTTAATGTACTACAATTCTTTTGCTTTTTTAGAGCGTCTTCAGGTACAACTGTCAAACAACGAGAAATGAACGTAAAGGTGTTAAGAGAAAATGCATCATGTGGAAAAAGATTGAAAACTTACTTCTGTTCCGTATGATTCTTTACCTATCCTTGCATTCATGTCGCCCACTATCATCAGCAAATCATATCTCGCAACTCCCACGCATACCTTCTCCAGTTTATCATAGAAAACGTCCATTTCTGCATCATTACTTTTTTCTGTGTGCGCATACACATTTACCTGCCTTATCTAGTTATCCACTATAGAATATTAAAAAATTCTTCTTATCTACTCATCCCTGACCATCCCACCTCTTTTCTTGGAGTACCACAACATCCATTCTCTACTTAGGCAGTTTATCTCCATTCTCCGTCATCTTTCCAGCTTGTAGCGTGGTCTTTATGTTCCATGTAGTTATCCTTAAAACATTGTCCGTTTTTCGTTGCTGGGATCATCTAATGGAGTCCGTCTTAAGATTCCAAGGCTGTTTATGTTTTATAACTGTTTTGTTTCTATAGAGTCAGGTTATCTACGCTCATCATCGATATGGATTGATTACCGCATTTCAGATGAGGTTGGTAAAGTTACCAGGGCATTCACGCATGAAATGGGTTTCTAGAAGATTAGAAACTGAAAGGTATTTGTATACTAAATAAGAAGGCAAAGAAAATTATGAATGCAAAATTGAGAGAGAAGAGATGGTAGCGAAAGAAGACAAAAACGGAATTAATACTTAACTGGTTAGGATTCTCGAAATATTTATCATTAACAATGAAATATTCCTCAGAATTGCTGGATACAAACTTTTGTTGAAACTTTTTTCAGTACAAGTAGGCATAAAAATAATAAAGAAAAACCACTTCCGGTTTGTGCTTATGTTACAGGGAAAGTAGATTCTGCAGTAAAAGTTGACTCTACCTAAGTAAAGTCGACTCTTACTGGTCTTTTCAGTAAAAGTTGATTAAAAGCGAAAAGTGTTGAATTTTGATCAACATTTACTAGTCAGAGTTGACTATACCTAGGGAAAGTATACTCTCACTGTCTCGAGGTAGTAAAAGTTGACTTTTACTTTACGGACTTTTGTTCTGTCCTATTCTGTCTCGTCTTGTTTTTGTTGTAATCATATATTTTGTTTTATCTTTATTGATTCGTAAGCCAACTTCCCTTGCAGCAACTTCCAACTTAATGAACTCTTCTTTGACATCGATAGTTATATTTCAACACTATATCTATGCCTTATATCTAACGCATCTCTCTGTTTGAGACCATTGTTGATAGCAAATAAGGAGGACAATTTTCCTTTAAGTATTACTGCACTTGTAGATCCCTCTACACAGGTTTCTGTGAGATTCATTAATTTTTTCGGTATGCCTAGTTCTGCCATGACATCCCACAGCCTCACTCTCATGATGCTATCGTATATCTGTTTGAAATCTATAAATAGCTGGTACAATGTTTTATTGTATTCTAGGTAGGATTGATTCTTTCTAAACCTACACTGGTAGTCTCGCATTTGATTTTCCGCATACGCTGTCAATCGTTCCATTAACATTATAGGCCCACACATAAATAAATTGCGCAAAAATCGCTGTTTTGCGAACATTGTGTAGTGTATGGTGTTGGTTGATACGTTGCGCAACTGGTTGCAGAAATTCAAAATTGTTTAAAATTAGTTGCGCAACCAATGCATTGTGTTTGTGTGAAGTTTGTATAAAATTGTGTATAGTGTGTGGGTAACCTTGTTTGCACAATAATCTGTTGTGCAACGTCAGTATCGCGCAATTTCTTGGTAGGTGTACAGGCCCCATACACCTGCAAATACTACTAATATACAGATACATTGGGATGTGCGAGGAAAGGACCATTAAAGTAATCAGTATGAGAAAAGATTTGTGTCTCCTTTGGTCAATAAGCTGATTGATTATGATATGGTATAACATGGTCAAAAATAAAACGTTAGCAAATGTTCTTTAATTTTTCTATGTATTTATGTAGGGAAAAAGAGTTTCTTATACCCTCGAAATTAGCATATAGGTCTCAATGCCTATGCCAGTTCAACAAGTTATCAAATGTTAGGACGCGACTCAGAGCTGTGTTCCTGATGCCATCTGTAGTCATCTATTCATCTTCAAAGACAACAAGATGTGTTTAACTGTTTCCTTATCCGTGCCCAAAACAGGAAAAGAGGGTTCAGGACAATTTTTAAGTTATGGACATGCTTGTTTATGTTATACTGATTTGCAACGAGTCCCACTGGTAATAATTTTAATAAGTTTGATATGAGTAAAAGTTTCAATAGAAATAAGTGGAAGTCTCCCTTCCCAATCCTCTCAATATGTCTGGCCCACTTCAAGTTTTGTATTTTGATGACTTCCCAGAAGGTGACATCTTGGAAAAGCTGTTGTATCTCATCTTAGAGAATAGGTTGTGCAGCGCATTTTATGTATAGTATAATTTTCTTTCCATGGACCCAACACAACCCCCTGCAGGGAATTCGCTCATCTTTCCATATTTGACAAATTAGCTGATAGAAAGCAAACACCAAAGTTTCGTTTCCTGGAGTTTTGTTATTTTATAGCTTCTGCAAGCCTGTCGGACATATATGTAGGACATGGTGTATGTAGAACATCTTAGTCATTGCTTTATTTTGAAATAACCACACCAATTAATTACTTTCAACGTTTTGCAAATTATGTCAGTGTGTAGTGCCATATAAAAAGCAAGAAAGTTAACTTAAGAACGCTAGCTTCTTTATGTTTTCGGACTTTTTGGTTTTCTAAACCTGATATTGTTTTATGCAAATCGAAGCTATTAACATTACTTATTGATTATTATTAAAAAAAAATTTTTTTAACATTTTTACATTAATATATTTATTGATATGTGATTGTAACAAACTTTTAATATTTTTTAAAGATTAATTGTTATAAATTAATCATATTTAACATATTTATTTCAAAATTTATCATTTAAAAGCATACCCCCACCTTATTTTTGGCATAAACCAGTTCGATCAAGTTTTTTTCCATTTCGCCGTTATCCTCTCTTGAAACAGACGCAGTTTAACTTACAATTGAGAGTGATTTAGAGTATGGGTGGATTACAAGAGACCGAAATGGCTGGAGAATCACCATTTTACGATGAAAATCGCAATACATCGCTACATTTGGCTGCTTCTCGCGGTAATACTAAAGAAGTTGAAATTTATTTGGATAGTCACAAAAAAATCGACATGGAAAACTACTTGGGATGGACGCCATTAATGATGACCACGCGGAATGGACACCTAGAAATCGTAAAATTGCTGATAAACGCTAAAGCGAATGCAACGAAAACTAATCATTTTGGTAAGACGTGAAAAATAATTAATTTTTTATTATTAATATTTATGTTTTTAACCCTAATAGGGTTTAGTGTTTTCATTATGGCATGTGCCAATGGAAATTTGGAAATTATTGAATATCTTTTGCAACACCTTCTTAAAGGGGGTGTTTCAAGAACTATCATCGAATCGACAATTTCACCAATATCTTTGGCGATTTTATTTAAACATGATAACATTATTCAACATCTGATTGCTAAAGGATTTAACATTAACACTGAAGCATCTTTTACAGGTAATGACTAGTAGATTTAAAGATAATTGCTTTTTTAACGTTAATTGTTGGATTTTGCAGGAGTAACACCACTGATGTTTGCAGCATCATCAAAAAATTCATCCATTTTTAACATTTTAATATCACACGGAGCTAATCTGTACGCGAAGAATATCAATCAAAAATCAGCCCAAGACATCACGGATCATCACAATAAATCAAAAAGGCCTAATTTACGTCTTCACATCCCAACAAGCACTACACAGAATCAACAGGTCTACAATCAACCACAATGTCCTCAATATTATCAACACACTCCATCTCCTCAAATTCAATCTTATAATATACCTTCTCCTGTTGTTTTTGTTAGTCCTCAACCTCTCTTAATGCCTGTTGGTGCTCAATATCCTACGGCTCCTCAATATTCTTCAGCTCCTCAATATGCTACAGCTACTCAATATGCTACAGCGACTCAATATGCCACAACGACGCAATATTCTTCAGTTCCTCAATATTCTTCTGCGCCCCAATACTCTCCTGTAATTCCACCTTCATCTGTTCCCATGGCATATCCTGTTAGAAAATCATCGAATGTTGCATCGCCTATGTTTTTATCTCCAGGAGTAAGTCCTATTTATTATTCTTCTGACCAAGCTTTTTTTCCGCAAAATTTTAATCCAAACCAATTGTACCCAACAGTTGGAGGATATTGTTATGGGATAAACAATCAAATTTTTGACCAAATTTCCCCACGTTTTTAACACGTCTTTATGACTTCTAATTTTTTCTTTAATGCATTAGATTTTGCTTACTTAATTATTGTTACTTTTGAGCTCTAAGTCTTGATTGAATAATTTTTATTGGTTTTTTTTAGTGTTCGTTCGTAATGATTTGGATAATTTTAAAATGAAAAAAGATTTAATTTTGAATTAAAAAATCAAATTTAACATATTTTTAATAGATGGAGCCACCGAATTAAACCGATCATTTTCTTTGGCTCCAACATTGTATTTTCCTTTTTATTTTTGAACAATGAATTTTGATTGATCATTTTTTATGGAGTTATTGTGTTCATGTAATGATTTTAAAATGAAAAATGCTTTAATAAAGACATTATGATTAAGAGGTTTCGTTAATTTCAATAATGTTCTTATAGATGGAGTAAAAAAAATAATTTGCTTTTACATTTTTATGAATTGCGATGATTTTAGAATAAAAACAATTTTATATTAATTTATAGCTTTATTTGTTTTTAATTTTTTTGATTTTATTAATTCGAAAATTAAAAATACAATTCAATTAATTCCTAATAGATGGAGACACCAATCTATCTGTCATGAAATATCAGATTTTTTAAGGTTATGTTAACTTAACCTTAAAAATCGAAACATAAATAAATATAAAAAAAATGGTTATTTACGGTGTTTATATCGTTTCAAAATCAGGGGGATTAATATTTAATTTAGATCATAACGTTCCGAAAATTGAAACTGAAAAAACTTTCTCATATCCTTTAGATATTAAGTTACATTATGAAAATAAGAGGGTTTCTGTAGAATTTGGGCAAAGAGATGGAATCCACGGTAATTTTACGCCAATAATCAAATATTTTTATTAAATTAACGATTAATTGTAGTGGGACATGTTCTTCAAGCGATTAATGGAATGCCAGTTTCTGGAAGACAACTCGATGATGGTCGAGATGTTATGGAAGTCCTTCAGAATAAGGAAAATTTCCCAATAAACTTACAGTTTGGAAGGCCTAAAATGACGACGAATGAAAAGATATTTTTAGCAAGCATGTTTTATCCATTATTTGCAATCGCCAGTCAGCTTAGCCCAGAGCCAAAATCCTCAGGGATTGAAGTCCTTGAAGCTGATACTTTTAAATTACATTGTTTTCAAACCTTAACAGGTGTTAAAATGATGGTTTTAGCTGATAGAATTCAAGCTGGAATTGATATTCTTTTGCGACGCATTTATGAATTGTATTCAGATTATGCTTTAAAAAATCCTTTTTATTCTTTAGAAATGCCAATAAGGTGTGAATTATTTGATACTAATCTAAAGCTGGTTTTAGAGCAAGTCGAAAAAACTGGTACATTAACTGTTTAATTATTTAATAAATAAAGAAATATAGATGTTATTTATTATAACCTGAGGTTTGTTAAATTATACCTATGTTTGGGAAATTTTTGTGGGCAGATGAATAGCGTTATCAAAAAAAAGCATAAACCGTTAAATCTAACATACTTAAATGCAAACAATATTTTTTATTATTAATATTTCTTTAAAACGGGGGCTTATTAGCAATCGATTTTTTTCGAAGATGTGATTTTGCGTGCACGATTTCTTCAAAATGGTTTACTCTAGCACAGAAATCTAAACATTTTCATTTTCTGTATTGATTGAAATTACAGAATACGTAGCCGTTTTAAAAAATATACAGTTTTTTCAAAATGATATCTATTTTAAGAAAAAGTTTATTTTTTTGGTGTTAAAAAACTTGTGATTGCAAAAAAAGTATTCAATATTTAAAAAAAAATCCTACGTATTCTATTGCGTGATGTTGAGCAGAAGATCATGTTAAAATTTTAAGTTAATTAGATGAAAATTGTAAGAATAGCGTTGTACGCACATTTTAAAGAGTATGTTTTGAGAAAAACGCGTTTAGTTTTTGTAAGTTATATTATTTTGTATATAAAATGCTACCGACAATTTTTATTATGTTGTTGTAATAAGTATGTTAATTTACTTTTAATCTGCGATGCCTGCTCCGTAAAGCTGCCCTTCCTCGAACGTAGTGGTCTTGCTTCTTTAGCCATATCTGTGAAGTTCCGCTCAGCGAATTTAACGCATCACGTATCGGCTTCTTCACGATAGTTGGGCCTATAACAAGGCTTGAAGCTTCCATTATTTTCATTATGCTGCTGTAGCCATCATTATATTAGCAAGTAGCCAAGTCTGTTGCTGACTTTTTTGCCACCTGCAACAGATTTTGGTGCGATCGATCACATCGTTGCATTGAGGCTTTCCTTGCTATTCACCTAGTTAAAAGTTCTTTGTTTAGATGGGCTTTATAGCTTCGAAAACTTCAATGCGCATCGGCGGCTTATGTTCATAATTAGCAACACTACCTTTGGCCTTTGCTTTTTCGTAACAGCACCATGAATCTTCGCTGGCAGGACAGAAATGATGCTGTGGATGACTGTCGGAGGATAGATTATGATATAGCGTTGCCCAAATAGCTTTCTTCATTACTTCTATCGAATATTTGTTCCGCATTAATTAACTTTGCTGTCAAATTTCTTTTACCGGAAAGGATTTTCCAAATACAGTAGACACGCGATAGTGTGAACCGAAAAAAACACGGATTGTTCACAATATCGATTTATTTACGTTAACGAAGGTGATATCTAATATATAATAAACACTTATAATTAACAAAACTAATACATAAAACAATATGTAACACTTATTAAAAACTAGTAACAAATTAAAAATTTATAAATAATCATTTTTTGCCGAAAAACTCTAAAATATTTGTTTGTTTTTGCCCTTTCTTTATTTTTTGTATAACTGCTTTTTCTCTTAGCTTTTTTATAACTATAAGGTCGGTATAGTCAACGTCAGTCTCCTCTGCCCACTGAGCTACTAGATTCAAAGCGTTTATGGCACTTCGTTTCCATAAACGAAGGAGCAGTTTACAGTTTGTTCACGGTATACGGTGGCCTTGCATAAATATTTTGTTGTTCACATTATGCGGTGTTCATACTATTGCGTGTCTACTGTAGTGAGGAAAATCCTCGTTTACGCCAGGAGCCATCATCAGATACTGTCAAGCCATCATTTGGCCATTTTCTTCACTGAGTCCCTTTTCCGCAGCAGCCGCTTTTTTCGTCAATCTCTCTCGAACAGTTTGAGCAGCGACAGATATTTTTTTTACCATTGTATCGTAGAAAGAGTGAAATATTGGAGGCGACAAGTTCATGAAAGCACAAAATTGTGTTATACCGTTTCGATCAATTCCAAGCAGTTTCATAGCAAAGAGTAGTGGTGGAACGGATACTGGATTGATATCTTTTGGCCGGATATTAAAAACTTATTACATAGTACTCCACCATTCACAGGAATTACACTCTTTTAAGTGTTGGACACTGCAGATAATAATCAAGTTCAACCCCAATAGGACTTTTTTCATTGAATACATCTTTATTTATATCAAATAAATTAAAAAACTGCTCTTAAACGATGATATTTATTGTAAATAGCTAAACACATATTTGCGCACCAATAAGTTATTGTAATAGTTTCTTGTGAGGGAACCTTTATATCTTAATCCGATTAGCTCCTGTTTTAGTTTATGTTCGTTGACGTCGTTTTCCTGAGAATGACTGATGTACAGTCGAAACCGGTATAAAACTAAGCTATTTACAATAAATATCATCGTTTAAGTGCAGTTTTTTAATTTATTTAATTCATACGATGATAAGAAAAATACACAACTCCAACTTATTTGTATCAGGTTTGTCATTAGCAACCTCAGTGTAACAATCCCAATACGATATATAAAATCGCTTGCTGCAGTTTTGTCTAATTTTCTTCTCTTCGCTTGTAACTCATTATCACATTCATTACTAACAGCACTATCGCTGTTATCACTTTCGATTATTAATTAAAGTATCCTCTTTTTAATGCAAAAAGCCGTTTTGAAAAATCACTTTCAGTTCTTGAGAAATAAATTTTTGAAATGATCGGCAATTTCTTTGAATTTTGCAATTTTCATTGATAACATTCAAAATTCGCTATAAAATTTATTTCTTGAAGGATCCTTGTGAAAATATCACCAATTATTAATTAAAGTATCCTCTTTTTAATACAACAAGCCGTTTTGAAAAATGACTTTTAGTTCTTGAGAAATAAATTTTTGACATGATCGACAATTTTTTCGAATTTTGCAATTTTCGCCGATTAAGTTTTAAAAATTCCTATAAAATCCAGTTCTTGGAATATGAGTATGAAAATTTCCCAAAGTGATAATAAAAGTGTCTTTTTTCCAATGAACCAACCCATTTTGAAAAATAACTTTTAGTTTTTGGGAAACAATATTTGAAGTTTTGATAAAATTTTCGATATTACAATTTTCATCAATATTGTTCAAAATTTCCTATAAAATTCATTTCTTGAAGGATCCTTGTAGAAATATCACCAACTATTAATTCAAGTAACCTCTTTTTAATGCAATAAGCCGTTTTAAAAAATCACTTGTAGTTCTTGAGAAAAAACTTTTGAAATGATCGACAATTTTTTCGAATTTTGCTATTTTCGCCGATTAAGTTATAAAAATTCGTATAAAATCCAGTTCTTGGAATATGAGTATGAAAATTTTCCAAAGTGATAATAAAAGTGTCTTCTTTCCAATGAACCAACCCATTTTCAAAAATAACTTTTAGTTTTTGAGAAAACAATATCTGAAGTTTTGATAAAATTTTCGATGTTACAGTTTTCATAGATAATTTTCAAAATTCGATATAAAATTAATTTCTTGAAGGATCCTTGTGGAAATATCACCAATTATTAACTAAAGCATCCTCTTTTTAATGCAAAAAGCAGTTTTGAAAAATCGCTTTTAGTTTTTGAAAAATAAATTTTTGAAATGATCGACAATTTTTTCAAATTTTGCAATTTTCGCCGATTGTTTTAAAAATTCGTATAAAATCGATTTCTTGGAATATGAGTATGAAAATTTCCCAAAATGTTAATAAAAGTGTCCTCTTTTCAGTGAATCAACACATTTTGAAAAATAACTTCTAGTTTTTGAGAAAACAATATTTGAAGTTTTGATAAAATTTTTGATGTTATAATTTTCATCGATTACTTTCAAAATTCGCTATAAAATTCATTTCTGGAAGGATCCTTGTCGAAATATCACCAATTATTAATTAAAGTATCCTCTTTTTAATGCAACAAGCCGTTTTGAAAAATCGCTTTTAGTTTTTGAGAAATAAACTTTTGAAATGATCGACAATTTTTTTGTATTTGGAATTTTCGCCGATTAAGTTTTAAAAATTCGTATAAAATCCAGTTCTTGGAATATGAGTATAAAAATTTCCCAAAGTGACAATAAAAGTGTCTTCTTTCCAATGAACCAACCCATTTTGAAAAATAACTTTTAGTTTTTGAGAAAACAATATTTGAAGTTTTGATAAAATTTTCGATGTTGCTATTTTCATCGACAACTTTCAAAATTCGATATAAAATTAATTTCTTGAAGGATCCTTGTGGAAATATCACCAATTATTAATTAAAGTATCCTCTTTTTAAAGTTGATCTCGTTAGTTAAATCAGTAATGTGGCAATATAGGGTATCACTTCAGAAATGCACCAGAAATTATAACCATAATGGTTTGCTTTTCGCAAAATCACTATCCGTTCCATCACTAGCAAAGACGATTATACTATAATGTAATTGATATCTTTTTAAATTACGATGCCGTTTGAATTTCGTTCTACCACCTTTTGCTTTATATTTTTAAGACTAAAAATTAATGAATTAACCAAAAAAAATTTTTAAACTTTAGGGGTGGCGTTGCCCCTTAATAAAACCTTAATTAATTCTTCTTTACGCTTTTAAAAACTGTCGGATATGAAGACCCCCAAAGAATTTAAAAGATACGGTCTTCAAGCGTTATCAAAAGCTCATTTCTCACCTTCGTGGCAAAAATGCGTTTTTAATAACGACGACCTCGCTCGATTTGCATCTGTGAATTTTCACAATTAGGCTTATCGCGCAACGCGCACGAAAGCCTACCGGGTTACCGAGCTTTCCGTCGTCGTGAAAAGCTCTCCCGATACCTGCAGGTTAAAGTGTAAGCTCCGCGAGTTGAGGATAAAAAGGTGCGCGCTGGTTAGTTTCCGACGAACGACCGTCCACGAAAGCTGATAATCTTATTTCTCTTTTACTTGACGCGTAAAAGTTTCTTTTTAAATATTAAATAAAAATTACACGTTTGTTTTTTATAAATTTAGTTGGTGAAAGTTTTTTCTTTTGATTAAAAATGGTTCTTAAAGGTTTTTTTAAAGTATTTGTAGGTGTTATATTGGTTTTGAATTTTTGTGATGGTATTCGATGGTTGTAAGTACCATTTCTTGCTTTAAATATGTTTCTTTTTATGATTTTGTTTATTTATAATACAAAGATAATTTCGAAAATGGTTATTTGCGTTGAAAAAGTGTAACTTTTGTTATTAATTTTTTAAATTCGATTAATTAATTAATCCTATCACGTTTCACTTACTGTAATAAGATCTTGAGATGTAAATATTTATATATATTGAATATTCATGAAGGTTTACACCTTCTTAAGAACTGTTGCGCAATCAACACAAGCTTAATCCGAGTTATATGAAATTAATTTTTTTAAATTAATGCTAATAATGTGGGTTTTTATAAAAAATAATAAACGTCTTAAAGATATAGAATATTTAATTTAAAAAGTAGTCCATAAATTAACTAAAAGACATTTTTATTGAATTTTTATTAAGAAAGTATAAATTGTTGAAGTGTATTTGATACTGTGGGCGAACACCTGGAACGATTAATTACAAAATCGACCTCAACTCGAAATTTATATTTCCATTGTAAAAGAGACGACCGAGTTGTTAAATTCTTCGGAACTGAATGGATGGAATGTAAGCGCAATGTCTCGTAAAATGGAGTGATGAATCGACCGGATTTTCTTCTCTCAAAATCTTTACCGGGTCTTACAAAACTTACGTAACAAAAAAATCATTAAACAACCAAATCGTGTCAAATTCTAAAGTCTTTATCTGTGAAAGTACCTATTCAAATTTGCTTTAGAAAAAAGGCTAATTATTTAACAAAGGCGGTCTCGTTTGCGTTTCTCTTCGTTTAAGTCCCTTTGGGAGTGTTTGATTTACATCCGGTGTGTGTACACATCGTCGGACCATTTAGATCTGAAGAGCCAAAAAAATAGAAAAAAAAACTGTTATCAATTAGAACAAAGCGCGCGGTGTAAAAGAGCTGTAAAAGGTCCTCTTTTTATCGTCAGTTTAACACCGTGTCTCTAAAATAAGCGGGTATATTTTAATTGAGCCGTCGGAACTATAATCGAGTACAAATTACGAAAACGCCTTCGTGAGAATCGGTCACGTGAACTCTTTCTCCACCGCAATTAAAACTATTGTGCTCGATGTCGTACAGTTTTCAAGCTTTTAAAAGCTAACCTTTATTGCCTCCACCACAGCGAGCACTTTTTTCTTATACACTCACACAACGTATACTAGTATTAAAACGTGTTAATTTTAACCGCACACCAATCACAATTTTATTATTCCCCTACGTTTCTTTTATCCCTTCTTTTTTTCTTTTATTCCTTCCCCGGATGACAAAGCAGTAAAAAAAATTACGTAACTTCTTGTGCCGTCTTCAAAGAGAAGAAGAAGAAAGAAGTGGAATCGGTTACGAAAGTGTGCGTGAGTTTTCACGCCAACGGAAAAAAGATTTACCTCTTTCTTTTTCGTGTTGTTTTTGACGACCCTTCTCTCGTTACCCGGGGGGCCTCAAAGAGGTGTCGTACTGGAGTGCTTCTGAACAACATAAAAAGAAAGAAAATGTCCTAGGTATCCAACCCAACCTAGGGTTAGATACTCTGTTACGTCCTCGATGCCCAAGGGTATTATATGGGAAAAGGATCGGGGAGAGAACAATTTAGAACGAGGGGCTCGTCTGACTGGCACCTTATAATGACCCCTGGCACCTGTAATTAGCTTGCTCGGGCTCGTTTTGAACGCCCCAAACGATTCTATCGCACGCTAATTATATATTATGTCACGACTTTGGCACTATCTATACACCTCTTTTTTCTTTTTTAGGTTGTTTTGACCATTATTTCCAATTGACCGTTCAACTTTTATCCTCACGATTTAGTAAATATTTTCTTTACAACCATCTATCTTCTAGTTAACATAGTAATTAGCATAATTATAAAATATAATCATAAAAATTCCTCAAGAAATAGCTTTTTGAAAATTGTAAACAAAATAAGAAAATTTTGGCGAATTTACAAGCTCTAATATCAAAGTATAAATGACATTTACAACAAAAACTGACAAAAAGCTAATAATTTTATTCATTATGTAAGGTTTAAAAATTAAAAGATATTTTTAATATCTGTTTTGTTATATTATGAAAAAATTTGATGAACAAATATACAATATTTATAACATTTATAAATAATCTATCTACCTCTTGTAACACAAGAATATTCCGTCACCAGTTTAATTCAATACCATAATATGGCTTTTTTATCTTCTTTGTTGATATTCGTTGCTAGTGGTGAGTACATCAACCATCTTTTATAAACAAATTGGTAACTTTAAAGTTATGGATCTGTGTATGAAATAGAGATGTCTCGAGTAAAAGCAAACCTAAAAAAGTCCTTTCAAGTCTTGTTTTGCGCACTGATCCTATCACAGTTACCTTAGATTGCAACAACTTTGCTTTCATTCTTCACCGGTTGTCTTTTTATAATTGGGTTTGGGTTGGGAACAATATGGTGGAGAGATGAAATCTTTCTGTAGTCCATAAAGATAGAACTACATTGGGCAAAATGTATAAGCATGAGCAATTGTGCTTGATCAAAATAAACGAGGTTGAGGAGTGAGATCTATTTGCTGGGTTGGGTTGAAACGTGGCCAAAACAACCTTTAACTCTGGAGAGTAAATCGGTGGATGTGAAAGCAACGAATCAGGGTTAATCTTTGGATGAAGCTTTGTCAAGGCATGGCTAGGGGAATCCCGATTTGTAAGCTTGCGTGCAATGTAATTGACTAGATCTATTCACGTTTGCAACAAAATTGCGTAAAACACATCTTACAATGTCAACAGCACAATTAACAGTTGTTAAAAATTTCAAAAGCATAGTCCTCATAAAACTTAACCCTTGACTAACTGTCGTTAAAGACAATTTTTGGTGATACTCAATGTTTGCTAGAATAAGGGCGAAGAAAAGTACGTGAATTAGTTAATTTAAAAAAAAACATATCTGTATGAATATGAAGAATTGATTTATATCTCAAATTAAAGCTGAAGATGTTTTCCTTCGAAACCTGTACAATATTAAATAATTTTATATAAAAATATTTTGAGAAAAATTATTAAATATACAGACGTTTTTGGGATCAAACTTTAAATAAGTTAATTTAAAAAAAATCATATCTTCTTTATTTATGAATATAAAGAACTGATTTATGTCTTAAATTAAAGCTGAAGATGTCTTCTTTCCAAACCTGTATAATATTAAATAATTTTATATAAAAAAGTTTTGAGAAAAATTATTAAATAGAAAGACGTTTTTGGGATCAAACCTTAATAAGTTAATTTTAAAAAAATCATATCTTTTTTATTTATGAATATAAAGAGTTGATTTATGTCTTAAATTGAAGCTGAAGATGTCTTATTTCCAAACCTGTATAATATTAAATAATTTTATATAAAAATATTCTGAGAAAAATTATTAAATATAAAGATATTTTTGGGATCAAACCTTAAATAATTTAATTTAAAAAAAATCATATATTCTTTATTTATGACTATAAAGAGTTGATTTATGTCTTAAATTAAAGCTGAAAATGTCTCTTCTGAAACCTGTATAATTTTAAATAATTATATATAAAAATATTCTGAGAAAAATTATTAAATATAAAGATGTTTTTGGGATCAAACCTCAATTAAGTTAATTTAAAAAAAATCATATATTCTTCATCAAATCATATAAAGAGTTGATTTATGTGTTAAATTAAAGCTGAAGATGTCTTGTTACGAAAACTATATAATTTTAAATAATTTTATATAAAACAATTTTGAGAAAAATGATTAAATAGAAAGACGGCTTTGAGATCAAGCTTCAAATTAGATAATTTAAAAAAAATCATATATTCTTTATTTATGAATATATAGAATTGATTTATGTCTTAAATTAAAGCTGAAGATGTCTTCTTTCGAAACCTGTATAACCTTACATAATTTTATATAAAAATATTTTGAGAAAAATTATTAAATATAAAGACGTTTTTGGAATCAAAGCTTAAATAAGATAATTTAAAAAAAATCATATCTTCTTTATTTATGAATATAAAGAGTTGATTTATGTCTTAAATTAAAGCTGAAGATGTCTTCTTTCGAAACCTGTATAATATTAAATAATTTTATATAAAAATATTCTGAGAAAAATTATGAAAAATAAAGATGTTTTTGGGATGAAACCTTAAATAAGTTAATTTTAAAAATAATCATATCTTCTTTATTTATGAATATATTGATTTATGTCTTAAATTAAAGCTGAAGATTTCTTTCGAAACATGTATGATATTAAATAATTTTATATAAAAAAGTTTTGAGAAAAATTATTGAACAGAAAAACGTTGTTTGAGATCAAATGTCAAAGAAGTTTATTTTAAGAAAATCATATCTTCTTTATTTATAAATATAATGAATTGATTTATGTCTTAAATTAAAGCTGAAGATGTCTTCTTTAGAAGCCTGTATAATATTAAATAATTTTATATAAAAAAGTTTTGAGAAAAATTATTAAAAAGAAAGACGTTTTTTGAGATCAAATGTCAAAGAAGTTTATTTTAAAAATATCATATCTTCTTTATTTATGAACATGGAAAATTGATTTATTTCTTAAATTAAAGCTGAAGATGTCTTCTTTCGAAACCTGTATAATATTAAATAATTTTATACAAAAATATTCTGAGAAAAATTATGAAAAATAAAGATGTTTTTGGGATGAAACCTTAAATAAGTTAATTTTAAAAATAATCATATCTTCTTTATTTATGAATATATTGATTTATGTCTTAAATTAAAGCTGAAGATTTCTTTCGCAACATGTATGACATTAAATAATTTTATATAAAAAAGTTTTGAGAAAAATTATTGAACAGAAAAACGTTGTTTGAGATCAAATGTCAAAGAAGTTTATTTTAAGAAAATCATATCTTCTTTATTTATAAATATAATGAATTGATTTATGTCTTAAATTAAAGCTGAAGATGNGATATCTAAAGTATCGATTGATTTATGTCTTAAATTAAAGCTGAAGATGTCTTCTTTCGAAACATGTATAATATTAAATAATGTTTTATAAAAAAGTTTTGAGAAAAATTATTATATAGAAAAACGTTTTTGAGATGAAACCTCAAATTAGCTAATTTAAAAAAAATCATATCTTCTTTATTTATCAATATAAAGAATTGATTTATGTCTTAAATTAACAGCTGAAGATGTCTTGTTTGGAAACCTGTATAATTTTAAATAATTTTATACAAAGTTGTAGTAGATGATTCTAAACAACATCTGCAATTATTACACCATGATTTTTAACGGAGTAGTGCATGACATAAGAATCCAAAGTTATAGCCGCAATCTCACTTAAAGTGGGCAGAGTCCACTCTATAAGGATGCGTAGAAGATGTATTCGGACTTTTAATTTTGTCAATATTCGATTCCAACAACGACCGAGACACAACTCGTTCTGATCTACAGGTCGACTTGAGGTGTCACATCTCAAAAGAACACAAAGTTCTTCGATATTCTTGAGTACCACCTCTTTAAATACAAACCAACATGGAAGGTGATAAAACTGCTCTATTATGTTGTCGAGAAACCACTCAAAATGGTTGGATAGTAAGGACTTTGTGATAAATCGCTAGACGTGAAATTTAATGAAAATTTAGTCTTATTGGAGAAGGCTGATCCTAAAGTACTTTGCTGAGAATACTGACGAATAGAAACCCAAAACCTTTCGAAATATTAATATTTGTTTATCTACAATAAAGTTCAACGGATTAAAATCCTCTCCGAATCTTCTAGTTTCGTTGTATGTATATTTCTGTTGTACAAAATCCCAAAAAATACCTTGATTGTATATAACGATCAACACATAACAAAGAGATTTCCGCATATCCATACACAGAGACATAAGCCAAACTTAAACGAAGTAGATACGAGATCGAATTTTTACCAAAATTCAATACTTTCCCTTTTTTATATTGGATATACATATACCAGAAACTAGAATACTTGAATAAGTTGGTTATTTCTTCATATAATTAAATCTGGATTAAATACATTCATTCCAAAACAATGCTATTATGATATCAGCACACGGAGTAATCCGGCAGATGCGATATTACGAAGAATAAATCCCTAAAAAATGCTCACTATATAGCGGAATGTTCCATCATTGAGTAAAGTTGTCATAAATTTCATCACCATTACGATAGTAACAGTACTCCTGGTTATGATAAGCATAAGTTATATCGTTCATCATTTTGCAAGAAACATAAATAAAAGAAATTGAGAGGCAATCAAACATCTTAAAACCTGCATTTCCTATCATGATATGATCGCGCAGAATAAGTACACAGGAAGTAAATAAATCCAGTAAAGTGACTTGGTGTTAATTTTAAATTACTATACTATAGTTTGATAATTAACTCAGTATTTTGTTTAGTATTCATTTCTACTTACTTCTAGGCAGTGTGTTTATGGTCCAATTTAAAATGTTTAGATTGTTTTGACCATAATTTAACTTCATTAATTTAAAAAACAGTTTTTCCTCGTTAACAAAGCAATTAGCATAATTATAAAACGTGTTTGTTCTCGATGTAACCATCCTTAAATTTTACAACAGCCATTAAACATCAACGTATATTTATGGCACCGTTTTGTTATAGTCCAACACAAAAACGTTTTGAGGCGTAGTAGTAAAAATTGATCCTCTCGGTGAGAACGTGGCCGTAGAGGAGAGCAAATAAATTCTCTCCACCAAACAACGTGAGATTCTCGGAATCTCTAAGAATCTTTCCTCGATAGTACCAGATAAATATTTGGTCTAATGTGATATATGCACCTTTTTGTCGCATGATTTTAAATATTCCCACATGTCTTGTTGAAGATTTTTCAATGCCCCATTAGCATAAATTGAAAGGATTCGGGGTTGGGTTTATAATATAATTTTAAACGAGAACAATCTCCTCGATAATTTCCGATAAGAATCACATTCTTTGTTAGATTGAATTTGATATGAAAAGCGGGTTAATTAGAATACTTAATGTAAGCGATTGGTTAACACGAAATATCCATTGAGAAAGAATTCGTTTTCAAATTTATGTTGCATAATTAATTTATTACTGGAAATTTCCTTTTTTTTGTTTCTTATCTTAGTGTTAAATTTTTTTTTAGATCACTACAACATTCTAATATAAAATGGAATTTAACGTCGTTAAATGAAATTGGAGGGCGAGGAATACGTTCAGGAATACGATCTCCGTGTGGAGTTGCAAGACGAAGATATGGTTTAGCAAAATTGCAAACGAAATTATGTAGGGCTACAATGGAAGCGATGCCTCACGTTGAAGCCGCCGCTAGTTTAGCCTCGACAACTTGTAAAACAATCTTTCAAAATCGAAGATGGAACTGTTCGTCAATAGATAAAGCGCCGTTTTTAACACCTGAGTTAACAAGAGGTAAATAAATTTATAAAAAATTGTGTAAATCGAAAAATTTCTAAGTCAATGGACTCTTAAATTTAGAAAATTTTCTTTGGAATTAATTTATGGTCTTCGGAATAAATGTCACTGAGGCGATGTCTCGTAAATAAAAGCACCCGGTTGCATCACACCGGTTAATTTAAATTCGTTTTAGGTTTGGTGTAAAATACGTTATGCTACAAAAAAGGTACCAGAATATAAAACTCCACATCTTTTGTTGTTTTCTAAAAATTTGATGATATCTGTTGAGAAGTACTAAAATAATGTGTTTGTTATTGATTTGTTATTATATTTTGCATCTTTTATTTTTGTAAATAAATAAAAAAAACTCTGACATATTCATAAAAAACGTAGACAAATAATCGAGTTTATATAGAATACAAAATTAGTCCTTAGACCATACATTGGTCCCAAACATTGTTCCTTCGAGCCGTATGTTGAAGATTATCTTCAACAGGAAAACTTAACAGAGAATCACTCATAGCATTCATACATTGCAAAAATAATATAATTCGAAAATTTTTATATTGACATACAGTGATACAATAAAGTCTACACCCAAGAAAATGATAATATCTCACCTCCTGAAATGTAATTCAATGAATTTTTTAAACGAAGGATATTAGAAGTCTATATTATTTTAATACAAAGTCAAAACAGTTCGACTTGTGCTACGAAGTGAAGGCTACAGCAGTAGATTTAGTCGCATTTAGTCTCTCAAGACGGCTAAACCCGAATTATTCTAGTTCTACGTTTTGTGTTAGTTAACACTAGTCCTAGAACTAGCTAAAGTTAGTTCAATAAAAATATACAACATTTAACTAGCGCTACTTAGCACGGTCTCTAGAACTAACATTAGACCTAGAACTGTGTTAGCTCTAGTGATAGTGCTAGTGCAAAACTAGTTGAACTTGGACTTGTTATAAACTAGTCCCTATTCATTTAGACAAGTTTTTAATGACTATCAACTAATCTTTAGTCATTTTGAGCAACATGGATTGTCTAAAACTAGTTGTTAATCATTTAGACAAGTATAAAATTATGCTCAACCTATAATCAATTATTTTGAATAACATGAGATGGCTATGAACCTATTTCGAAACATTTTGAACAATTTTGCTACCTTATAGACCAATTTTGGACAATATTAGTGCAGTTTTCAGTCATTGTGAGCAATCTCGACTTGCTATAAACTAGTTGTTATACATTTAGACAAGTTTTTAATGACTATCAACTAGTTTTCAGTCATTTTGAGCAACATGTATTGTTTAAAAACTAGTTGTTAATCATTTAGACAAGTATAAAAATATGCTCAACCTATTATCAATTATTTTGAACAATATGCGCTAATTTAAATTTGAAGAATTACCCGCAATCTATATCGCATCAATCCATATCGCATCAAAGGCAATAATTAATGATATGTAGGTGGATGACCTCATTGCAGGATGCGATAGTGTAGAAGATGGCTTGAAATTGAGAGAAAAATGTAAAAAGTTTTGTACTCAGTAATTGAAATAAAAAAATATGGTCACCTTATTACAAAAGGCTTACAACGTTTTTTAATGATGATGTAATAAATGGATTCTTAACGATGAATTCAATAGCTTGGAAGTTTATGCCTCCTCGGGCTCTATATTTTGGAGGTCTACATGAAGCAGCAATAAAATCATTTAAACGACATTTTTCAAAAATTACATCCGGAATTAGGTTAACAATTGAAGAATTTTCAACATTATTATACAGGGTGATTCACATAAGAACCGACACAGAGCAGGGACATGTAGAGGACAATAAATTAAGATGATTTAACGTAACTTACCTCTATACTAAGTTGTACACCTGAGGAGTTATAGACCTTCAAAGTTGGGTCTTTTATTTTTAAAAAGTTCAATATCTTCGTAATACATTAAGCTAGAAAAACCAAATTTGTTATACGTTATGAGTGTACCAAGGGTATTAATTAGTAGCAAATTNGACTATCAACTAATCTTTAGTCATTTTGAGCAACATGGATTGTCTAAAACTAGTTGTTAATCATTTAGACAAGTATAAAATTATGCTCAACCTATAATCAATTATTTTGAATAACATGAGATGGCTATGAACCTATTTCGAAACATTTTGAACAATTTTGCTACCTTATAGACCAATTTTGGACAATATTAGTGCAGTTTTCAGTCATTGTGAGCAATCTCGACTTGCTATAAACTAGTCGTTATACATTTAGACAAGTTTTTAATGACTATCAATTAGTTTTCAGTCATTTTGAGCAACATGTATTGTTTAAAAACTAGTTGTTAATCATTTAGACAAGTATAAAATTATGCTCAACCTATTATCAATTATTTTGAACAATATGAGCTAATTTAAATTTGAAGAATTACCCGCAATCTATATCGCATCAATCCATATCGCTTTAAAAGCAATAATCAATGATATGTAGATGGATGACCTTATTACAGGATGCGATAGTGTAGAAGATGGCTTGAAATTGAGAGAAAAATGTAAAAAGTTTTGTGCTCAGTAATTGAAATAAAAAAATATGGTCACCTTATTACAAAAGGCTTACAACGTTTTTTAATGATGATGTAATAAATGGATTCTTAACGATGAATTCAATAGCTTGGAAGTTTATGAATCCTCGGGCTCCACATTTTGGAGACCTACATGAAGCAGCAATAAAATCATTTAAACGACATTTTTCAAAAATTACATCGGGAATTAGGTTAACAATTGAAGAATTTTCAACATTATTATACAGGGTGATTCACATAAGAACCGACACAGAGCAGGGACATGTAGAGGACAATAAATTAAGATGATTTAACGTAACTTACCTCTATACTAAGTTGTACACCTGAGGAGTTATAGACCTTCAAAGTTGGGTCTTTTATTTTTAAAAAGTTCAATATCTTCGTAATACATTAAGCTAGAAAAACCAAATTTGTTATACGTTATGAGTGTACCAAGGGTATTAATTAGTAGCAAATTGAACTCAATTGAGGCACTTCATAGGGTTGATTAAGGGTGATGGTACCCTAAATTTGGACAAATTTTTTTAACCTTTTGGCGGATTTAATACATTACTACTTCATTTCATGTGGAATTTAATTCTAAAACTTTTCTTACTCNAAATCATTTAAACGACATTTTTCAAAAATTACATCCGGAATTAGGTTAACAATTGAAGAATTTTCAACATTATTATACAGGGTGATTCACATAAGAACCGACACAGAGCAGGGACATGTAGAGGACAATAAATTAAGATGATTTAACGTAACTTACTTCTATACTAAACTTAGTACAACTGTACACCTGAGGAATTATAGGCCTTCAAAGTTGGGTCTTTTATTTTTAAAAAGTTCAATATCTTCGTAATACATTAAGCTAGAAAAACCAAATTTGTTATACGTTATGAGTGTATCTTTTCCATCATCGTATCCATCTTTTCTCCATCACCTTTCATTCTTGAGTTATGATCGATTTTAACACCAAAAGTACCCAATTTTGACATTTTGGGGATTTTCTCTTTATCACCTGAAAATCATTACATCTAAACTAAATTTGTTTATGGATGATGTCTTCTTAGTTGACAATAAACAACTTATTCCTAAAAAACTTTTCTCCATCACCTTTCATCCTTGAGTTATGATCAATTTTAATACCAAAAGTACTCAATTTTGATATTTCGATGATTTTCTCTTTTTATCATTAGAAAATCATTATAACTAAACCAAATCTGTTTATGAGTAATGTCCTTTTAGTTCATAATAAACAATTTATTTCAAATAAACTTTTCTCCATCACCTTTAATTTTTGAGTTATGATCTATTTTAATACCAAAAGTACTCAATTTTGACATTTTGGTGATTTTTTCTTTATCACTAGAAAATCATTATAACTAAACCAAATCTGTTTATGGATGATGTCTTTTTAGTTCATAATAAACAATTTATTTCAAAAAAACTTATCTCCATCACAATTAATTTTTGAGTAATGATCGATTTTGATAACAAAAGTACTCAATTTTGACATTATGGGGATTTTCTCTTTATCACTAGAAAATCATTACATCTAAACAAAATCTGTTTATCAATAATATCTTTTTAGTTCATAATAAACAATTTATTCCTAAAAAACTTTTCGTCATCACCTTTCATTCTTGAGTTATGATCGATTTTAAAACCAAAAGTACTTAATTTTGACATTTTGGGGATTTTCTCTTTATCACTAGAAAATTATTATGCCTAAACTAAATTTGTTTATGGATGATGTCTTTTTAGCTCATAATAAACAGTTTATTCCTCAAATTACGTACAATTTCACAGCCGACTACTGAATTTTCGATGATTTTAAGTAGCATTAACAAGATACGCGTCTTTAGTTTTTTGAGTTTTTTATGAAAACGACAATGTTTTTTAAAAAATAATAAGAGTAAAAAAAGTTTTAGAATTAAATTCCACATGAAATGAGGTAATAATGTATTAAATCCACAAAAAGGTTAAAAAAATCTGCCAAAATTTAGGGAACCATCACCCTTAATCAACCCTTTGAAATGCCTCAATTGGTCTCAACTTGCTACCAATTAATACCCTCGGTACACTCATAACGTATACCAAATTTGGTTTTTCTAGCTTAATGTATTACGAAGATATTGAATGTTTTAAAAATTTAAGACCCAACTTTGAAAGCCTGTAACTCCTCAGAGGTACAACTTGGTATAGAGATAAGTTGCGTTAAATCATCTTAATTTATTGTCCTATACATGTCCCTGCTCTGTGTCGGAATCACCCTGTATATAAATATATTTATATCTCCTTTCAACCGATCCGAATGATATTCAACCTTTAACTTGTGGTCACTTTTTGATTAGTCATCCAATGAGTGCTATTCCTAAGGCAGATACATCACACGATATACCAAACCAATTTCAAAATTACGAAAAATTGAAACGACTTGAACAACAATTTTGGAAACAATTTTATAAAGATTACCTCACCACTCTTTAACAAAGAGGCAAATGGCATAGAGACACCGCGGATCCAGAAGTTGGTGATATTGTATTGGTAAAATAATTAAATTCACCATCACAACATTGCCCGTTGGGACGAATTATCAAATTCCACCCTGGCAACGACAACAGAAAAAGGGTAGTAACAGTTACGGTGAATTGAAAGGATTACCTAAGAGCAGCATTGAATCCTTTCAAGGCGGGGGAGAATGTTGAGAAGTNATAACTCCTCAGAGGTACAACTTGGTATAGAGATAAGTTGCGTTAAATCATCTTAATTTATTGTCCTACACATGTCCCTGCTCTGTGTCGGAATCACCCTGTATATAAATATATTTATATCTCCTTTCAACCGATCCGAATGATATTCAACCTTTAACTCGTGGTCACTTTTTGATTAGTCGTCCAATGAGTGCTATTCCTGAGGCAGATACATCACATGATATACAAAACCAACTTCGAAATTACGAAAAATTGAAACGACCAACAACAATTTTGGAAAAACCACTCTTTAACAAAGAGGCAAATGGCATGGAGACACCACGGATCCAGAAGTTGGTGATATTGTATTGGTAAAATAATTAAATTCACCATCACAACATTGGCCATTGGGACGAATTATCAAATTCCATCCAGGCAAGAACAACAGAAAAAGGGTAGTAACAGTTACGGTGAATTGAAAGGATTACCTAAGAGCAGCATTGAATCCTTTCAAGGCGGGGGAGAATGTTGAGAAGTACTAAAATAATATATTTGTTACTATATTTTTCATCTTTTGTTGTTGTAAATATACAAAAAAAATCTGATATCTGTCCTAAATAATAAAACATTCATAAAAAACGTAAATAAATAATCGAGTTTATATAGAATAAAAAACTAGTCATTAGACCAACAATATCCATTACCACAAAATTTTCTCGCTGTTTTTCTATGATTTTATTTGCGGTCGATTGAAAGAATCTAACAATTCCGATCACGTACCGCTAACATCATTCCAAATTTCCACAAACTTTGCTCCTTTTGGTAGTCTTTTCGTGGTATCCCTCCGTTTCTCTCGTTCGTTAAGGGTGGAAATTACAAATCCCTCCCCTATCGCTAACACAACCCTCTTTCACTACGTGAATAGAATAAAAACGTTATAAATTGTAGAAGCAAAAAAATGCATGCATTCTACATTCTAGCGTAATTAAAACACAAAGAATACTTTTGTATGTTACTCAAAAACGAAATCTTGCATGCGTAACTTTGACATTATCATAATTAACAGTAATAACCCTCCCTTTTAAGCTTAAAGGGGAACCTCTTTCGCACGCCACCGTCTACTTTCGTGGCAATAAATATCAATTTTATCGTTAAATCTCCGCATTCGAGGATCATGCAATAAACGGGATTGAAAACTGATACCGTCCAATTATACGAAACGATCAATTATCTTATTAAAAAAAACGACTCTTTAACAATCTTAAATTTTAATCAGTTTTCTTAACATTTTTTTTAGCCACAAGAGAACAAGCGTACGTTTACGCAATTAGTGCTGCCAGTTTAACATTTACAATGGCAAAAGCGTGCGCTAGCGGTTCTTTGCATCACTGCACTTGCGCGAATCCACCGAAAGAGCCCCCTGGGGAAAACTTCAAATGGGGAGGATGTGGAGACAATATCCGATGGGGCTCGAATTTCGCCAAGAAGTTTGTCGATACGGTCGAAAAGTTTAACGCCAAATCAACGCGGGATGACGACAATCTCGAATTACAACAGGAAATTAAAACTTATCATGACAGAAAAATGGCTAAATTAAAAGGGCATATTGCAACAATTAATTTACATAACAATAAAATTGGAAGAAAGATAATCCTGGAAAACTTAAAAACGCAATGTAAATGCCATGGTGTTTCCGGTTCGTGTAGTATAAAAACTTGTTGGAAATCGTTAAGTTCGATTGATGATATCGGGGAACAACTTCTTAGAAAATTTACCACTGCTAAAGAAATTCAAAAAAGACACGTTTTGATCGAGGGAAAAGACGGAGAGCGTAATTTACCTAAAAACGAATTGATTTATCTTATGAAATCACCAGATTATTGTACCAAAGATGAAAAATTAGGGAGTGTTGGTACCGTGGGAAGGTAATATCGATAACATTCTCAATTTCAACTCAATCAACTACAAAAATAATGTTAATTTTTGTTTATTTTCAGACGATGTAACGTAACATCGAATGGTACGGACAGTTGCAGGCAATTGTGTTGTGGAAGAGGTTATAGAACGGTGGTTGAGGAAAAGATCGAGAGGTGCCAATGCAAATATTATTACTGTTGTTACGTGAAATGTAAAACCTGTCGGACGTTCACGCAAATTCACGAGTGTAGTTAAATGATACGAGTAGTTCTAAGAACGTGCAGATTGTAAATATGTAAATACCGGTTAGATTTTAAGATGTGTGCTATATGTGTCTGTTTCGTGATTGTCTTGCCTTGACACTATCTATTAAGTAACTTATTACAAATGAAATGTATGTAAAAACTTTTAACATTTTACCTTTTATTTCCAATTTGATTTTTTTTTGCTTCAAGCTTCTCTTGCCTTAACAAATTATTAAATTATAGTATTTATCAAAAAAATCAACGAGTACTATATTATTAGAATAAATTTGTGGGAATCAAAATAGAGGTTTTATTTAAATAAATAATAAATATCAACTTATTCAGAGTGTGATACACTGCAATCAAGTATTTTATTTTATTCTTTGCCTATTCAGCATTTCCTAAGTCGGTCAGTTATCAAGAGAAGATGGTTCAAAAAGTTTAAATCGTGGCATAACTCAAGCCCAGATAATCATTTTCATCCTTTATAATATTTAGCTTACTATCATCAAGTTAATTGTTAAGAACTTTAAAAGACTTGAAAATTAAAGAGAAATTGATTCATTTTCCAGGTTGCTGGGAATTAAAATTTAGATTGTAAGAATTAGAACAAAGTTGGATTAGGCTTGAATAGAGATGAAAGAGAATCTTCTGATACATCAGCATCAAAATCAGAAGTTATCCCTGGTTAGACCCTCATCGAGTTTCACACTTGATGGTTTTTTGCTATTTCATCAAAAGTTGAACAAGAGAAGCCAGATCAACTATTAGCTAGGGCTGTTTATGTTACAGGTTCTCCATTTGCCATTGTTGAAAATAATCACTGGCAATCATTTTTCAAACACTCGAGATCATCTTTCAAAATGCCTACACGTTATTTATTATCAAATATATTACTGGACTGCGAGTATGAAAAAGTTGATGCAAACATTAAAATAAAAATTGGAGAAGCGAATGTTAGCTTACAGTGTGATGGTTGGAGCAACTAAAGGAACGAATCCATACTTAACTTCATTATTACTACACTAAATTCTGTGTTTTATAAAACTTTGCCAACAAATATTTGTCGACATACCGCAGAATACTGAAAAATTCTTCGCTATAGTAACCGACAATGCCAGTGCAATGGTTAAAATAAGAAATATACTTCATGAAAAGTGCAAACATATTTCTGTTTATGGATGCATTGCTCATACGCTAAATTTGTTAATTGGAGACATTTCAAAAATGAAAACCATGTCTACTATTATAGAAGATGTTAAGGCTATCATCAAAGATTGAAAGAGGATATTTTTTGGGTAAAAGTTTCAAACTTTTATCACCTAATAAACCCTATTGTTAAATACATAACACAACTGGAAGGAGATAAACCAAGGTTAAGTAGCTGAATGCTTTTATGAGTTGGAAAGTCATTTTGAAACAGCCTTTTGCTTAACTAAGAGGAAACGGACGTAAAAAACTTTTTAGTTAAGAGAAAGCAAATCTAATCCATCTTGCTGAAAATATTTCTAGATCCACATTTTAATAGAATACATCTTAATAGAGAAGAACAAATACAAGGAACAGAGTTTATAGACAATATGGCTACTGTAACAAGCCCAGATGAGTCTGCGGAGGTAATAACAGAATTGGACCTTTATCAATTTAAAGAAAGATTATTTGGAAAATTATATGTTTTAAAATACGTAAAAACTATATCCCGTTGAATGGCATAAAGGTTTTGGGTCGATGTTAAGTATGCCTGCGTCGAGTGCAGCAACAGAAAGAAGCTTCAGCTTTATTCACATTACAACTTTCATTGCTCATAATTTAAAATTATTAGATTCTGCCACCAGGTGTGGAAGTTTATAAAGGCAATGAAGACCTTTCTGGTATTTTAGTAATTGAATGCAGTGATTTGGAAACTTTGCCAGAGCTGTCTGAAAATTCATTACATTCGAACTAACAATTGTTTAGTTTTTCTTAGAATAATACTAGTGTTTTTTTTGTTATTTGTGTCAAAGAATAAATTATTTTTGTACNTCATTTTTCAAACACTCGAGATCATCTTTCAAAATGCCTACACGTTATTTATTATCAAATATATTACTGGACTGCGAGTATGAAAAAGTTGATGCAAACATTAAAATAAAAATTGGAGAAGCGAATGTTAGCTTACAGTGTGATGGTTGGAGCAACCAAAGGGACGAATCAATCGTTAACTTCATTATTACTACACTAAATCCTGTGTTTTATAAAAGTTTATCAACAAATATTTGTCGACGTACCGCAGAATACTGAAAATTAGTACTGAAAAGTTCTTCGCTATAGTAACCGACAATGCCAGTGCAATGGTTAAAACAAGAAATATACTTCATGAAAAGTGCAAACATATTTCTGTTTATGGATGCATTGCTCATACGCTAAATTTCTTAATTGGAGACATTTCAAAAATGAAAACCATGTCTACTATTATAGAAGATGTTAAGGCTATCATCAAAGATTGGAAGAGGATATTTTTTGGGAAAAAGTTTCAAATTTTTATCACCTTAATAAACCCTATTGTTAAATACATAACCTAACTGGAAGGAGATAAACCAAGGTTAAGTAGCTGAATGCTTTTATGAGTTGGAAAGTCATTTTGAAACAGCCTTTTGCTTAATTAAGAGGAAACAGACTTAAAAAACTTTTTAGTTAAGAGAAAGCAAATCTAATCCATCTTGCTGCAAATATTTTTAGATCCACATTTTAATAGAATACATCTTAATAGAGAAGAACAAATACAAGGAACAGAATTTATAGACAATATGGCTACTGTAACAAGCCCAGATGAGTCTGCGAAGGTAATTTATTTATTTATTGATATCGGGGAGCAACAACAGGACAAACCCAATAAAGTTGCTCCACATAATTATTATATGCGAAAACCTTAAAGTAATATTTAATATGATTACAAATATGTTGTTATCTTAAATTAACATTATTAAATATTTAAATTACACATGGTGTGCGCAGTCTTCACAGCCTCGCGGACCGCAAACTTAATATTTCGTGGGTTACTCGAAAAAAGATCGCAACTCACCCGATCCGCGGTTCTTTGCATCCTCAGAATAGGCGAGTTACGATATGCGTTTGTTCGTGGAGTGGGCATATAAAAAAGGAAGTCTTACCGTAACTGACGAGGAGGAACATGAAAATCAATTCTCGCCATCAGCGATGGGGACAAGCTTGTACAAAAATAAAACGTCATTATATGCTCGTCGCTGGGAGAGCGTTAACAATCCGAACATTTCACAACCAGACGCATAGTTACTGTACACTTGTTGGGTTTTATAACACAAATATTTTATCAGTCGTTTCTGGATTCCTTNACCAGTGGTAATACGAAAAAAAACAACACAAAACTCAACGTTACAATTAAGATTATTAGTGAAAAAAATAAGTTAAAAAGTTGTGAATAAAAATTGTTGGCGAAGAACCGAAAAGTAATGATTTATAATCTATTTAAACTCATCTGACTATGTTATGGGTAGAAAGCTAAAATCGTGAAAATTTCAAAATGGGTGATTTTGTTGTCAAAATTGATTATAACTCAACAATTAAAATCGATGGAAGAAAACTTTATGGAGAAAAATTGTTCACATTGATCCATAATAGATCCTCCATAAGTAATTTAAATCTAGCTGTGGCCATATTTGAGGTAGAAAGCTATAATTTCCTAAAACCTCAATATGGATGATTTATTTGATTATAATGAGGTATAATTCAAGAAGTTAAAAATAATAATTTATAAATTATTATATAAATAAATAAATTATAATTTAGAGGTTGTTCAAGTTCCTTATAGTGAGTTTACACATGCATGGATTTAGTGGCGCCAATAAAAACTGGCGCGCCAGTAAAATTAAATTGCATGTGTAAACATCAACTGGCATGCAAGTTGAAACCATGCATGCATGGATCGGAAAAGTCTACATCCTTCTGAAATTACTGGCGCCAGTGATGAGTCTAAAACATGTAACCATGGCAACATAGGTGAATGTCCACAAAAATACAAAATTTTTTAATGTCAAATTTAGGTTATGTTTCATTGCATTCAAATTAAATCCCAATTACGTTAACACATTCAAAGATAACGTTTAATTATCCACATTAAACCTAGAATATATCTATTTTCGTTTCGGTTGAGGTCCTAATTTGTGTATATAGTTGTAGTACACTTTAAAAATGAAACTGGCGTGGCACATGTAATGTAAACCTTTACTGTCGTGCAAGTAGAACTGGCGCAACTACTGGCGCCACTAAATCCATGCATGTCTAAACTCACCTTAATGTAAACCTTTACTAGCGTGCAAGTAGAACTGGCGCAACTACTGGCGCCACTAAATCCATGCATGTCTAAACTCACCTTAACTGCTACAATGGTCCTCCAATATCAGATGATTTTATAACAATAACAGTCACAGAAAATGTAAGGATTCACATCAATTTAGCCTTGGAGGGTGAAAACTATACTTGAGCTAGCGATAAAAGTTGGCTGTTATATTAAAGTGTTATGTATTGGCGTTGGCAATCATTATTTATCGTTTAAGGTGGGTTTGGACATGTATGGATTAGTGGCGCCAGTAGTTGCGCCAGTTCAATTTGCACGCCAGTAATCCGATCCATGCATGCATGATTTCAACTTGCATACCAGTTGATGTTTACACATGCAATTTTATTTTACTGGTGCGCCAGTTTTTATTAGCGCCATTAAATCCATGCATGTCTAAACTCACTATTATGTACTGGAACGGCAAGGTAAACCCGGTTTTCACGCCCAATCGCATATACTTGTTATTCAATCAGTGTACTCATCTGTTATATTTTGACAGTTTTCTTTGGTAGTCACGTGCATAAGTTTCGCGTGTTTTGTAAAGCTCAAAGAAATACGGAAAATCCAGGTTGAAGAAAAAGAAGCAACACTTCAATCCGAAAACGACAAATAGAAGTGGGAGCAATATTAATGCGTTAATAAAAAATTGTTTTTCAACAAACAAATTTTTTTCCTAACAGATCGCAACCAAGCAATGAGCATGAACAACGCTTACACCTAAAAGAAAGAAAGAGTGCCTGTAATCAGATTATAATTTATAATACTTAGTACCATAAATATGTTATTATACATATTATCACGGGGTTTATAAGTCTATGCCGCTCCCCGCATTTCGATCGGCATTCTTCTACATTCCTTCATCCCTCTTGCGGTAAGGCTCGATCAGTCATAGTCTATTTGATCCCTTGAATCATGGATGTATTTGGTCTACCTCTCCTTCTTCTATATTAATATACATATCCAAGAGCTCTTTTTGGCCATCGGTTTTCGGGCATCCGCATCATATACCATATCAATTGTTTGGTTTCCTCCCCATCAATTGTATATACCCTGCTCGTCCGTCGTTTAAATTCCTCATTTGAGACATGTTTCAGTCTTGACACTCTACATGCGCTTCTTAGAAAGTCCTTTTTCAAGCTGCTTTTCGAAGTCAGCAGCCAACATTTCGATCCGTATGTTAAAATTGGCTTTACTACTTGACCATAATAAGGAATTTATCATACGAACCCNATTATCTCCCAAACTATTAATGTTAGGTATGGGACATATGGGATATAAAAGATGTAGAATGAGACGTCGAAGACGACTAAGTAATAAAATATGGGGGGTGCCATTTAAAAAAATGAAATTATGGTACTTGCAAATTTTGAAAAGTTAACGTGCCATAGTAAAGTGACCAAACGTTCTAGATAGCCGTTCTCGGCACCAAAACATACTCCATCATGTAGTTTAAGCATATTCTAACTCCTAAATTGATATCCCAAAAATTGAGTGTTCTCTGATTTTTTGAACAAATGTCTGTTGGAGCAGATTTTTCTAGAAAAATTCGAATAACTCGAGAACGGCTGAATCAAATTGCAAAAAGTAAAGTTATTTATAAACCCTGAATACAGACAAATCCAAATATGTAAAAATATACAGGGTGTTCCATTTAAAATAATAAAGTAGGTGGCGACTTCCGGTATAACCGGAAGTGCAAGAAATCTGAAAATATTTTAGTCGAAGAGATCGTAATTGATAATACTTAAGACTGAATTCTCAAATTTTTATTTTCACCAGAACCCCAGAAACGTCTAATGACCGGTCTCGCTGAGACACCCTGTATATCTGTTTGTTAGTCGCTTTTCTTCGGTGTAACCAATTTTTGAAGTTTTCAAACTACCAATCAGAGATACTATAAGTAAATAACTCCAGTGTTACTTAATGTAAATTTTTTTTTATTTTTTTGAAATATTTGATCAGCATTGTGAATTTGTATTCCGTTTTTAATTCTCGATGCTTCATTACATCTTCCTACCGCCAAGTCATTTTTTTCCTTCCAATCCTGAAAGGAAAAAGGATTAGGATTCTATTTAGATCACCTAAGATGTAAACTTCCTTGTCACCTTCAACATCAGATAATCAGTGTATAACCCGTCTAATATTACAGTTGAAAGGGGGTAACAAAAAATGAACATAATTTGACCTGGAAATCTTTATTTATTATAATTATTATAAAAGTAATTTTGTACAAAAAATTCTAGCCACAATTAAAACCATCATAATTCAGTATGAATATCATTACCACCTAAAAAGACAGCTAGATAAAAATTAATTCATTAAAAAAATAAAACAATTTTACTAACCTTGCACATCCTCTTCTTCATCATTATCAAAAATACCGGAATCGATTTTTTGTTGCAACCTCCTAACATCTTCATCGTAACCTTTCCATTCAGGTAATATCCTCACAGCTGCAGTAAGTTTCGCTTCTTTAGTCATCGGATTATTACACTAAAAATCAATTTTTGCACTAACAATTCATCCCAGTAATAAAAAAAACTTACTAAATCAATAGTTTTTGCGTATTGCTTCGATGCATCATCACACCATGTTTCACACCACAACCATTCTTGAGGTAAAGATTTAATAGCGACCTGATGTATCATATTGTTGGGCAAATCTTGATCGAGATTTGACAAGCTATTAGGATCTTGACTTAATGCTTGATATTGGCCTCGAAGTCGATCTCCAGCGGCGATTCGTCTAAATCTTTTCAAATCAACCACGTATAAAGCTGAAATGTGATAACGACGTCCTTGGAGGTGATTTCTCCAATATCCTTGTTTCCAAAATCGGAATCCATCCATTTCTTTACGCGAATCACAAAACGGGGTGTACCCATAAGGAGCTCCACCAAGATCTAATTGTTGGAGTTCTTTTAAATCGGCTCTTACAACTTGATCAGCATCGACGAATATAATCTTTTTGACGTCTAGAGGGAATAAAACGTCCAAAAACAAGATTTTATATCCCCAGATGATTCTTTGCTTCTCCGTTTGTTGATGAAGCCATCTCGGCCATTTATACTGAACTAATTCGTATTCGAAGCCGTATTCTTTAGCCATATACGGGAGGAAATCTTTTATTTGAGGGGATAAATAATTTTTTAAAAACCAAAACTTTACGGGAGTTTTGGTATGTTTTAAAACTGATAACATCATTATACGGATGAATCTTTCGTATAAATGACCAGATGCTAAAGAGAAAATGTTGAGTTTTTCATCTGCATCTTCTTCGTTACCACCAAAAGAGCTTTAGGAATAATTATATTATAAAAATAAAATAATAATTATATTTTTATATGAAATCAATAAATTTGTGAAAGATTTAGTTTCGATTTCAGATAAAATATTAAAAAAAAAGATTAAATAATAATTTGGAATTTTGTTACCTTTCATCTAAGAAAACACTGCATGCAAAAATGTTGGGTGAGATATCATGCAAATTTGATTAAAAATTGTTTTACCTTGCAATTGAATTCCAAATTCCACCGTTTGGTTCCTCTTCTGATAATAAATCCATATACATTTTATCAGGTTTCTTTTGTACTTTAAGTTTAACAATTAAGGATCTTAATGAATTTATTAAAACCTTGATATCTGACGAATTTTGTGGAGTATCTGTTCCTTCATGACTAAAATAATTTATATTTTGTTAAAATATTCGCTTATACAAAAAAAGATCTCTCTCTCTTTATGTACAGACTGGTCCATTTAATGTGAGACAAATGATTATCTCGATAACGATTTATTTTACATAAAAATGAATCAAATGAAAGTTGTTCTGTGACCATATGACGATAATATTTTTTGACCTTGACCTTATTTTCAAGGTTATATGAAGGTCACGACCAATTTATTAAATGGCACCTTATATACTTTTATTCAATTTTTCTTTTAATTTTTTTTAATAAGGTCAGTAGACAAATTACTTCACCGCGCGAAATTATGCGACCTAAATGAATTAGTTTTTTAAACACTTTATTAATTGTTAAGTTAGCGTTAAGATTTGTATATAAACCCAAAATTTCGACTTAATAAAACAGTATTGTTGATATCTTCGTAATGCTTCCTAGATTAAACATCTCGCCTGCCCGGAGTTTAATCTATTTCAAAATAAATATCTGGCCTGCCCGGGGTTTGAACATGGATCTTCGAGCAATCTAAGAACAAAGCCTAAAATGGGGAGTGAGGCTGCTCTCAGTAGCGAATTATCCACTTTGTTACGGATCAGGCCAAATTAGAGAGTGAGCCCGCTCTCAGTAACAAAGCTATCTTTTCAAACAAACAATAAATAAAAATAAACAAACAAAACCTTACACTTTTCCTTCATCATGGATGCCCAATATGCCCAAAATCAAGAAGAAATCGGTCAAAATATCAAGAAGTTACACATCAATATGACAAAAGAGTATATACAAAAGCGTTTACACACCCTCGAATCACTTTGGAAGAAGATCGAAGAAAATGATGGCAAAATGGAAGCCATAAAAATACCAAATCATTCGTATTACACCTCAAACTATTACCTGCAATTACAACAAGTGTACAACGATGCTCTAAGCTACATAAAAGAGTGTCAAAAAGCACAACATCTCGAAACTAGGGTGGAAGAAGCAACTGAAGAACCAGAACATATCCGAAGAATAAAAAGGCAGGAAATAAGAATCAAAGAAATGGGTAAACTAATCGACAAAGTAAAACTGGAAATGGTGCAATCTAAACAAAAAAGCACTTATGAATATCTTCGACGTCAACTTCAACAGCAAATGGACAGCATCTCAAGATTGGAAGAAGATATCCAGATAGAAGAAACAAGATTTCAAGCCCGATACTTGGAAGAAGATGTATATTCCAACCTTCAGACAGATTTTTTTGCCGTAATGGAAAAACTAGAAGACATCATTTCTAACCCACCTTCCTCTGAAACACAACATTTCCCTAAGAATACTGCTATCCCTCTTCCACAAATAAAACTTTCCATATTTGATGGATCCTATGACCAATGGATCACCTTCTATGACCTTTTCCAAAAAATAATCCATGTTAGTATATCCCTAACACCTCCCTGAAAGGAGAAGCTAGTCGAATAATCCAACACCTGCAAATATCCGATAGTAATTATGATGTAGCGTGGACACTTCTACAAAAACGTTACCAAAATAATTAATTCTATCAAAATTACAGGACAAGATTTTGGATCTGCCAGCAACTACGACTGAAAACGGGGAAAAGATAAAGGAATTATACGACACAACAGTCGAGTGTCTCCAACCATATCGAAACTGGGAATTCCTACGGAATCTTGGGGTCCTATCTTAGAAAGAATACTTGTCAGAAAATGAGACGAACAAGCAATACGAACTGTCATTGAAAGAACCACATAAAATACAAGACTTTCAAGATTTAGTAAGTTTTCTCAGAACTCGCTTCCAAACACTAGAAGCAATCGCTGAACCAAAAAAGCGAAATAATCCAATGCAAGCAAAAGAAGCTTACAATAAGAATAAGTGCAGATATTGTAAAGAAAACCACATAATACACTTTTGCATGAAATTCAAAAAACTTACAGTTCCAGAAACGACAGGGTACATCAAATTTCAAAAATTGCTTATCTCACGACAAAAGCTACATCATACGTTGCTTCATAGAGATGAGAACAAGCAGATTAACCAAAGCACAAAATCTACAAAAAATGTAATCCTAGTTTCTACCAAAAAAGAAAGAAAGAACAGGATTGCATCAAGCGGACTAGAAAGTGAAATTCCTCTAGCAACAGCCCTGGTGAAAGTCAAGACAGTTTCCGGCAATTCCGAAAAACTCCGAATACTTATTGATCCAGGATTCCAAGCCTCCTTCATCACGGAAGAAGCAGCGCACTTACTCGCTCATCCAAGGCAAAAAATACATGCCAAAATATCTAGGCTGGAAGACGGCTCACCAAAGATATCAAAATGGAAAGTGGACCTAAACGTCCAACCTCATTTTCCGAGTAACTTTACTCTTAATACCACTTTCCATTTTATGTAAGCTAACGCAATCATTACCAAATAAAAATCTACCAATTTCCTCAGACGAACACTGAAACAACAAAATCCTAGTTGATCCCACCTATAATATTCCTGGTCCTATAGATGTTATAATCGGAACAGAAGAATATAGATAAATCATTCAAGACGGGATTCATAAAGCTGAACATGGATTATTAGGACAGAAGACGGAGTTTGAAAGAGAAACAAGCTACCACATTTATAAGCATGATAAATCGAGTCGAAGAAGACGCTCAATTAAAGAAGTTCTGGGAAATTGAAGAAGTTTTAGTTCCAAGGATTCAAACGAAAGAAGATGTCGATTGTGAAGTTCCTTACCAAAACAACACAAAGAGAAATGATGACGGTACATACACTGTCCCAATCCCTTTTAAAACTGAACCAGAATTTGGTGAATCCAAACGTCGAGCAGTAGCAAGACTAACACAAATGGAAAGACGGTTGGCAAAAAATGAACAATTGAAACTCCAATACCATGAATGGAAGAGTACTTAAAACTTGGTCATATGGAAAAAATACAACCCGATGATCAACCTGCTAAGTACTACATTCCTCATCAAGCACTACAACAAAACTCAGAGTAGCTCAGAGCTCAGAGTACTTTACTGTAAAATCTGAATCTGTGGATAAAAGTATAGTAAATCAAAAAAAAAAAAAAAAAATATTTGACTGTATGGTTTTGCCAGTACAATGGCAAAACATCTTCTTCAGAAACAATTAACTAACGTTTATAATTTAGCAAGAACAAATAAGATTTATGAATTTTTAAACATTTTCCTATCCGCTTCGATACATTGCCTTTAGTTGTTAATTCTTAGAATACTATTTAAGAAGAATGCTCAACAAAAAAAATCCAGAAGAGGTACATAGGGTGACCTGGCTCGTCGGAAATACCTTTGGAAAGAGGTCTAATAGGTTCCAACATTTCTCCGCTTTTGTCAATTTGATAATAGAATAACGCATAAAAAAGAAGAGTTCGTGGAACTGCTTATGTCGGCATTTTCAGAGACTTAATTGGATGAATTGTTTTAAAATGTATCAGGTAAAACTAATTTTGCATAAAAACTGCTTGGCAACAAATTCTGAATTCATTCTATCGTTTTACATTAAGGCAAAGTGTTTAAACTAAGTCATTAAATCATGGATACTCTAAGTGTGGCAGAAAAAGTCGAAATGATTTTTATTTATGGATAAAGCGGCAGAAAAATTGCTGATAGTATAGCTTTGTATCGAGAACGTTTTCCTGATCAAAATACGCCTTCGAGAAGTACCTTTTACAGAGTTGTGAATGATTTCACTAACACTGGATAGAGTGTCAACTATAAATTGAGGTTAAGTGTATTTTTATTAACGTGGCCTTAAGTAGAGCGAATTTTGTGAAATTTGCCAGTTATGGCCATGATGTGGCCATAAGTGAATTAGCGTAAACCAAGTTATGGCCATTCTGTTAAATTTGATGCTTCAACGGATTTTGAAAACTCCATTTTCAAACCAGTTTCGGAAATAGAGGTGACGCAAGAATTCAAAATTTCTAATGAAATAGTCACTGAGATGCAAACACCCCAAATTTCAAACTCCCAAGAATGCTTACCTCGTCAACTAGAAGCTCAACAAATTACAGGATTTCTACTTCAACAGCAAAGCTGAAAGAGTTGATCCATCAACATCATCAACGTCGAATATACTTGCCACGCCTAAACGGTCTCTTGCCTCAATGATGTCATTCCTTAACCACACCATAAACCGACAGTACGAAAAAGGAAAAAAGAATACTCGAAGCGTTGTTACGTCTGACAAATGGGTGGAGTATTTTGAACTCAAAGAGAAAGAGAAGAAGATTCGAGAAGAGCTGATAATGGAGAGAAAGAAGAAAAGTATAGTGCAGAAAAATAAAGTAGAGGAAGCGCAGAAGGCAAAGAAGACGAAAAAGACCAAGGAAAACTGTTTACAAGAAGAAGAGTGGAATGAAAGCGGAAACAGCTTAGATGATGTAGACGATATTGAGACAGAAAATCAAGAAACAATTGATATGTAGTGTATTCTGCCCTGCAGGAGTGTGTTGGACGATGAGTTTGAAGTACAATGTCTAAAAAGCTTAGATCAGACTAATTGTAAGACACATTTCAACGTGTTAGACAATGGCAAATGTGCCATTACAAACGAAGAAATCCTTGGAACGCTTCCAGAACCCGAACTGAAAAATGTTGATTGAAAGATGACGATTGTTTTCCGCAGAGTTGTAGACGTATTTGAAAAACAATAAACGTATTTATCTCCTTAACTTTTGTTGTATCTATGTGACTAATAAAATCTAAAAATTGTATTTTATTGCGGTTGATTTCTACGCAAACAAATTATGGTGGCCATAAGTGGAAACTTTTATGGATATAACAGCGGTTTTGGTGGCCATAAATGGAGAAATTGATTTACTTTTGATAATATTTTTTTTTTATTTTAAAATACTTGGTACGCAAATAAAATGGAAGGTGTCTATATGCAACAAGAGCTAAGATACCGAATTTTAAAAGTTGAAGAGTACTAAATGTGGCCATAACTGGTTTCTCTACCCTAGATTTTGTCTACAAAAGATGTTTCGTCGTCGTACTGGCAAAACCACACGATACATTCAGATTTTACAATCAAAAATATAGGGTGCCATTTAGAAAATTGGTCGTGACCTTCATATAACCTTGAAAATAAGATCAAGGTCAAAAAAATTTATCATATGTCATATGGTTTCCCCCTTGGCACAGAACAACTTTCATTTGGTTCATTTTTATGTAAAATAAACCGTTTTCGAGATAGTCGTTAAATGGACCATCCTGTAGATTAACTTTTTACCTAACAATATCATAAATATCAGCACTTCGACCTTGTCTAAGTCGCAATAACCAAGCTCCAGGATTCGCTTTTAATTGAAAATATCCTAAATTAGCCATAACAATAGTATCGACAATAACCGGTTTATGTTCAGTTCCTAAAGTAATTTGAAGCCCACGTGGTGGACTTCCTGTTGTTGATTCAAAACAATGACCTTCAACCAACAAATATTCCAGTTCATATTCACTATGAACATTGCTATCAACATCTTCCAATCGAATATTATCCAAGTCATATACAGATCGGACGACTTCAACTAACCAATTTTCTGGAACATGCATATTTTGGGTTAATAACGGCGAAGTTGGCATATTTCCAAATTTAGCACTAGGACCCAAAAGTTGTTTGCCATCTTCACCGAAATGTATCTCAGACTCCAAAACGAATCGATAAAAACTTTTAACCGGCATATCGCTATTTTTTTCTACGCTATTTAAGAACACTCTTATATTGCAATTAAGTACTTCTTGTAAGACTTGTAAAATTGGGCCTATTTTTTGTGCTCCTCTCGAAACCGGATCGACGACAGCGACGATATCAAAAGCGGCTTTGTTTGGATCAGAAGCCGGAAATTTCAAAACTGAATGTTCATCGCCGACATATTTAATTTCAAAACGGGATTTTGTTTGGGGTCGCGAATTTAAAATCGAAATGATTCTTAAAAGTCCGTTTGTTGTGAGAACATTATCATCGTCGGTTTGATCTAAAGTTTCCGTAATTTGTTTAAGATAAGTTGTTGAAGTAAATTGATCTAATAAAGCAAAATCATCCCCCGTGAAATCTTCGTTGGTTTCAAATGGACCCAAAACCCTTCCATTTATAATTACCCCCCTATTCGTATCGTTGAAAGATAATACACGTTGACAATAAACTCTAAGCATTTTCAACGATAATTCTTGTGATTCTATTTTATTTTTCAATTGAGTTGGAACCTCAATTTTTGGATCTTTTAATAATTGAACAACAAAATTATAAGCTTCTTTAGCAGGGAGTTCATTTAAAGCTGCCAAAACCAATTTATTTAAATAATTATCCCTATTATCTCCATCTACATTCGGCAAAAAACTAACTCGAATGTCATTATTAGATTTCATATGATCCAAAGCTTCAGATAATAAACGTCTTGATTTCTCATCGTTTAAATCACCCACAATCCAATAAGTCATTGAATGATATTTCTCGATTTTCCTTTGACTTGTAAAATATTTCAAATTCTCCAAAGCTGTGGCAGTCATATCTCTTGGTGAAAGCTTAATTAAATCATCAATTTTCATAGTAGAACAAGGAGTTCCGCTTAAATCTAAATAAACCGAACCTTCTTTATTTAAAACTCGTTCGTTTAAGCGCGGCATAACGTTCGGTTGGCTCATTATAAAATCAAAAACGTCATCGCGTTCTTGTAATTTCCCGCGATAAATCGCTTTTTGAAAAATGGGAGTTTGCGACATAACCTCTTGGAGAAGGGCTTCTTCAAAATCGTCGACGTTTATTTGGGAGCTTTGAATCGGGATACCGTTTATTAAAGCTTGAGGAAAACCTTTTAATCCCGTTCTTTGAATAAAATCTTCAGCTAATTGACGACCGAAATTATAATCAGAATCATCACCTAAGATATCATTAGGATCATCATCATATTTTTTTCGAATATAATTACTTATATCTTCAACGGTTATTTTTTCATCGGATTTTGCGATTGAATAAATGTGGTGTAAAAAGTTTAAAGCGGTTGTTGAATCTTTATTTTGCGAAATATAATTAAAAGCGCACACCATTGCGACTCCTGCGTCCTCTAAACCGGTTACAACCGGCGAAGAATTTACCGAAAATACAATTCCAACGCGAATTGGGGCTATGTGGATAACAAAAGATTCCAAAAGTTTTACAATTCCTCTTACTTTTGGATCTAAAGGATCAATAATCACAACCAAATTAAATAAGTTTCTACGAACTTGTCGAATCATTCCTGGAAATGTTGGTCTTAACAAATCCATTAAATTTGATGACCAACGATGATATTTAGCGTCATTTTCAATGTCGTTAATCCAATTAATTGCCGAATCGCGGATATCGATAGCGAATTCTTGCGTGGAACTAGAATCGCCAAAATCCAAAGCTAATAATGAAGATAATCGTGAGCTTCCAACTCCTATTGAATGTAAACCATCGATTGTACGTAATTCCTGTCTTAAAATATCTAATATTCCATAAACATCGACGAGATCGACATCATAGAAAAGACCGTTTATGAATAAAGCTGTGTCACTCGGTTGAAGATTTAAATGAGAAGAAAATAATTCTGAATTTTTACGCATTTCGTCTTTTAATTTTTCGTTTACTATAGTTTTCACGAGACCTTTTGCCTAATAATAAAACATAAAAATATTAAAACATATTATATTACAAAATGAAAGTTATATAATTGCACATGAAAATAGATCAGTTTAAAATCAAACTGTAAGATGGTTCCTTGCAATGTAATTTTTGTAAAGGGAGTTAGCTGAACTAATTTCACTCTATAAATATAAAAGATAATCATCATGCCTGCTTTCTCTAAGGTTCTAAAAAAAAATTTTAGAACAAAGGATACTTAACTTTTTGAATAAAAATAAATAGGTACTTCACGGATGAGCAATTTGGTTTCCAAAAGAATTGTGGTATAGCAATACTTTACGATATTATTCAGTAAAAGCAATTTGTGGAATTTATACAGAAAACTCAAATCATGCCATTGAAATTCAAGCCATCAAACGAGCTCGATGATGACGTTTGGTTTTTATGAGTACCAAATGCAACAATTTTGCTGATTGACATGGACTTTGATGTGGAAATGGGCTTCATCTGGAAAAATGATTTTTCGGTAAAAATGCTCATCTTCAGCCAAGCGATTTCCAGCCCATTGGGCGAACCGAAAACGCATCGGATGGTCATAAGGCTTCAGTTCTTGGACTAATTAAACTTTGTAAGCTTTCATACCGTGGTCTTTATGTAAAATTTTCCTCACAGTAGTGTGAGAAATGTTCCTTTTCTGAGAACGATGACGAGTTGATGGATGAGCGTACTGGACGATATGTTGTATCCAATAACAATCCAGTTTCACGAATTGATCAACAAACTAAGTTGATTCCACATTAATTCCAAACTTTTCACGTAAATTTCTTACAATTTGGGTTCAAGACTCAACACTTTGGAAGTAAATTTTCAATATTCCTCATTTTGCTTCAAGCCTAAAGCCCATTTTGCAAATGTCAAATATAAATCTAACAGACTAGCGAAATTTAAACATTCAAATTTCCAAACATTAGATTGCCTGCCCTGTAATAATTGCGTGTAGAATTAGTGAACCATTTGGGTTCACAGATATTTCAGATTGAAAAATTTGTACTGAATAGTCATTTTATAGCAGCCATGTTAAACTCAAAGTCATTGGTGGGCCTAAAACATTCTTGGTATTGAACAGGCAAGTAGTTATAAAATTCGAATGTACCAACATTATCAAATTTTTGTTTTAAACAGATCTGACACTGAATCTCAATCACTTCCATCTGCAAGTGAGGGAGAACTTTATCAATATCGATAGTAAAAAGACCAATACATAAAGACAAATTGTTTTGTTGGGACTTAAAATCCTGAAAACGGTTTTCAAATTCTGCCAGAAGGCTTCCCATTTTCTCTGTATACAGGGTGAGTTATTAGCAGAGCCGCGATGTTTCGGGCTGTTGATGTCACCATCTGTATAGAGCAGCGAACGGGTTATAGTGTAGTAGTAACATGCTTCTATCAAGCACATCGATGTGCCGCAACGTAACGATACTGGTTAAATGCTGGCCTATGTAAAATTTGGGGGGAGTTCTCTGCGGTGCAGCGTTCAATACGTGTTTGGCCGATTGTCCGACTAAAACTCAACCAGTGGCGTGGTATACTATATGTGGCGTGATGTGGCCCGAGTCTCTACCGTAAGGCGACGAGCCGCCAATGAGTTGCTTGACAACGTCGCGGCTCTGGTTATTAGTATCCCGACGGACGATAGTTGCTAAACCGTTTGAGAAAGAAAAAAATGTTTTATACAAAAGCTCACCACTTTTTATTACGTAAAATTATTTTCACTTATACAGGATGTTCGATTTAAGCGTAATGTAGATTTTTTAAATGGAACACCTATACATTTTATCATATTATGAACAGCATTAAATTTGTTTATACAACCGTATATGTTACTAACTCATAGCGTTCATAGTTCCTGAGATATTCAATTGTTTTTCCAAATGTGTCTATTGCAGAATCTTTTTAAAAACGATGTAAAAACAAAATTTTTGCAGTTTTGCCTTGAAACTATGTCAAATAATAGTCAAAGCCAGTAGATAAATGATAGTAACCAAAGATATTAAATACGCTATATAGCGTGTTCATAAATTTGGTGTTTTTCAAATGGTTTTTTCATAAGTTTTTTAAATGGAACAACCTATATATTGTGTGCTGGTTGAATTGCCCATCAAGTTACCTTTAATTAATGATAAGTATGTCATAAGTATGTCATGACAAAAAAGGATAGAATATATTCTGTCAGTTTTTTAAGTACAATAATGTCATTTTATTACACATTTTTCTTTAAATTCTAAATATCAGGAAAACTATTAAAGTTAGACATATGACATACTTATCATTAATTAAAGGGAACTTAATGAGCAATTCAACTAGCACACAACATACAGGGTGTTCCATTTAAAAAACTTAATATGTATCTAATATCTTTGAATACTATCATCTACCTACTGGCTTTGACTATTGTCTGTCATGGTTTTTAAAAAGATCATAAAATGTAATGGACACATTTTGGAAGAACAATAAATTGAATATCTCAGGAACTATGAACGCTGTGAAATAGTAACATATACGGTTATATAAACAAAATTAGTTGTATTCATAATATGATAAAATATACAGGATGTTCCATTTAAATAAATTTATGTACTCTCAGTTACGCTTAAATGGAACACTCTGTATAAGTGAAAATAATTTTACGTAATAGAAAGTAATGAGTCAAACAACTTTTGTATAAAATATTTTTTTGTTTTTCAAACGGTTTAGTAACTATCGACCGCTGGGATACTAATAACTCACCCTGTATATTTTGTATGATATTGGGGCACGTGTACTTTCCTGACACGCCTTACAAGTTGGAAAATGTGACAGATCCACTGCTAACTGTTTTTCCCACAGCATCATCTTACACTTAAAAACTTTCACATGATCATGCATATCTGTTATAACTTGACGTGGCCCTTGCAATTTCGTGTTTTGTGATATCTACCATAAATGAAAGATTTAGTAAAAAAAAGTCCGTTGGATAATAAGCTGACATTTTGTCCTTTCACTTCCATGAAAGAGCGTATGTCTTCTTTAAGTGTTCAAAACCGATCGAGAATCATAGAACACGAAAGCCATTGATTGCACTTCTGCATAATAAGTAAACCAATGTACTCACTTTCTAAATCACGTAAAAATACAGAAAACGCTGAAAACGCAGTGTCGCTGATTCAAGCCACATGACCTTATGAAGTTTATCATTTTTTTCACTGATTTTAAAACGCTTTCCAACTTGATCACTTTTGAGCATATAACTTCTTGGTGGATTATACAATGAACATGATGATATTTTTGTGGAAGTCCTTCCCAATTGTTGTATCATGCCATGGTACTAATTCCAGTACTCTGTACAGGGTGTCCAAATTTCGATGGGTTTGCAGGGTATCTCAGTTATTATGAAAGATAGAAAGTTGCGGATTTCGCGAACCTGAGCTACTTTTTTGTGAAACTTACAATGGCGCAAACCAAATTTTCATAGCCCTCTTCGTTTTTGATATACAGGGAGTGTTTGAAATTTACGATTTTCAGACACCTCCTGTATCTCGGCTATCCGGAAACTTAGTAAAAAAGTAAAAACGGGTTCTAATAGATTTTTTCACGTGGAATCCAATGGTGCACGTAGAATTTTTCTAGTCATCACGGTTTTTGAGTTATAAACACAACTCAAATACTGAATACTCAACTTCTAAAATACTTAACTCTTTATAACTCAAAAACCGTGATGACTAGAAAAATTCTACGTGCACCATTGGATTCTACGTGAAAAAATCTATTAGAACCCGTTTTTACGTTTCCGGATAGCCGAGATACAGGAGGTGTCTGAAAATCGTAAATTTTGAAACACTCCCTGTATATCAAAAACGAAGAGGGCTATGAAAATTTGGTTTGCGCCATTGTAAGTTTCACAAAAAAGTAGCTCAGTTTCGCGAAAACCGCAACTTTCTATCTTTCATAATAACTGAGATACCCTGCAAACCCATCGAAATTTGGACACCCTGTACAAGGCACTCATTACAAGAGGTATAAGCCCTGCTTGGTGTGAAAAGCATTTTAAGAATATTTTCATATTTTGAAAACAAAGTCGACCTTGACAGTGAATTGAAAACTATTACTATTACTACATGATATAGAAAAATTTGATTAAGAACAATTGTTCAAAATTCGAAAGTATGGTCCTATACAAAATTTCAGAAGGATCCATCTACTTTGGTTGAACCATCATATTTTAGTTTAAATAACATAAATATTGTATAATTTTATTTTATTTATAAAAAATCGAACGTAAACATAACTGTCGTTTATTCAACATAATATCCACCTCTTGTTGCATCTCACTTTTCTATACGATGCCTAAATTCTCTAAAGCTGTTCTGAATTTCTTGCGTATTTGTCCTATACCATTTGTTATCCGTTCTTTTAGTATTTCTCGATCGTTCGGTATTGGTTGAGCGAAAACTAGTTGTTTAAGGTGACCCCATAAAAAAATTTAATATTGTAAGGTCGGAAAATCTTGGAGGCCACGCAATTGGACCATTTCTAGATGTAATCTTTTCTCGAAATATTAAATTTAACCATTCATACACGAGTGCTGTAGAATGTGTAGGGCATCCATCGTATTGGAAGTAAATTGCCTGTCTTTCTATCAACGGCATGTCGTCTAAGTATTCTTCCCTGAACCTTTCAAGTAGCTGTAAATAAGAATACTGATTAACGGCCCCTCTATGAAGACCCAATAATACCTAAACGGTATGAAATGGCGCACGAATCATTCACTTTTTGGTAATAATGTCTATTACAGTTGATGCGAAAATTTAAATTTTCCGTGAACCAGTAACGACAATTTTGAGAAGAAATAACGCCATTTGTGCTAAAAGATATTTCGTCCGAAAACACAATCTTTTTATAAAAATGTCGTTCTTCGATGCATTTCATTCAAACATTCATCAATTGAGCTAAGGAGTGCTAAGGTGTCTTATCTGCCACATAGAAATGATGGCTATACCTACTGAGGCAAATGTTAGTAGATTTTCAATGATATGATTAGATTAGTGTTTACCCAAACACTACAGTAATAGAATCTTGACTTGCCATAAGAAATTTAAAAACTAAATTAATCGTACAGAGTTTATATTACAAGTAATCCAACCAATTTTTGGTCTTTTCTTAAACATAGAAAAGGCGTGGGCAGATTTCCAGCATTAACGACACTTGGCTCCTGCTATGCTACTAACGGTTTTATTGCATCCATGTGGTTTGTCCTGGGGTTGGTAGCATTGTGGATGCTGAAAATTTTGAAGTCTTCAATAATGCGAACCAGTATCGGATGAAATCCTTGCTGTGGTAATAAAAAATTTTATTTATCACTCACGATTTTGTTTACTGACTCTTTAAGTACCTTTGTTTTCCCAAAGATTTAGAAAAAAGCCCATGTCATACGAGTTTTTAAGTCTGGTAACTGTAACACTGCTTCGAATTATAGACCAATTTCAGAAATATCATTACAATATATGATATCATTCGTCTCGTTAAAATATGGAAGAATGTTCGATAAGATGTTATTAAAGCCGGTGAAGGCAATATTTTAGTCTTGACGCAAGAAGTTCAGCTGGTTTTTTAGATAAATTTAAATCTCGAATCAAATCATCCTAAGAAAAACCTGGAAGTGTTGAACTGCATCCCTCGAATTCGCTATTACTCTTACCCTGACTATCTAACATTTCAACATCATCACAGCAATCGTCTGATAAGGAAGTAAATACCGGTTTTGTAAATCTTCACTATGTAGCATTAGTGGCATAGATTGTATGTTTGGGTAAAACAAACGAAAAAAACATACCTTTTATATTTACAGCACAAAAGTAGCAATCACAGTAATCACAATGGTCAAGGTTATTAACACAAGACTTACGTGAAGAACACATACTTTTTGTAACAATAATTTGAATAATATAATCAATTGGGATTGTTTAACATTCAAAAATTATGTACAAGGTGCTATTTATCATGTCATACTTCAAAAAAGACAAGTTAATGAGAGTATATCATGATGATACTTCATAACCATATATACCTAAATTGATTCCATAAACTTATACCACAAAAAAAAGTTTCAGTTCTCTCCACTAATGAGAATGGCATGGACAGCTAATTACCTTACAGTTGATATTTTTCATCATATGTAATATATGCAATTATTACACATTGCATATACAGAAAGGTTCAGAACTGTTTGGAGCTACTGAACTTTTGAACCAAAACAGGCTTACTGTGTAAAATATTTTTAATTTGTATTTGCTTTTATATTATTATTAACATAACCTTTTTTAATGTGCAATTAAATCATACCCTAAATAAATTACTTACCTGCATTGGAAAGTTTTGAGCAATATTAGTAAACACTTTCAATGCCTCTTCTTTAGGAGCATTCATAATCCTTTCAGCAGCCTGTAAACTTAACTCTTGAAATTGCCATACTTTAAGTGGGGCCATCTCATTCGAAGAATCTTCCAAAAATTGCTTAAATTTATCTAAATCCTTTTTATGATCAGGAAACAAAGTTTTTAACTTTGAAAAGTTGAATCCTTCAATTTCAAAGTCCTCCTCTTCTTGGGAAGATTCCTCGGAACTACTATCATCATGCAGTTGAGTGTCATCTTGGGCTTTGTATTCAGTTGATTTCATTTGAAGCTCAACACCATACCCAGAAAGGCGTAAACGCCTTTCAGGTCTCTCTTTGACAAAATGTCTTATTATGTAATCTATTTTACCAAGTTGAGCTTCATTTTTAAGTAAATTATGAAATTTACAAAAATCTACTGTGCCTAATTCACCGTATAAGATGACTGTAAGGGATCTATTTTGTGAACCGGGGAAATGAGTGTCTACATTGAAGATTTCTGGATGTTTTCCACCAGATTCTTTTAACTTTTAATAAAAAATAAATAAATATTTTTGATTTAATAAAAAAGATGATTAGAAATAATTACCTTATTAATTAATTCTTTAGCTTCTTTTACATCACAAGTAAATGTCCCACCAACATCAGCAACAATAGGACATTCAGGTAAATTGACTTCTTTAGCCATTTGACTAAACATTTCTATTTTAGGGGAATAAATATGTAAAGACAATCCTAATTTTAACACAGATAATTGCGAATCAGTGGTAAATTTTGCTGCATGTTTAATAATTATGTTGTATTTTTCTTTATCAGAACCTATTTATTAATTAAAAGATGTAAATAAAATTTGTGTTGTGTTATATGACCTTACCTAATTTTTCTAAAGCTGGGTCTAAACTGCATATAGAATCGATAAAACTCCAATAAAGATCCACATTTTCATCGGCTAAATACTCGGCTACCTCTAAAACTAAAGGAGTAACAGCCCATTTTGCTTCAAGGAGTGTAGTAACCGATTTCGCCTTTTTTGTTCTTCCAAAAACATTGTAAACGTTAAGAAATAATAAATAAATTAGTGTCGTTGTGAACTTCATCCTATTTTAAAAATAAAATTTACAATAAGATTACAATTGTCATTTTTGACAGCAAACTTAACCTTAAAATGTAAGCGGTGACAGCAAAAAGATTATGAACACGAATTATTAGCTAAGTTAACTTTTTTTAACTTCAACAAGGTGACGAGTACATATTTTTTAGGTAATTTTTCAAGTTAAACTAATTTTTATAATCGTTATAATTGTTATCTAGCGGTGTTTTTGAGGTGAATAAAAATACTGGCGGCCAATCAAATTTTGACACTTAACTTGTACGCGTTGGCGGTTGGTAGCACTTTTGAAATGAATTTAAATATAGGGTGATTATTTAAAAGTAAACTTTTATATTTTTAAATTGGGTTTTATTTATTTTAAATAATACAGATTATGCATAAAATTATTGGATTTAGAAATGTAATATTTTAATATCGAAATGGGTTGAGTAAATATTTATGAGGTTGGTAACGAAATTAAAATTTTTGGGGGATAATAAATACATAATAAAATAACTATATATTTATAAATTATACTAATTTAGACTTCGCAAGCACCTCTTGAAGTTATACTTATAGTTCCTCTTACATCTGTTACTTGATTCACATCAAACTCACCACACTAAAAACGATATAATAAATAATATAAATTTACTTAAATTGATTATTTACTTGTGAGTCGAACTTTCTACTTTTTTCAAAGGACATTACTTTTTCTTGGGTGTAAGAATTATGGTCGAAATGAGTTTGGGATAAAAGCAAAGGGCTTGATTCGCTTGAATCAGAAAAGTCCCAAAAGCTTTCTGAATTCGATGATTGTCGTAGGGATCTATCCAACATTTTTCTTCGGATAAAATAAAAAATCCATATCGAAATGCCTAAAATAAATGTAGATCCAGCCATTGTAGTAGAAGCCACAGCAAATCCATAATGTTCTAATAAAATTCCTCCTAAAGAAGGACCAATAACTTCACCTAAAGAATACATACAAGACCAAATTCCTGCGACAATGCCATAAGTTGGGATTGCATTCGAATAACCACCTTCACTAAGAAAAAAAAAATGATAATAATATATTGTAATAAATAATAAATTGTTGTTTACATAGCACTTGTTAGAACTCCTTGAAATGTTGGAAGTAGTGATAAAGCAACAGAAATTCCTATTATTGATAAGGCAACTAAGTTTAGAGGTAGAGAACTGAAAAAAAGAAAAAGCAAGATTAATTTTTTGTTGTTAGTAAAATTAATTATTTACTTGGGTAAAAAATTAAATAAAGGCGATGGTCCTAATAATAATAAACCAAATGAGGAAAAAATTAATCCCAAAGCCATCATGTGCCAATGATTAAAAACTCTATCGGCCAACCAGCCCCAAATTGGACTAAAAATTCCGTACAAAGCCGAAAACAATAAAAAAATTAGACCTACATGTTCCGGAGATAAATCAAACTAAAATAATAAATAAACTGTATAACATAAATTGTAATTATTCAATTATTACTTCTCTTAAATGCGGTTCTAATGTTGGATCCAAAAAAGCCCAAGCACTAGAAGTTACAACGATAACTAATCCGATTACCAAAACAGCAGGAACTTTTACAAGTGAAAGCATCGATGTATTTTGATTACTTACATCACAATCTAAAAAGAAAAAAAAGTAATTTCGATTGAATCAAAAGTTTATTTGGTGTTTTACGTTCAACCGGTTTCAACAAAAACATATTAATTGGAATTGCACAGACCATTGTAGCTCCTAAAACAAAAAATGGAGCTTCGAAACCTCCTATCTACCCTAAAACAAATCGTGAATAAAAATCATGTGTAAATGTTGGGGTTATTTTAATACCGAGTAAAGGAATCCTCCAAGAGCTGGACCTATACTCATTCCCAACCCAACGAATGTCTCTAAAATACCCTAAAAATAAATTAATTATTAAACATTTGGGGCAAATAAAGATTAACGCACAAAAACTGATCCCATATTATCTGGAAATGTTGCCACAACATAAACATAACTTGCAGTGGAAAAAGCACTTGCTCCCAAAGCTTCTAAACCACGTATTAAAAAACAAAATGATGTAAATAAAGTGTAATCGTTTACAAATTCGAGTAATCTAAAAAAATATATATAGAAAATCGTTAAACGTGTTAATATTAAGTACCCAAAAAGTATGTTGCAAATTCCAGAAAAAAAGATTCCCGATAAAAAGACCGATCTTGCTCCAAGTTTGGGTAACTAAAAAAAATCTTTTAATAAATTTAATAACATTTTAATGTTAATAAATACAATTTTTCCAAAAATTGGAGCTGTTATAAAAACCACCAAAGCATGAAAACTGAATACAAATCCCGACATTGTTGGAGATAACCCTTTAGCAGCCGCTTCCCTTGGAAAAAATGGTGCTAAAATCGACATTGAACAAAAACACATAAAATCGACCACAGCCAAAGAAATTAAAGTCATTATTTGGGACTTATCCAATTTCTTTAAGGTTGACGTTTCGACTCGAGAATTTAATCTGTAAAATGTAATAATAATCTTAAAATAAACCCCATTTTGGATTATATCCAAAAATGATTTAAATTTTATTTATAAATATAAAGTGTATCTTAAATGTTTTTTTTTTACCTCATAAGTCTTTCTCGTAATCTCCTTAATTCTCCGGGTGCATAATTATATTGAGTAAAATTGGCTAAAGATCTTGATCGAGGAATACATCTTCCACTTGAACTACTACTTGAAAAAGATACTGTAAAACTATCTTGCAAATCTTTACTGCAAGATGAAAGATTATTTTTTGTGTACGTTGGAACTCCCATCGTGAAAATAAACTACAAAAATTACAACTCAAACTTTATAATTAAGTAGACAACTATTTGTAGTTTTTAGATAACGAAATATACGCACTTAAAACGATTTGTTTATTCTATAAATTTCTGTTTGTAAAGATCTCGTTCTTGGAAATTTCCGTAAGTTATTTCTAGATAAATTAAAAACTTTCTAATTAATGAACGAACAATAGTGACACTGGTTAAAGATATCATATCCTTTTTACATTTAAAACTCAACTGAACCCGTTTTGTTGTCTTAGCCTTTTTCTTTATCTTTTATGTAAAAGTCGACACAAACGACGTGATGATTACGAGTTCTTCAGCTGATAAACAGCTGGTTCATTTCACAATTCACTCCCAAAAAACTCAAAATATTTCTAACAACTTGTTATTACCAAAGTTTCAATTAAATTTCGAAAATAAAAACAACTGTAATAAACAACAATTTATTGATCTTGTTCGAAAAAAATAAATATTACAACCAAATTTACTGAATAACATTTTCAGTGTTAACATCACATTTTGAACATTTCTCTTTTTTTATTATAAAATAAGCGGTCGTTACGATGGCAAATATAAAATTCATTCCTGCCAAGGCAGTCGATGCTCGGGGAAATCCCCAATGTTGTAAAAGCACCCCACCTAACGCAGGACCGATTATTTCACCTAAAGAATAAGACGATGACCATAATCCGGCTACTATACTGTGAGTACCTAAATTATCTTTAAATCCACCATCGATTGCTCCATCTAAAATTCCTTGATACGTTGGCATTACTGACATGGCGACGAAAACACCCAAAATTGATAAAGAGATTATCGTCAAAAGCAAAGAACTTGATAAAAATGATAATACTGGGGATGGACCGAGGAATAGTAAAACAACGCTACTTGAAATTAATCCTAAAGGCATTAAAGTCCAATAACTTTTTATTTTATCGCTTATAAATCCCCAAATTGGACTGAACACACCGTATGTTGCTGATAAAAGGAGGAATATTAATCCTATGTTGGCAGCATTTAAATTGTACTAAAAGAAAAAACATGTTAAAATTTTACACTTTATCATACTTTTGTACAAAAAAAGGATAAAATAGAATAAAATGGAACACAGAGAAGAGGAAGAGAAGGAAAGTTGAGAGTGCTTCCAGCGATAATTGGATGAAGAATGAGATGTGAGACCACGAAGATAGCAAACAAATGCTTCGGCACAAGAACGAGCTGCAAAATGTGAAATGATGCGATGAAGAATGTAAGAGCGCAGGAAGAGGATGCTGCGTTAAATATACGGAGGAATCTGTGAATATGGAGTATGGAGACGTAGGTACAACTTTGAACTATATAATGCTTGTGGATCAGCTAGAAACAAGGATATAGAAACCACTATAAAGGTGGTCAGAAGATCCAAACTACAGTGGACAGATGGTGTGATGGAGGACACGAAGAAGATGGACAACATAAGCAAGGGACAGGAAGGAATGGAGATTAAAATTTGAAAAAGTCATTGCTCTGCAATAAGATTGTATGACTAATGATGATAATGATGATTTCATTGATATGAAAGTGAGGAACTTCTTCAGGACAATTAAAATGGAAACAACAGGGTATCAACCCAAAAGCGGCAAAGAAGGAGAAGTACTAACTGAAAATGAAGAGATAATGGGGAGATGGAAGCAACATTTCGATAAATTGCTGAAAATCGTGCACCAGGGAGAAGACGAAGTAAATACAGGGTGATTCATTAGCTCTATGACAAACTTTGGCAGATGAAAGGTGATGCGATTCTAAGGAAAAAATGTTATATGAATATGGGTCCGATTCATTTTGGTTAAAGAGTTACAAGCCTTTGAAAATTTTACACAGTTTAATAGGCAAATGAAAATGTAACATAAAAAATAAGTTTAAAAATTACAAAAATTGTTCGAAATGTCCGCCTTCAGCTTGAATGCACGCCTCACATCGACGAAGTAAAGATTCTATCACACGACGTATGATATTTGGATCATTCCGTATGCTATTAGCTGCATCTTGAATTCTGTCCAGTAGTTGCTGACGGGTAGTAATTTCTACATGGTACACAAGCTGCTTCATGTGTCCCCAGAAATAATAATCCAGCGGATTTAGATCTGGGGATCGTGGTGGCCAGACTACTGGACCTCCATTGCCAATCCATTTGTTTGGAAAATGTTCATGTAACCAAGCGATGACTTCTCTTCCTCGATGTGGTGGTGCACCATCGTGCTGATACCACATATTTTGAACGATGTTAAGTGGTACGTCGTCGATAAAATCGAAAAGGTTATGTCCCAAGAAATTTCTGTACATATTTGCATTTAAGCGTTCATTTATCACCCATACAGGTAGCAAAGAATTGTTAAAAATGCCACCCCAAACGTTTACACTAAACCGTTGCTGAAATCTTCCTGGTCTAATTGCATGTGGATTTTGCAAGGACCACACATGTTCGTTATGATAATTATTTATGCCGTCCCTAGTGAAACACGCTTCATCAGACCACAGAACTTGGGAAATGAAGTTATTATTTTGAGCATGTTGCTGAATAATCCAGTGGCAAAATGCTAAGCGTTGCTCAGTATCTCCAGGATGTAATGCTTGAACATTTTGGCGATGAAACGGATGTAACATTTCTCGATTCAATACACGCCATACAAAACTTTGGGATATTTGTAACATGCTCGCTATACGCCGAGTACTAATTGAAGGGTCGTCAAGTACTAAATCAATAACACGTTCTTCATTTTGTACATTCACATCATGGGGACGAACGGAATGTAGTGGAGCGGGGTTACCTGTTTCTCTCAGTCTGCGAAATGATGCACTAAACACTGTATGGGCAGGTTGATGTCTATTTGGAAACCTACGAAGGTATTCTCTTGCTGCTTGCCGAGCGTTTCCGTTACAAAGCCCGTATACAAAAATAATATCTGCATATTCTTCAGTCGTAAATACATGCATTTTCGTTTTCGATCAAAACTCTGACAATTATAAACTTTGAAAGACACAGAATAGAGTAAATTGAAATGTTTGATATAAAGAACTCAGTTTTGTTATCACAGCCAACTCTGTATTTGTGTTTCATAATTATTGTTGCGATTGTTGCAAATCTTTACTTTGTCGATGTGAAGCGTGCATTCAAGCTGAAGGCGGACATTTCGAACAATTTTTGTAATTTTTAAACTTATTTTTTATGTTACATTTTCATTTGCCTATTAAACTGTGTAAAATTTTCAAAGGCTTGTAACTCTTTAACCAAAATGAATCGGACCCATATTCATATAACATTTTTTCCTTAGAATCGCATCACTTTTCATCTGCCAAAGTTTGTCATAGAGCTAATGAATCACCCTGTATTATACAGGGTGATAGCTTGTGGATCAGCTAGACACAAGAATATAGAAACCACTATAAAGGTAGTCAGAAGATCCAAACTACAGTGGAGAGATGGTGTGATGGAGGACACGAAGAAGATGGACAACATAAGCAAGGGACAGGAAGGAATGGAGATTAAAATTTGAAAAAGCCAATGCTCTGCAATAAGATTGTATGACTAATGATGATGATGATGATTTCATTGATATGAAAGTGAGGAACTTCTTCAGGACAATTAAAATGGAAACAACGGGGTATCAACCCAAAAGCGGCGTGTGTAGAAGCAAAGAAGGAGAAGTACTAACTGAAAATGAAGAGATAATGATGAGATGGAAGCAACATTTCGATAAATTGGTGAAAATTGTGCACCAGAGAGAAGACGAAGTAAATATAGAGTGAGCAATACGGAAGTTATGATAGAAATCCCAACGATGGAAGAAGTGCTATAGCAAGGGCAAAAACATCAAGAAGCCAGGAGAAGATAACATCACTGTTGAGCTAATAAAAATTAGCGGAGAGGCAACAGAAGAAAGACTGCATGTACTGATAATAACCTGCTGGGAGTAATCGTAGGAATGCATAAAAAAGGAGACAAATCTATATTTGATAACGCTGATCGACTGAATGTTAATTATTACCTTACTATATAGCCTCATGGCAAAACACCACAGATTCGTTGTGATAACCATCTATGATTTTATCCTATTTTCTGCTAATACTACGTATGATCGAATTGCATCGAGTTTTCATTTAAAACAGTGTTAAATTGTCGGTTTAGCACACATAAGCTAAACAGTGCTTCGAATTTCGACGAAGTTACGTTGAAGTAACTTTCAAAAGTCAGTGATGAAATTTCACTGAACTGGCAAAACAATGTTATCGTTGATGATTATTTTGGCTTCTGATGAACTACAGCATCAGGATAAGAATTGGGTATGCGTAAAGAATCTTACAGATTAGACAAAAGAAAGATGATTTATGGCATTCTGAAAACCCATGATTTGGATAGAGCCTATAGACCGCGTTTCTGATTGCTACTTTTGCCTGACTAATATGAATGGGATAAATATGGCGTCAAAATATACTGTGAAATATGCAAATTTACGTTTTGCAATACGACCACTTCAAAGGAAGGAATTTTTGTCGGAATTCAGATCATCGAAATCTGCTTGGAAAACAAAAATCTCATAGAACTATTTTCGACGTATCAAGCATTAGGTTGTAATATGTCATTCAAAATACACTTTCTACACTCCCATCTCAACTTCTTTCACGAGAACAGAGCTATTAGCGACGAACATATAAAGGGGTACATCAGGATATTTCCAGCATGGAAAAACGGTGCCACGGCAAATGGAGTCCTCCTATGTTGGCAGATTTTTGTTGGGCGATTGCCAGAAACAACCTCAAGTCAAATACTTCAGAAAATCTTAACTTTTAGTTTTAAGAAACATATTTTTAAGTTTAATTGTAAATAAAGTCTGAGTGAAGTACCTGTCACAAAAAATATATGGGTGACAAATTTTCTCTACATTTGTTTTCTATCTTACGGAGTCAAAATAAAGTATGTAACATATGAAAGAGTAAAAACGTACGAGGAGTTAATACTAACAGAATACCAGTGTGGATTCAGGAACAATAGATGTACAATAGACCAAATTTTCCTATGTAAGCATACCGCAAAGAAACGCTGTGAGCATAGCATTGATGTATTCATTAATTCAAAAAGACTTTTGACAGCATTGAAAGGTATAAACTTGAGAGGGAGTATACTCGGCAGTAAAAATAGTGATACAGTATGCCAAATCTAAACTGTTCTTCAAAATAAAATTTGGAGTGAGGCAAGTAGACTACAGCTTTCAGGGTATTAAGAACTTCAAGTACTTAAGCGCTGTATTTGACTGCTCAAACACGATTACGAATGTAATAAGAAAAGCTGCAAAAAGGTGCTATTATGCACACTTTAAATTATTTCGCTCAAAATTATTTCATGTTATATTCTGACATAAAAATCAGATACATGGATGATGAATGCCGCAGATGAATACGTATTGAGGGTGTTCGTGAAGAAGTTGCTTCGCATAAAAGATGGAGGAGTGGATACGATTTCTGAGGAATGTGGTGAGAATGAAGAGGTGAAAAAAGGATCTTTGGCGTAGTAGCTGGAATAGCGAGAACCAGAGGAAGACGTAGCAAGCAGTTGAAAGATGATGTATGGCAGAAACTGAAAAAGATGCGGATCAGAAATGTGAGGAATGACGTGGAGGACAAAAGGGAAAAGCCACTCCAGGTTGTAGTAGCAAAGGACTAGGACATACTATTGTAATCTTAAGAAATTTACCATTCTTAAATGTGGTTCTAAAGTTGGATCTAAAAATCCCCATGTTGCTGACACAACAACGACGACACAACATGTTATGATTACTGATGGTAGTTTTAGAATGTTTAAATATGAACCAGATTGTACTTCAACTTTGTAATCTAAAAAAAGAAAATTAAAAATCGAATTTAAATGTATTAATTTTTTACCATCACTCGTTGAAAGAACATAAAAATTAATTGGTGCCACCATGACTGATATCATTCCTACAACGTAAAAAGGCAGTCCAAAACCTCCGATCTTCCTAGAAAATATTGGTTAATAGTTAAAAAAAAAACATTAATTCATTTCATTTAAAAACATAAATAATTTTTTTAACATACCGCAAATAAAAGGCCACCCATCGCTGGACCAACACTCATTCCAAGTCCAACGAAGGTCTCTAAAATACCCTAAGGCAAAAAAGAATAAGATAACGATACAAATAAAATTTAATAGTTTCATTGTTTCGATATAATAACAAAACTATTATATCAAATCGTGACTTTAATTTACAAATTTAAAAATAGTTTTGTTATTAATTTATTACCCTAACGACTCCACCGTTTTTAGGAAAAATATTAATAACTAGAACATATCCAGCCGTTGAATAAGCGCTGGCTCCTAAAGCTTCCGTTCCTCTGATAATGAATGATAAAAGGGTGAAAACGAAGGTGTTGTCGATGTACTGAAGCGTGCTGAAATAAAAAGCAATCACTTATATTGAAAAGATGACTAAACGTGAATTGTTGAATGAAAGTTAATTCGGAACATAAAATAATTGTGTGGACAGTTTCGTCTAATAACACCCGTTGACATCATTTCATCATAAGAAGCAAGTGTCCATTTCCTGTTACGCTATATTAAACGAAGTATTAGATTTTAAACGTACCCGAAAACGATGTTACAAACTCCAGATGTTAAGATTCCGAAGATGAATGTAAATTTTACTCCGAGCTTTGGTAACTGGAAAGTAGAAATTAAAAAATCCTTTTTGGTGATATTGATTGAGAATTTTCATTTATAACTTACAACTTTTCCGAATATAGGTGATGATAGGAAAACGACTAATGCGTAAAAACTAAAAACGAATCCCGCTAACGTTTCCGACATTCCTTTCGCTGTCGCTTCTCTTGGATAGAAAGGTGCCATAATCGACATTGAGCAATAACTTGTAAATTCTACAGTTGCTAACATACAAAGAGACACTTTTTGTTTTAATGTAAATGATGTTGATTCTTTTGATCTGAAAATAAAAGAAAATTCTATTTAAAATCATTAAATTTAACATTTCATTCAACAAATTAAATTTTATGCACAAATAGAAGAAATTGATCATTTTGGTAAAAATTAATACAGGAGATAAACCATAAAAAGGTTGTTATAGTCTCAGATTTTGAATAGTGATGAAATTGGTGCAAAAAAAGTGAGGTGAAAAAAAAGGAAAATGCCATAAGTATCAAATTAGTACTGCTTTGTACTAACACTAATGAATCGCATAGGCTGAAGTCATGATGAATCATTTTCCCATTTCATGCTACAAGTCATATTGTTTTTTATGAATTTGTACCTGCTCAATTCAGAAATGCCGGGAAACGCAAAAATGAGTAAATTTGAAAGACCCATGTAACCAAGTATGTATGAATCGTAGGGTGGCAAGGATTTGAGTCCACTGTTCAATGATTCTACCGCGTAGAAGCGGCTGAAGTTGAACGATAGCTTAGGTTATGTTGAGTTTGAGGGCATCGGTTGATTGCGACTTATTGGCATACACCTGCGACTTCAGAAAACACCACAAGGAAAAATCTAGAATGGTCAAATCACACGATCTTGTTGGCATCTCCACGAGAGATAACCATACCCTTAAATCGGTCATGCAGAATATCCATCATGGCATTCGCTCTGAGACACGTAGCGGCATCCTACTGGAACTACATATTATCCAGATTCATATCATTCAATTCGGCCGTTAGTGATGGTGATGGCCTCACCTACGTCGTTTTCGAAGAAGTATGGAACCATAATGCCGCTGGCCCTAAATCTGCACAAAATAAGGGAACCTCGTGTGGGTTGACATCCTCCCACACATGGCGATTTTGCTTGTTAATATAGCTAGGTATTAATCTAAAAATGCGCTATGTCGCTAAAATTGTTTTTTTGGCTAAAATTGGATACTCTTCTAAATGCTCCGAAACCCCCTCTGCGAACAAACGACGTTGTCTGTGGTCATTAGGTTGTAACTTGTACGAGTGCAGGTGTAAGTTGCGACGCAAAAATTGGCAAAATGAAGTCTGCGAAGGTCTGAGTTCTTGCGCGCGGCTAAAAATCAATTGCTTCGAGTTCACCTGCACATTTTTACGGCCAGCGGCGATGTAATTGGCTGATTCTTTACCGAAGCTATCGTATCGAAGTTGGCCACTAAACGTTGGAAAGTCGACTTTGAAGTGCCACTGCGTCTGGCTTAAAAATGTGGACGTGAAGTTCCTGTCACAAAAAAATATATGGTTGCCAAATTTTCTCTACACCTGTTTTCCATCTTAGGGAGTCAAAATAAAGTATATACTACACGAAAGAGTAAAAACATAAACGGAGTCAATACTAGGAGACACCAGTGTGGATTCAGAAACAATAGATGTACAATAGACCAAATTTTCCTATTTAAGCAGACCGTAAAGAAATGCTGTGAGCATCGCATTGAAGTACACTGCCTATTCATTAATTTCAAACAGACTTTTGGCAGCATTGAAAGGTATAAAATTGAGGGGGAGATGCACCTGTTGGGCTACAATGGACAACTCGGCAGTAAAAGTAGTGATACAGGATGCCAAATCAGAACTGTTCTTCAAAATAAAATTTGAAGTGAGGCAAACAGACTACAGCTTTCTAGGCGCTGTATTTGACTGCTCAAATACGATTACGAATGCAATAAGAATAAAAGCTGCAAAAAGGTGCTATTATGCACACTTTAAATTATTTCGCTCAAAATTATGTCAAGATGAACAGGTACAAAGTACCTACTAATAAGATCCGTTCTGACATAAAAAACAGATACATGTATGTTGAATACCACAGATGAATACGTATTGAGGGTGTTCGTGAAGAAGTTGCTTCGCATAAAATATGCAGGAGTGCGTACAAATGGAATATACCGAAGCCATTACAACTATAAATGGGATACTTTTATGGATAGTTCGAATTGTGATAGCGCGAAGGATACGATAGCTGAGGCGTGTGGTGAGAATGGATGGATGAAGAGGTCAACAAAGGATCTTTGGCGTAGTAGCTTTAATAGCAAGAACCAGAGGAAGACCTAGAAAGCACTTGAAAGATGATCAGAAATGTGAGGTGTGAGGCGGAGGAAAAAACCAAAAGCCCACCCCAGGTTAAATCTGCACAAAATAATAATTTCTTATGGATGTATTGCCACCTGGTGAACCTCGTGTGGTTTGACATCCTCCCACACATGGCGTTTTTGCTTGTTAATATAGCTATTAATCTAAAAATGCGTTATGTCGTTAAAGTGTTTCTTTTTGCCAAAATTGGATACTCTTCCAAATGATTCGAAGCCCCCTCTACCAACAAACGACGTTGTCTGTGGTCATTAGCTTGTAACTTGTACGAGTCCAGGTGTAAGTTGCGACGCAAAATTTGCCAAGATGAAGTCTGCGAAAGTCTGAGTTCTTGCGCGCGGTGAAAAATCAATTGCTTCGAGTTCACCTGCACATTTTTACGGCCAGCGGCGATGTAGTTGGCTGATTCCTTACCGAAGCTATCGCATCGAAGTTGGCCACTAAACGTTGGAAAGTTGACTTTGAAGTGCCACTGCGTCTGGCTTAAAAGTTTTATTATGTGGACGTGCTGCTCAATCGTGTAACTGGTGATTTGGCATAAGAGACTGAATAATAAAGAAAGTCAAATTAAGGCAAAATTCTTAATGCAATAATTATGGTTACAAGAACTGGGTGAGTATCAATGAGTAGCAGAAAAGATGACTGTGTACCATGACTTTTTACATGGTTACAATTACAACCAGAGTTAATACTTTAAAAAGAAATGAATTTGCAAATACATTATGTTTGCAAATTTCAAAATCAGAAGTCTATAGAGAGTTTTGATGATTCGGGTAATTAATTTAAGATCTCAAATCGCAGAGACACCGGTCATTAAAGTTTGGATATAAAATCATTATGAACAAATCCATGAACAAAATACCAGCAGGGACATGTGGTATTTTTATTATGGTCGTTTCTAGTACAACAATAAACAGAAGCACCGATCAATTAAACATAAAACCTCGTAAGGATTTTTATTTATGGAGGGGAGTAAAATCGTTGAAAATACATTGCTCAACAAGCTCAGGTCACGATCATTAACTCATTTCTCCAAATTCCAGGGAAGATTAATGTACTTCTAATTTTTGTTATGTTATCTTTTTGTGAATGTTTCAAATTTTACCACTATTTATTCAATTGTTGTCATTTTCAATCTAGCAATTTTATTTTATGTTTTACTCTCAAAATTTCTTCCTCGAATCACCAAGATACTCTCTATAATTACAAATATACAACATTAACAAATATGTACTAACTGTCTTACAATCAGATTGTATGTACTTGTAGAATCAACGAGAACATTTTTGATTTTAGATATGTGCATTACCTCTTTACTTGTACATACACAAGGCTCAGATGTTGCGTCAAGTACTTTAAACTTTTTAGCCTAACTTAGAGGTAAATGAAGATGTCTATCTTATCAGTGTGTTAGTACAAATGGATCACATTCAGATATCCCATTTTCTATGAAAACATTTAATATTAGCAACCTAACCGCAGACAACTTGTACGATTATTTAGACATCGAGCATAGATTCCATACCACCAGAAATGCGAATGATTCACCGCTTGAAAACTTAACATATCAATGCTGTATTGGCTCTACTTAAAATATATGCAGCAGAAGAATGTTGCATAAATTGTGACATGTCATACAATTGCCTTCAAAATTCTTTGTGATTTATATTGGTAGCTATTTTAGATTACCACATTAATTTACTGTTGAACAGTTGTGGTTTAATATTAAATGTGGTGCCGAATCCTTATATTGTGTGTTTATAATTCTCTTTTGGTTCATAGTCATTGGTAGTTGAATCTGCTGAGATATTCTATTTTCTCATTTCTACACATTTATCATCTATTGATGTTGATAGCTATTTTGACGCATAACCTCAATTGTTGCTTGGCCAATCAGCATTTTACCGGCTGCATCAAAGGTCCTTAAGATAATAGAGAAATGGCAACTAATTTTACATGTCAACAGCAACGTTGAAGCTTTTACAAGATTTTCAATTCTGTCAAATTTTCACAATTTTACAGATATGTTTCAGGCTCTTAAGTGTAATCGGTGGAGCATTTGCTATCATAAGTGATTAAGTAATTTTGCAAAGAAGTATAATTCCTCTGTTAATATTAATGAGGCAAAACTTTCAGGAATAGATGTGCTATCTTGAATATTGTATTGGAGGGAGTACACATTGAACATGTTTAGGTGTCAAAATGTATTAATTTAGTGTATCGTTGTAGAACAGAAATTAATAATTGTGATTGCTGTTCGATTCGCTCAGTTTACATTGTGCAACAAAAATAAGTTTCAAAACGTACACATTAAATAATAATTACAACACCCTGTATATAACTTAATAGCCAGAGGGATAACAAATAAAAATAATAAAAACCGTGACTAATTATTAAAAACCGTGTAATTACGTATTGAAAATTAATTAATGCTAAAGTGTACAATAAACTAATTTCAAAAAAATTTGAAAAAAGCTATTATGATGATTAAAGTTTATTAGTAATTTAAAAATTTGGGTCGATTGATAAGATTAGTTTTTTAAAAATTCATATTTAGATAATTTATGTACATTATTATTTATATCAATTTATGATACCTTCACCGATAGTTTAAAAAAAACGTTTATCTATAACATAGTAAACAAGACATAACAAAATTCATTATCTCTTCCTCAATACATAGTTAATAATAAATATTCACAATTTGCCAGTTATAAAATTTAACCTTTAACATATTTTAGATAACTTTCATTTTATTTAATTTCACATTTAATATTAAAACTTACGTTTCTTCTTGAATATTATTACTTTCAACGTCTTTGTTAATACCAACAATTTTAGTTAAATCAAAAGAATCACTTTTTCCATTTATTTCAAAAACTTCTTTCAAAGACATTTTTATATAATCACTTAACACTCCACTTATCTAATTTATCAAATAATTTACAACTTAATTATTATTACTGTTATTAATTGTTTTAAACAAAAATAAATTAAACCACTTTTTGTTCATTCTTTGGCACATTCTTCTTCGATCGAATGTCGATGTGAAATGAAAAACTTTAAAATGCAACTCGGTATGCTATATAAATCGTTTTGAAAACGTGAATCGTAAGAGGTTCTCCTTCTTCGACGTAATATTGCGTTCAATGCACAATGGTTTCTGGTCGTTTTAGTTGGTTGAAGTTTGAGTAGGAGCTTTTGTAAACTGTAACTTCCACCATGTAGATTGACGAACAAAAAAAGTAATCAGCCCAAAGATGTAGGCGTTTAGTTATTTAAACTGACTCGAACCATTAAAAAGTAATCAATGAGTTGGGAAAGGAAATGATGATACAATAATTTTTGCTAAGAAATTAAGTTTTTTAACCCACAAAAAAAAGTGTATTTTATTATAGTACTTTTTTTTCACAATAACAAATACAAATATTAAAAAATGTGTTTTTGTTTAAAATTAAGATTAACAACCTCGCCAGAAACAAAACAAGATATTCCTATCATCAAAGTAAAACCAGTTCCGAAGACTTCATTAAATTGCTGTGATTAAGCAGAAAAAAGCAGCTTTTGAACAAAAATTATTTAAACCAGTTTAAAAATTGTACAATCATTACTACGTACCAGTTTCTTTTTTTCCTTATCATTCCAATCAAACCATTTAAACAAGCGGAGTCAAACTTAAACAAACAATTTAAGTTTTTAGTGTCGTTATTACTCTTATTTATTCTATTGTTGCTGGAAGCTAAAACCAAATTGCTCTATTTATGTCGTCATAGCAGCACGAAACATTAAATTATACTTAAAATTTATATTGATTATTGGAACTAACATAATTGAAGATTCTACAGAATGTCACAGAATAACTATTTCTAATTTTAAGAAATGATAGAGGGTACTGAAATAAAGATTTTCTCGGTGTCAAAATAAACTAACAATGTTTAAACATGATGACGACTAACCTATCTGTTGGTATACGGCTTTTTTCGTCTTCTTCTCCACCTAATCACCCCCAAGCCTACCCACACTACAAGAACTAGCACTACTCCCCCATCATAATAATATGTAATAATAATGTTTATTAACCCATAGTACTATTATAAACCACTATAACAAAATACTTAAACTAAAATTAAATGCCATGACTTAAAAAGGACCAAGTCAGCATTCCCAGTTTTTCATTTGTCCTTTTTCTACATTTTCTATATATAAACTTAAACTGCATGACAGCAAGCAGAGTGAAGAATCCTACGACGTGACATATTCAACCAGCCCACCCATTTTGAGGTGTATGAGATACTCGCATATTTCCTAATGCCATAAATAAAACGTAAGCACGCATTCTGAACTTTTTGAATTCTTACCTTGTGAATATTATCAATACAAGGGCCATATAATACATCACAAGCGTATCCCCAGTTGCGATATAATACAATGCCTACTATTATAGAGCAATTTTAGCGCTACATATGCCCGACGCAGTCGACTACCAATGTACGAGTCAAATCTTAGTTTACTGTCAATAATGATACCCAAATTCCTTGCACTTTCAGCAACCTGCAAAACATCAGAGTCAATTTTCAAGCACAACCCATCCCTGACTTCGTCCAAAACACCCCGGCTCCCAAAAACCATCACCGATGACTTAGATGGATTTATCGTTAAGCTGTGCTCATTAGCAGTATTGACCAAGGCCTTCAAGTCAGCATTAATATTACTTTCAGCCACAGCTAGATTTGATGTTGGAAAAGTGTAGTATAATTGAATGTCATCAGCGTACATGTGCGCACTACAGTGCTTTACAGCCAAACACAGTTGGGAAGTATAAATTGACAACAGAATTGGACCAAGAATAGAACCCTGCGGCACACCCAACACGACCTCAACTTATGCAGACAACTCACCATTACAAGCTACTCCCTGTGAACGGTAACAAAGATAGCTCTGAATAAGATTGAGAACAGACCCCGACAGTCCAATATACTCAAACACTCCAACCAGCAGCGAATGATGCAAAGTATCAAAAGCTTTGAAAAAGTCAAGCAAGACCAGAGCCATGGCCAACCCGTCATCAATACCACGTAGAACATCATCCGTGATATTCAAAAGAGTCGTAGTGCAGCTATACCCAGAACGGAAACCTGACTGCAAGCTGGGTAGTATGCAATGTGCATTTAAATGTGACCACAACCTAGTGGACAATAATCTTTCAAATACTTTAGAGAAGACCGGCAAAATACTTATCGGCCTAAGATCCTGTAAACAAGCAACCGTTCCAGTTTTAGGGACAGGTTTAACAAGAGCACCCCTCCACTGCCTCGGATAGACCGACCCTTCCATGCAAAAATTGATAATTTGGCATATGTACGGCAGTGTCACCGGACAACTTAATATAAGCATCTGCTTCGTAACTCCATCACTACCAACAGCATTTATTTTAATTCGATTAAGTGCTTGCAAAACCTCTTCTTCAGAAAATAAAGAAAAGGAAAGTCTGTAGAAACATATTGTAGAAGTGCAATAAGTCAGGAAGTAGACGGAACTGACATCGTTTTAGCACCACATACTCCAAACGACTTAAAATTGTTCCAGAGTTTACGAGAATTATTGTTATAAAATATTAAAGCCTTTTTTCCCGACGGATTGCTGAGTTAGTATAGTTTCTCAAGTCTTTGTACGACTCAAAATGAGAAGGGATCCCTGGTAGACTGGTATTTCGAATAGGTATTATTTCGTAAATTAATAAGAATTTTAATAGTATCGGTTATCCACGGGCGATAATTCTTTCGCATCCTTTCGCTACCTCATAAAAATCTACCTTATCATCAATGGAATCAGAAATAAGAAAGTTGTGCCAGTTTAGATAATTTAGGTCATCCAATAAGCATTGGTGGTTAAAATGCCTGAAGTCCATAAAAGTCAATGTCTGTGGAACTCCCCGAGGAATATCACTACCTAAGTGATCATAACTAAACACAGCTCCAATCATCCATAATCCCATTCAACTCTCTTTTACCTTCTTTTTCTTTCTATGTGTCTCTCTCTCCTTCTTTCCTTCTGACCTCCTCTCTCCTCCCATTCGAACACTCCTACAAGATATGCTGCAGGGAATAGACCATGGATCCATCTTTTATGAACCTATACACCCCTCTACCCTTATCCAACCACCTCCTCTTCCAGGCTTCTCTAATGTCCAGTTCACATTATTCCAGTCCAGTAACCCAGCGAGTCAATCCAGTCCAGTGCTGGACTACATCATATCGTATTCCGGTTATTCAAAAGCTGTTGAATCGGTAACACTATAATAATAATGATTTCAAGAATTGCTTCTGTGAAACCTTCTATTCGTATATCCCACAAACACTTGTTCTCAGTATAAAGAAGTTAACTTCAGTATGAAACCACAATAAGGCGTGTTCCCAAAACGCTAGAGATAGTGATTTTGCGAAAAGCCGGATACCGGATATTCGGCATCTCGGATCTCGGATTTTATACGAATTTTTAAAACTTAATCGGCGAAAATTGTAAAATTCGAATAAATTGTCGATCATTTCTCAAAAACTAAAAGCGATTTTTCAAAACGGCTTGTTGCATTAAAAAGAGGACATTTTAATTAATAATTGGTGATATTTCCATAAGTAACCTTCAAGAAATGGATTTTATAGCGCATTTTGAAAATTATCGACGAAAATTGCAACATCGAAAATTTTATCAAAACTTCAAATACTGTTTTCTCAAAAACTAATAGTTATTTTTCAAAACGTGTTGGTTCATTGGAAAGAGGACACTTTTATTAACACTTTGGGAAATTTTCAAACTCATATTCCAAGAACTGGATTTTATACGAATTTTTAAAACTTAATCGGCGAAAATTTAAAAATTTGAAAAAATTGTTGATCATTTCTCAAAAACTAAAAGCGATTTTTCAAAACGGCTTGTTGCATTAAAAAGAGGATACTTTAATTAATAATTGGTGATATTTCCACAAAGATCCTTCAAGAAATGAATTTTATAGCGAATTTTTAAAATTATCGATGAAAATTGCAACATCGGAAATTTTATCAAAACTTCAAATATTCTTTTTTTTTTCAGAAACTAAAAGTTATTTTTCAAAACGTGTTGGTTCATTGGAAAGAGGACACTTTTATTAATACTTTGGGAAATTTTCATACTCATATTCTATATACCGGATACCGGATAGTTGCCAGATATCCGTTTCTTCACTATACTAGTCTTCGCTTGCATTAGTAAGCTTCCACTGGCGAGAAAAGTAGACTGTTCAATCCAGTCACTGAAATGGATTGCTCACTGGAATGAATACAACCCAGTGCCGGTTTAAATTATTCCAGAAGAATTCCAGCACTGGTTTCGACCCCTGGAATAGGAACACCACTGGAATAATGTGAACCTGGCATCATCCTGGCATAACATCCTTCACCACATCCTCGCTGCTGTCATATTCTTGTTACACACCTTATATTTATGTATATTGTCCCACTTCCAGAAATATTCGGGTTTAGCCATGCGTCTAAAAACATTATTCTGTGACACTCTGTATAATAACTTTTGATATTCAAAACAATAAAAACCACAATCACATTTCAAAACAAATAAATCTAAGAAATATAGCTTCATCGTATTTTTTTAATACAAATTTTGTTTACCACATAATTTTAAAACTACCTGAGTACGTCTCATGAGTATTCAAGGTTTCGCAAAAATATTTTTCGTTGAAATTCAATAATAATTAGTTTGAGATAATTTCTTTTTAATCAAAATTGTCTCATGAATACAATGGGAATTTATTTGCGGTTATTAAGTCGATGTGCGGTTTCTTTAGCGTGTTTATACGTAAGAGGTGTTTTCGTGCGAAGGAAAAATTTCTGGTAGAAAAAAAAAAGAACGTAATTAAAGTCCTTGTTGGATTTCCAGTAAAGATTCACTTCGATTTTGCATTATTCATAACAAGGCGGTGATTTAATAAAATTAAACAGAAAAAAATATGTTTTAATCAATATTTATTGGTTATAAAAATCCTTGAGAAAACAATTTTTTGAAAATAATTCATTTTTCTTCAACAAATTTAACGATTGTAGTGTCTTTAGGTACATTATCTCCAATTTTAAACGAAATACTTTCAATAGTCGCATCACGACTTGCTTTCACGATATATTCCATTTTCATTGCGATTAGAACGAATAATGAGTCACCTTTGTTGACACGATCACCTTCTTTAACAAGAATCTTTTCAAGAACACCAGGCATTGGAGCAACGGCTCGATTTGAAGCTGAACCACCCGATGCTTCATCTTGTTCGGTAAGAAATTTAGGTTGTTCCGTTTCAAATTGATGTTTTCCATCCTAAAATTTCAAAAAATATTAATTAAAGAAAAAAAATTAATGGTGAATACTTTCTTGATCGAAAATAACAACACCATCTTCGTTCCTGAAGACGTTAGCTTTTGATACAGCCCCATTTATATCAATAATCATCATTAATTTGTTATTTTCTTTTTCGTGATCGATTTTGGTTGATTTCCAAGTTTTTCCTCCATCGATTGAAACATCGTAACAAAAATTCCCTTTAGTTTTAACTTGTACTAAAATTTCTTTCTCTTTTTGTTTTAATTTGATGGTTTTGGATAAATCGTGATTAACTCTGAAACCGGATTCAACAACAAAAGGATTGAAATTATCGTTTTTTTGGTTAGCTTCTTCTTTAAGTTTTAATTCATCGGTTAATATAATTGATAAGGCTGCACCAAAAATGGTCGTTTCTTTAATTTCTCTATCTTTTTTGAATAAAGTATCGTTATGGTCCCTTATAAAATTAGTGTGAACATTTCCAGCCATAAATTCTGGATGTCTTGAAAGATCTAATAAGAAATTGACGTTTGTTTCTAAACCAGCAATCTAGAATTTAAATTAAAAATTATCCAAAAACTCAAATTTATTTTTATTTTTACGTTATATTCAATTAATTTTGATTGCAATTTAGTTAGAGCCTCACTTCTATCTTTGCCCCAAACCACTAATTTAGCAATCATTGGATCATAATGTACTGAAACTTCATCGCCTTGTCTAACACCGGTTTCAACACGAACATCTTCAGCCGGTTTTGGAGTTGAAAGATAAAGTAAAGGACCAGCTCCGGGAAGAAATCCACCGCTTGGATCTTCAGCGTAAATTCTAGCTTCAAAAGAATGGCCGTTAAGTGTTATTTCTTCTTGTTTAAGTGGTAATTTTTCTCCTGAAGCTATTTTAATTTGCCATTCGACCAAATCAGTTCCTGTAATCATTTCAGTTATTGGATGTTCAACTTGTAACCTAGTATTCATTTCCATAAAATGAAAACTGTGGGTGTGTCTATCTAAAATAAATTCGACGGTTCCAGCTCCGACGTAACCAACAGCTTGAGCAGCTCTTACAGCAGCCATTCCAAGTTCTTTTCGTAAATCACTTGAAATACCAGGCTAAAATTTTTTTTATTAATTATTAGTTATTAATTTATCTTGTTAATACCGCTGGAGCTTCCTCAATAATTTTTTGATGTCTTCTTTGAACAGAACAATCTCTTTCGAATAAATAAACAGCGTTTCCGTGGGTGTCTGCAAAAACTTGTACTTCAACGTGTCTTGGTTCCCCAACGAACCTTTCGAGTAACACAACAGAATCCGCGAAAGATTTTTGCGATTCATTTCTTGCAGATTCCAAAGCCTCCGCAAATTCGGATTCGGTTTGAGCTATTCTCATTCCTTTTCCTCCTCCCCCACGTACAGCTTTTATCATTATTGGAAAACCTATTCTTTTTGCTTCTTCAAATAACTTTGTATCAGATTGATCTTCACCATGATAACCTTCAATAATTGGAACTCCAGCTTTGGACATTATATGTTTTGAAGTACTACGAGAATTCTTTTTATTTTTGGGCAGTGAATTATGAGGATTATTCAAATATAAACTAGTATTTTGAGAATTGTTATCTTGGACTTGACATTTACCAAAGGATTTTTACGCTTCATCCCTAGGTTTATTATGCCATCTACGAGTTCTTAAATATTTCGCAATCAAGAAACAATGTTTTGTTAGTTTGAACAAGATTTCGCTTCGTTCTTTTTTTGCATTGACCTTATCATTTATCGATGACTTTTCTATATTTTACAATTAGTGCTAAGAAGTTTGAATGAGAAACTTAGGTCCTTACAAAAAAAGAGAAGAGTTGAGATAAATAAACGATATTGTTGCTAAGAGAGAGATACTATACAAAAAAACAGAAATCCGACTAAGAATAAAAAGCATGGGCTAAACTTATACTCTCAGCAACAAGAGATCTTGCCTTAATTATATTAAATCGTGGATTTTCTATCCTAAAACGCACCATACTTTAATAAAAACCGTTTATAACAAAATTTTATCAAATAAAAAGCCAGATATTTTGAAAACTGTTTGGATTCATATCAACATAGAATCAACTACTGACCATCCTCTACAAGATACTGTGATACAGCAAATAATAATCTATTTTACAGCATTTGAAGAGTAATCGTGCCAATTTAGAGCTTTTTTGAATGAACGTTTGCTGAGATATGGAGTTTTAACCCTTTGTGTCCCAAGAAGTCAAAAATTCTGAAACTTTGTGACAGAATTAACACGCTATCAAAATACACTCAGTAAAGGCCTTTGGAATCAATTTAAGCAAAATATGCAATCCCCCCATTCCAGGGGGATAATGGTTCTTGAGTTGCTTTGGCAGAACAATTTTCACAACTTCCTGTTTCTTTTGAATTTGCGCTACGATATTTTCGTGGATTGTTGGGTTGGATTAGAAAAATATTGAGAAAAAAAATGTTGAAACAAAACTTACATTTTCGTATAACCTAAAAGTGTCAAAAAAGATGCTAATTTAAAAACTCCTGGAAGCCGTATTTATTGAAATTAAGGAATGANCACGAATTCAACGAGTAGCTGGATTGGCAATCTCTGGTGCGATAGGCACAACGCCAACTCTAGCAATGGAGGTTCTGCTTGGCCTATCTCCTCTGCATTTGCATATAGAGAAAGTGGCTAGAACATTCATTTACAGATTTAAGCAATATGCTCAAAACTGTTCCGACATGCCCTACCAATGGGCTGCGGAAGACATTATAAGCACTGATACTGTGCTATCAATGCCGTCAGATTTGGCGGGATCACTATCAGTGATACCAGATTGTACTGCCTGAGCGATCGAAAATGAAAGATCAGGTGGATGATGGATCAAAAACGCTGGAAGGGGTCGGAGCAGGAGTATACTGCCCGACACCTCGAACTAAGCAAACTTACAGCCTGGGTACGTACTGTACTGTATTCCAGGCAGAAGTATTTGCTATTGACATGGGTGCTAAAATCCTTCTTGAGAGAGGGGTGAAGAACATGACAGTACGAATTTTCTCAGACAGTCAAGCCGCTCTCCAGGCGCTGCAAACCGTGAAAACGGTGTGGGTTCTGGTTAATGATTTAAAGAGAACTTAAACACACTGAGTTGTGACAACAGAGTTTCTCTGATCTGGGTCCCGGGTCACTCTGGGGTTGCTGGCAATGAAGCTGCCCTGAGCTAGCACGAGAGAACAGGCTAAAGCGTTTGTGGACGGTTGAGCATGTTTTATGCCACTGCCTTGCCGTTGACCATATCACATTCTCGATTTTTGGGTCGCAGTTTATCTCCTCAAAGGATCTGAATGACCTTTCGCCGAGCAAGGTATTAATGTTCATTAAGAGGATTGGACTGCACGGTGAAATTTGATAACGATATCTATCGGGGTACAATAGATGCTTAGGTTCGTGGTGCAAGGTTAGTTGGTCCGCTTACCCGATATGTAGTCTATGTAATGTAATGTATAGTTAGCGCCGAGGTATTTAAACGACACAACCTGATTAACTGTCAGGTTGTAGATAGCTAACTTACAGCGCCTCGGTGGGCAGAACGAAGAAGAAGAAGGTTGGCAGAAATAAATTGACAGAAAAGCTATACGTGGCGACATGTGTCATTTGATTCTAAAGTGAAAATCTGTATGCAAAAATGTTGCAATTAAAATTTATAATAAATCATGTATTATCTATCCTAAAATCGTTTATATTAAGGCATGCTATCTATGTGCTGCCTCGGCCACAGGCGACCTTATTTGCAATAAATCGTATTAATCTCTTCTAAAAAGCATCGCATCTTAATGAAAACCGTTTATGAAAAAATTGCTATCAGATAAAAAGCAATTCATTTTAAAAACTGTCATGTTTTGCATCAATGAATGTTTTGAACGAAGAGTTTTCGAAGTGAAACTGTGACATGAGTTGAGACTAACATTTTTCATTCCAGAATACAAACAATTCGAAGAAAGGCTGGAAAAGTTGCTGTCAGGTTGAATGTTTTAAGCCTTTTTCTTTTCCAAAGGTGAGGGAAAGTAGCATCTTTTTTTAAACTAAGGCATGCGACATGTTTGTCAACTGCACAAATTCCCGCAAAGTTGCTGTGAAAATCAATCAGAAATCCCTATTTTCTTAAAATTACAATCAGATCTTTGGATCTATTCTGATGTTCATTGGAATCTAAAAAATCTTGTTGAAATTTTGTTGAGTTAGGATTAATTATTTTTATGATACTTAGAATGACTCAAAATCGCCAAGTTAATATTCACTAAAGGTATTTTTTTGACAGAGCGAAGGCAGTTCTATTCGCATTAGGCTGCGGAAGATAACGTCACTTCGCAGGGATTGCCAAAACGCGTTTTCAACAGGAAAAGTTCCTCATGCAAAGTTCTCTTTCTGCCAGTTTTCTTACACAAATTCAAAAATATTTACTTTGACATTTGCCGAAAACTTCATTCTTAAAATATCTGCGATCTGGAACTCCTATTTTGTATTTGTTTTGGCTCTCACTAGTATTTAAATTAGTAACCTCAACTGCTTCTTCTTATCTGTACAAGTTATTTTATAAGTCGCAGTGCGATTAAAAGCAGAGAGATGCTTCATTTTCACACTGACATATCGCAGTATTCATGGCGGATACCGCAATACTCAAAAATCAACGACTCTAATCAAGGATATTATTTGACATCGACACTAAGAATTTTATAATTTTCAAAAAAGTAAAGTTATTGCACATTTATGTCAAATGTTCCAAAATTCATTAAACATTTTGAATTAAAATTTTAAAATTAAGTAGTACATGCACCATGAGTACTAGATTGCTATGTCAAGACTAGCTATACTATCAGATGTTAAGTAATAAAATGCAAAAAGCCGTTTTGAAAAATCGCTTTTAGGTTATGAGAAATAAATTTTTGAAATGATCGACATTTTTTTCGAATTTTGTAATTTTCGCCGATTAAGTTTTAAAAATTCGTATAAAATCCATTTCTTGGAATAGGAGTTTGAAAATTTCTCAAAGTGTTAATAAGAGTGTCCTCTTTCCAATGAACAAACACGTTTTGAAAAATAACTTTTAGTTTTTGAGAAAACAATATTTGAAGTTTTGATAAAATTTTCGATGTTGCAATTTTCATCGATAATTTTCAAAATTCCCTATAAAATTAATTTCTTGAAGGATCCTTGTGGAAATATCACCAATTATTAATTAAAGCATCCTCTTTTTAATGCAATAAGCCGTTTTGAAAAATCGCTTTTAGTTCTTGAGAAATAAATTTTTGAAATAATCGACAATTTTTTCGAATTTTGCAATTTTCGCCGATTAAGTTTTAAAAATTCATATAAAATCGATTTCTTGGAATATGAGTATCAAATTTTCCCAAAATGTTAATAGAAGTGTCCTCTTTCCAATGAACCAACACGTTTTGAAAAATAACTTTTTGTTTTTGAGAAAACAATATTTGAAATTAGGTAGATGTCAAAAAGAACTCAACTTTAGTCAATTTTTTTTTGTTAATACTTATAAATTACTTCCATTTATATTTGAATTACCCTCTTAATAATTTTAAAAAAACCTTTTAATCCCCATATCTCTAATTGCCGCAGCTGGTGGACCTATAAAAATAACATTTTCTTTTTGGCAATTCTCAGCAAATTCAACATTTTCTGATAAGAATCCATATCCTGGATGAACAGCTTGAGAATGCGTCCTTTTAGCGATTTCTAAGAGTTTATCGCCACATAAATAACTTTTGGCAGCTGCAGGCGGTCCAATATTATAAGCTTCATCAGCCTGATTATTCACAAAAAAAAATTTTTAATCATTTTATAATTCGCTAAGGCCCACTTTTACCACCTCTTGATAAATTTAACCGATAGATAATTACCATGGTTACAACGGTTTTAAGCGCTCTCATTGGCTAAGAGCGCCAATTTATCAATCGGATAAATTTATCAAGAGGTGGTAAAAGTGAGCCTAAGTAAATTATTTGTGAGTCAAATATAATTACTACTATAATTTTCTAAGTAAACTAAAATAATTACGGGTTTAGATATTACATAAATACTACATCCTTTTTAAACATTATAAATAGGTACTTCCCCATTACAAAAAATAAATTCTCACCATAGCCACATGTAAAGCATTTTTGTCTGCATCACTGTAAACGGCAACAGTTTTAACGCCTAAACGCTTGGCAGTCCGCATTACACGACAAGCAATTTCCCCTCTATTCGCTATCAGAACTTTATCAATTCGTTTTAATGTGCTCTTCCATCTTTGCCCAGTAAAAGTTGTTGATCTATCGAAACGAGAAGACAAAAAATTTATTAGATATCAAAATCGTTTTAGGTTGCCTTATTGAATAAGACATCCTAAAAAAGACACGTGGTCCTTTTAGATTTTACAATAAGATCAAATTTTACTTACGGCCTTAATAATTTTGCTACACCCAAAACGATCATGTTGCGTTGATGAAAGAAATAAATTCAGAAAATGTGAAAGTAGGTAAATTTGATTTTTTTTCTCGGGTAACTTTACCGCAAGAACGTACAAATTCTTATCAGATAGCTTACATTTACGTTAAAATAGCTGGTCGGTTGACCTTTGCTCGACTTCGGCATATTAAGCAATTTATTTTTGACCGTCCCCTTAAAAAGATTTTGAAAACCGAATTAAACGAGGCGGGAATGTTTTGTTCTTTGAGTTTGTATTTATAAATAGATGTCTATTGAGAGTGTACATTTAATAAATTACATGCTTATGTAGATTTTGATGGGAGGGGTATTAAAAGATATACTACCAAAAATACTGGAAAGATTGAAAAATTGTATAGATACAATCTTACCTTGTTTCAGGTTGCACATAAGAGAAGTGTTAGAATATATAGATCTAGTGTTAGTTCTTTTTCAATAAAAATATACAACGCTGAATAACAACTAAAACTTGCTAGAGATAACACTAACACTAGAACTAACACTCGACCTAAAAACAGTCTGGTTTAGCCGTCCTGCAAAATATTCAGCAAAATTTTATTTTACATGCAACTTTTCAAATAGGGATGAGTAATGTTGTTCTTTCGTCTTGACTCCAGCTACTATTTGCAACAACTCCATTAACTTCAGAGTCTACTTCATTGATGTGTTGAGAGGATTTACTCTTTCTTAAATAATTATGTAAATAAACACAAACTAGCACAGTTTTTTTAACTTTTTCTGGTTCTAGCAAAATCGACTATCTCAAAACACTAAAAACTGCTGACTTAATACTAAACACGTTTTCGACTTTTCTTGTAGCAATTGATAATTAAATTTTCCTAAAAAAAGAAATCGAACAAATAATGGAACAACGCATTAAAGATGAAGCTACTCTTCAGAAACAAATAGATGACCTGAGGGGCATTATAGATGGTCTAAAAATCTAACAAAATCTTAACCCACTCTTCTTGGAGAGGGAAAAGATACCGCTCCCGGCTATGATAACATCACAAGGAAACTGCTTAGAAGTCTAGATCTTAACATCCATGGCTTTATCAGAAAAATAATCAACTTTTGCCTTACGACTCAGCATTTCCCGCGCGACTGGAAGACATCAATTATTACTTGTATTCCCAAGAAGGATTCTTCTCTATCTGATCCAGCCAACTATCGCCCCATCTCACTGCTCCCCGTAATTGGAAAACTCTTCGAGACGCACTTGAAGAACAAGCTCCTGGCTGCGGTATCAAAAAAAAATCCGCCTTACCAATTTGGCTTCCAATCCGGCAAATCAACGTCCCATCCACTAACTATTCTGGTTTCCAACTTCCAGGCGGCACGTTTTGTAAAACTGAAATCTGCAGCAGTGTTTCTGGACGTCCGAAAGGCCTTTGACTCCGTGTGGCGCAAAGGATTGCTATTTAAACAGGATAAGCTAAAAACGCCATACTACCTTCTAACCCTGATAAACCAATTCCTGTCGAATCGCTCCTCCATCGTGAAGTTGAAAGATCACTTCTCCCACAGCTTCTCCGCTCAGCAAGGCCTTCCTCAGGGTTCGCCTATCTCTCCCGCTCTATACAATCTATTCTGCCACGATCTTTACAACGACAACCCAGACGCCTTTAACCTCACTGCATACGCACTTCTTTACGCCGACGACACAGCATTGGTCTCGCACTGTAGGGATATCACTTCCTCGGTCCGTAAGCTGCAGACGCTCATAAACGAAACGGAAAATTGGTACCGAAAATGGCGCATCTTACTCAATCCCACAAAAACACAATTTTTTGTCCCATTCCTCTCACCCCGCGCTCCCTCTCCCACAATTACAATCCAATCAACGGCAATCTCCGTCTCACCAACCTGCAAGTATCTTGGCATAATACTTGACAGAACGCTTAAGTTTTCCACTCATGCAACCAAGGTGAAGATGAAAGTAAAGACACGCGCCAAACACTTTAAATCTCTCTCGTTCAGCGGTCGCGGAATCTCTACCTCATGTGCCTCGCACATCTACCTACAAGACCATATGCAGGCCCATCATAGAATATGGATCAATACTGCTAAGCGACGCACCAAGAAGAACGAAGTACCACCTGGAAGTAGCGAAAAGATCTGCACTGAGATCCATCACCCGAATCAGGAACCCCCGTAATCCCCCCTTTAACCCTAGCAATGATCTGCTATACCAACTTACCGATATACCCCCTATCCATACCCGTCTTCAATCTTTGTCCGATAAATCCATACTAAATTTTCCTACCAACGCCTTGCAACACACGCTTATATCGCCTCGATTACTCCACCCTCGCAACAACCCACCTCTTCTCTTCCAAAAACTCCTGGCCGTCAGAGAAGACTGAAACAAGCCGCCGACTACAAAAATCACGGGCAGAAAGACCTTGGTCGGTAGCCCTATTCCTACCCCTTAACTTTTTTATTTTTGTTGTATATAGGTACATATAGATATTTTTATTGTTATTCTTATTTTTTTTATGTAGTGGGTACAGAATAAAATTTGTTTTTCTTCTTCTTAACCCTCTAAAGTGGTGTATACCACAGACGAAGATGAGTTTAACTTCATGAGGCTTGGTGATCAAGCTTACAGGAGATTCCGCCAGAGCAAGTGCCCAACTCATTTTCAATATTATAAACAATTGCGCAACTATACTAATTCGGCCGTTCACAGGGAGAAGCGACATTTGGAAGAGCTTTAGAAAACTAGGTGTTCTCAAAAATAAAACTCATGTACTGATAGATGCCGGATTTAATGCTGACGATATTAACGATTTCTTTCTTAGTATTCAAACTAACTCGGCTGGAAATGCAGAGTTAATCGAGTTTTATTGGGACAACTCGTTTCTCCAAGTCACAGAAAAGCTTACTTTCTCTCTTGCAACTGAATCGGAAATTCTTAGCATTCTAAGGGGAATAAAGTCTAATGCAGTTGGTACTGATGGCATAACTACCAAAATGATTTTATTGTGTTGTCCAATTATTTTACCCTTCTTGTGCCACGTTGTCAATTGTTCTATAGAGGTTTTCCCTGATGCCTGGAAGTGTGCCTTAGTGACTCCAATTCCTAAGACTACTAATCCTAGTGAGTTGAGTCCGATTAGTATTTTGCCTTTACACTCCAAGGTCTGTGAGAGGATCATAGCGGAGAGACTTCGGCGTCACCTCGATGATTTTGGAATTTTGCCAGTTGTCAGTCTGGGTTCCGTGAGGGTTTTAGTAGCTCTGCTTCATTGATGGGGGTTACGGATGAGGTTCTGAGAGCAATTGATAACAAACGGGTGTTGATCTTGGTACTGTTGGATTTTTCGAATTTGTTTGATCGAATTCACCATGACACTCTGTTAGCTACGTTTCATTACGTTGGTTTATCTTTGGACTTAATTCATTTTATAAAAAGTTATTTGTCTAATCGAAAGCAGATTGTAGCGTTTAATGGTGGGAGATCCAACCCCGCGGAAATTTTATCCCTCAGGGCTTTATTTTGGGGCCTCTGCTGCATCTAATTTCCACTATTGGCTTTATTAATGTTTTAAATCATTGTACGCCATACATATATGCGGATGATACTCAGCTTCTTTATTCTTTTAACATGCGCGATTTTGAGACTGCTGAAGCCAATATAAATCATGATTTACGCAGTGTTGAACAATTTGCTAGTANAATGTTATATCACTATTGGTTGTTATATCAAATATCAACCAATAGTGATAAAAACAACAAAAATAGTCTATGAAATACTCCATTTTAATTTTTAATATTTTATTTGTACAATTAATTCATAGAGTTACAAATTAAATTAAATAAAAAGAATATCTTTAGGTACTGAACAACCTGTAACAAAGTAGGATTTGCGTGTATCCAAAGACGTTAGAATCTAAAAGGCTACATCCTTTGTTGTTTTGGAATCCAGCAAAATGACGTCACTATTGGACCAATATGTCATACCACATGTTATCTAACCAAACTACAGCGTGTTAATTAATTATCGTACCCTACGTCATCATTGCAAGTATGCAATCAATATCACAGTATTGGTGTTGTAATAAGCAAATCGCGTATTGCAATACCAATACTGTGATATTGGTTGCATACTTGCAATAATGACGTCGGGCAAGGTTTATAGAACATAAGGTTACCTCATTCCCTATGCCTCTGTAGTATCGATTATTACCCCGCAAATTGACGTCACTGGTTCGATACAGTCAGAATAAAAGATAGTCTATACGTGCCTATACTGTGGTACAGTCTATATAAAATATTTAAACCTCGCATCGTGTTGCCTCTCAGAGGAGGAGAATCGGTATTGGGTAACCTTATGTTCTATAGACCTTGCCCGACGTCATTATTGCAAGTATGCAACCAATATCACAGTATTGGTATTGCAATACGCGATTTGCTTATTACAACACCAATACTGTGATATTGATTGCATACTTGCAATGACGACGTCGGGTACGATAATTAATTAACACGCTGTAGTTTGGTTAGATATCTTAAAGGTGTAGGTAACACGTGGTATGACATATTGGTCCAATAGTGACGTCATTTTGCTGGATTCCAAAACAACAAAGGATGTAGCCTTTTAGATTCTAACGTCTTTGGATACACGCAAATCCTACTTTGTTACAGGTTGTTCAGTACCTAAAGATATTTTTTTTAATTTAATTTGTAACTCTATTAATTAATTGTACAAATAAAATATTAAAAATTAAAATGGAGTATTTCATAGACTATTTTTGTTGTTTTTATCACTATTGGTTGATATTTGATATAACAACCAATAGTGATATAACATTATGATTATATATAAAAATAATTAGAGTATGTGATGCGCTACAGGTTCTTAATTTAAGATAAAAAATTAATAAAACAATGTTTAAAATTTAAAAGCAACAATTTTATTGAATACTTTCTTCAGATTGTTGCAACAAACATTGAACGAATGTTTAAAATTGAATAATGGTGAACGTGAGAGTACAATAATAATTCGGAACAATAAATTCACAACAGGAAAAAAAGTACAAAAAAAGTTTACGCATTAAATGCAGTTACAAAAAAATAAAAAAGATATTAATAAAAAAAAGAAACAAGGGTTTTCTCATTGTGCAAATGCAAATCTTATACTATGAAAAAAAAAATAATGGAAGCGGTAATAAATTATACATACAAATTAATTAATAAAACAATAAATTATAATCCTAAAATTAAAAAGTACAAAAATAGAGTTAAAGAAAAACTATACAATTATTATTTATAATAATAGATTTTTTTAAAAGTATATTATATACAAGTTTATGTGTACAATACATAAAAAAGATCAGCAGTGCCAGATTTTAACATAAAATAATTCTCTATACAACTCCTAAACTATTTAAAAATAAAAATAAGGTGTTTGTGTGTATATATAATATAAACAATGCCTTAAAAGATCAAAAAAATGAACACTATACAGTAATTATTAGTTTTTAAAACTTAATAAAAACAGTTTTCGTAATATTATTATTTACCCTAAGTATGTTAATAATACAATTTTTTTTAAATTCGATATATTATTGCTTACCCAAGTTACAAAAGCTATAGATAGCGTAGTGCGTGCAAAATGGCACAAAAAACTAATTTTTAAATACAATACACAACCTTCTTTTATTAAATTTAATAATATTTTCCATTCAAAAATAAACACTCTATCTATAGCTTTCCATGTCGAAGACATCGATAAAAACTTTGTACTGTTTTTCAATGCAAATACCCTATTTACAATGTACGCTAGAAAAATTTATATTTAAACTATGTATATTGGTGTTAGAGGTTTTTCTTGTTTTTCATTTACTTTTAGTGTCACTAAAGTTAATTAAAAAATACACTGGTGTTATTCGTTTTTTTCTTTTTTGTTTACTTATTGGGTATACAGTCTTAAAGTTGAGAATTATTCGTTAGTCATCATTATTTTTATTACTTAAAACTTAATTTGTTCTGGATTTCTTTTTTCAGTTTTATCTCATGTCATCGCTCGTCGAAGCAGAAGATAATTATCATCACCAATTGGCGCTTGCCTAAATTAAAAAATAATTTCTTTTATTTTACATCACAGATCATTATTGACTTGTGGTGTAAACTAACATTACAACCTACATAATTAGGTTGGTGAGGCGGGAGGGGTATGTTTCAAGATATATAAATAAGATAAGAAATAGGAGGGAAGAAGTTACCAGTGAAATAAACATGATGAAGTGGTGGAAGTACTTTTTGGGATTACCAAAAATTGTATAATCGTTGCTGTTATTTTTGTTATTCCTATATTATTGTCGCGAACATGTCTTCCGTTTGTGGAAATAAGTGTCAATACTTTAATTGTAGAAGAAGTAGAAGAACTAATCCATCTTTGAAAATGCATGGATTTCTAATTAAGGACTCCGATCGTTTGCAAGTGAAAAACATATTCAAAAATCTCTTGCAGGGTTGAAAAAAAACTTGTTCTTTTTTATTTTTAAACAAAACGCTTGTTTTTTATTGTTAAAAACTGCTTTTTTTTGTTTAAAAATATTTTTACGTCGCTACTATGTTTTAAACAAATAAAACCCGTTTTAAAGTAGCAAGTGCGCAAATAATATGTATAAAATCAGAAATCGGGATTATTCGGGGAATCCCACCGATGTCAGCGAAAACCCGGTAAAATTTTAGTTTACGTATGTTTTTTTTTTTATGAAACAATTGGTTGGAAATTGAAGAATTTGAAATGCAGCTGATTGATTTAGTCTATCTGTTTAAATCTATTCAATTCCAGTCTAGTTCAATATGGATTCAAAAATTTATTGAAACAAGGAAAGAGTTAGAATTAATTGAAACAGAAAGATTGACAAGTAATATAAGTGAAAATGCTAACAACAAAATTCTGGAAACATGGAATGCGTTACTAGACACATTTAACTGTTTGAAGAAGCTAGCTCATGCTATTTTAACAATATTTTCATCAACCTATGCCTGCGAGTCATTTTCAGAAATAAATAACATTAAAGACTCAGTTAGAAACCGTTTGACAGATGACTCCAGTTCAGCATGCATTCTGCTAAAAGTAACATCTTACAACCCTAACATATGTTATTTGTCATCTAATCTGCAACAACAGAAGTCACACTAATTTTACTTTACTTTAAATTACGCGTATACAAACATTGCAAAATGTTCCTATTTTTTTGTAGTAAATAAAGAGTTTTGAGTTGATAGTATTTATTACTATTATATTCCCAATAATCACAAAGTCAAAATTTTTATGGCATGTCTATGACCGTATTAAACATTTCTTTAGAAAAATGGCACGTTGATACGTAAAGGTTTGCCATCCCTGTCCTATAATCATCTACGCAAATTATACTACTAGGAATAAGCACAATTCCGAGATGGCTAGAGCAGTCAAAATTCTTACCTGGATTTAACACTTCCTTTTTACAACAGATTAAATCCAAAGTGGAAGGTTGGTCAACCAGTGACTGTAAGTATGTTATCTGTTTTGATGAAATGGCAATTAAACAATGCCTGAAGTACAATAAATCCTTACATTTTATAGAAGGATTTGAAGACTTGGGACACTTAGGGCACCCGAAACGTATTGCGAGATATGCGTTAGTTTTCATGGCCAGAGGTCTGCACGCTTCCTGGAAAATTGCGCTTTGCTATTTTTTAAGGTTACTAAATTTTTATTCTTAAGGTACTACTAATCAGAGAGCATTTAATGTTAATACAAAGAAAATGGTGGCATTTTCTGTAATAATTTATTAGCTGCTAATTTTCAATTGGATAAAAACACAATCAGCTTTGAGAATGTGAAAAAATGCTGGAGTATTGATAACAGCAAGAAGAGTAGGGCTATGATAAAAATTAGCAAACAACATATGTACCCTAAAGGATTCCAGACACAAGTATTCAGCCATACAGTGGCAAGCGTCTTAAGGACATGTATTGTCACTAAGGAAATAACATCTACGTCCGTGGAAAGTACAGCCCACTTTATTAACAACATCAACAATCTCTTTGATTGCCTAAACAGCAAGTGCTTGTATGCAAGTAACTCATATGTTTGCGCATTGTATTCTAAAAATGCTACGGTATTGGATACATTGCATAAAGCTCAGGAATGGGTGCCAAAGCTTATCAAAGTTGATAAAAATGGTGCAAGATCTAAACCACCTTGCTTCTCTGGCTTGGAGCAAATCATGGCAGGTATTTGGTTGTTATTGAAGAGTGAACAAAAAGAAGATGATTCAGTATACATATTAAGCAATAAATTAAACCAGGATATTCTCGAACATTTCTTCTTCACCGTTCGACAAAAAGGAGGATATAATCCAAACCCAACAGCGCGAACATTCCGCACTAGTTTTCGGTCTAAAGCAGTAAATTCGCTGCTGCGACCTGCTCGGCATGGCAACTGCGAAACTTTAGACGCTGAAGAAATGGTTGGGGACCTATTGGATATGCAGCATGAAGATTTATTAAGCTCCTTCAACTGCCGACTGAAGACCTTCTTAAAGAACCGTCTTTACGCTTCCTGGAAAATTGCGCTTTGCTATTTTTTAAGGTTACTAAATTTTTATTCTTAAGGTACTACTAATCAGAGAGCATTTAATGTTAATTCAAAGAAAATTGTGGTATTTTCTGTAATAATTTATTAGCTGCTAATTTTCAATTGGATAAAAACATAATCAGCTTTGACAATGTAAAAAATGCTGGAGTATTGATAACAGCAAGAAGTGTAAGGCTATGATAAAAATTACCGAAAAACATGTGTACCCTAAATTTCGCAAAATGTCGGTTAAGCTTGCTACACAAGTATTCAGCCATACAGTGGCAAGCGTCTTAAGGACATGTATTGTCACTAAGGAAATAACATCTACGTCCGTGGAAAGTACAGCCCAGTTTATTAACAACATCAACAATCTCTTTGATTGCCTAAACAGCAAGTGCTTGTATACAAGTAACCCGCATGCTTGCGCATTGTATTCTAATAATGCTACAGTATTGGATACATTGCATAAAGCTCAGGTGGTGCAAGATCTAAACCACCTTGCTTTTCGGGCTTGGACCAAACCATGGCAGGTATTTTGTTGTTATTTAAAAGTGAACAAGAAGAAGATGATTCAGTATACATATTAAGCAATAAATTAAACCAGGATATTCTCGAACATTTCTTCTCCACCGTTCGACAAAAAGGAGGATATAATCCAAACCGAACAGCGCGAACATTCCGCACTAGTTTTCGGTCTAAAGCAGTAAGTTCGCTGCTGCGACCTGCTCGGCATGGCAACTGCAAAACTTTAGACGCTGAAGAAATGGTTGAGGACCTATTGGATATGCAGCATGAAGATTTATTAGGCTTCTTCGCAACTGCCAACTGAAGACCTTCTTAAGGAACCATCTTCATCCATGTCAACGGAGACGTCTGTAGAAGAGGTTGTACTTACTAACATAACCTTGAACGAGCAATCATTGGAATTGTGCAGTATAAAATACTTCGCTGGATATTTAGCTCAGCATAGCCTTAAAAGTACGAACGGTATTGTTTGCCAAGAAATGCTAGTGAACACAAACACCACATTGGGAAGCGAAAATGAAGCGCTAATATTTTATAAATCATACAACATTGCAAAGATAGGTGGAGGTGCATCTGGTGGCTTAGTTGCACCATCCGAACTGCTATTCAATACTGTTAAGGTTGCACTTGATGATTTTGAACATATGTTTTATAAATTAAAGGACAAAAAAAATGTGATACTTCATATTTTTAAAAGATTATTTAACAAAATATAAATGATGCTTGTGTATTGCACATATCATCATTAGTGGAACATTTACTAATAGTAAAAGTTAAAAAAGAGTGCAAAAACTATAATACACCGAAACTTACTAAAACGCAAAAGGAAAATCCGAAATTGAAACAAATTACTTACATTCTACCTTACTCTATGTATCCTATTTAATCCAGAAAATTATGTTCACATTCAAAGTATACAGGGTGTATCTGAATGACTGCAACAAACTTCAAGGGGTGATTCTTTAGTGAATTTTAAGGGTACTTTGATATATGGACCATGGAATACTTCGGCTCCCCTAAGGAGCTACACCCCTCCAAAAATGGCGGAAAATTTTGGTTTAATTTTTTTTTCTCAAAAACCATAAACGCTAGGAAAATGAAATTTGGGGAATATGTTTAACTCATAATAGGGCATGTTTTGACCCTACTTGTACTTTCAACCTACCCTTCTAAACTACTAAACGTAACCACCCCCGTTCAATTTATGCCTAGATTTTTTTATGCAGATGGTAAATACATTTAAAAAAATTGACATATAGGTACATGAAAGTATCCTAAAACTTTTTTGTCTCTCTAAAATTTTTCCAAAAACGACTAATTTTTGAGAAAAAAAATAATAAAGCAAACACTGCCCGTTAAACAACGAAGTTGTTGATCAAAATTTGGAATGAATTTTTATTGAAAAAATCTTAGTAGGCTTTGTAATCTTAGTCAGAAATATTTTTGACGTTTAAATGTCAGTGTTTTCCTTACTATTATCATTGTTTTTCAAATAAAGTTCTATCGCATTTACGCTCGTTCACTCGACGTTTCACAATTTTAAATAAAATAATAATAATAGTAAGAAAACCACTGATATTTAAACGTTAAAAATATTTCTGACAAAGATTGCAAAGCCTACTAAGATTTTTTCATTAAAAATTCATTCCAACATTCGATTAACAACCCAACAGCTTAACAGTTAGTGTTTGCTTAATTAATTTTTTTCTCAGAAACTATTAACTTTTCGAAGAACATCAGAGAGGCAAAAAAGTTTTAGAATATTTTCATCTACCTAAATAAAATATTTCCAATGTATTTATCACCGTCATAAGAAAAATCTAGACAAAAATTGAACGGAGGTGGTTATATTTAGTAACTTAGAAGAGTAGGTTGAAAGTACAAATAGGGTCAAAACGTGCCCTATTATGAGTTAAACATATTCCCCAAATTTCCTTTTCCTAGCATTTATGGTTTTTGAGAAAAAAAAGTTAAACCATAATTTTCCGCCATTTTTAGAGGGGTGTAGCTCCTTAGGGGAGCCGAATTCGCCCATGGTTCATATATCAAAGTATCCTTAAAATTCACTAAAGAATCACCCCTTGAAGATTGTTGCAGTCATTCAGATACACCCTGTATATGAGGTAGATTTTTTTATACTTAAAAGTATGGTTTTGTTTATATTTTTTGATTTACTCTTAATTTTATAGAAATTAATTTAAAATTGTAATGTCAAACGTTGCTCTAAGAAGTCATCATTGTGCTGTGTGAATTAATATCAATTGTAATTGCCAACCTACGAAAATTACCATGGCCTACTCTATTTGGAAGATTAAGATAATTGAAGGCGCGGTAGAAAAATAATATACTATTAATGGTTACAAAGATATTTGAGACACTTGACTTTTATATAATAAAAGTAATTATTTATTGTTGATTATTGTTGTGCATTATATATATACGTAGGGATCCATATTTTGGAATGTTTAATTTCACTTTACCGCCATCTAGTGCTTAATAGACGACGAGTTTGGTAGTCATATGTATAAACTGCTTAGTTGGCGTATTTGATATATGTATAATCAATGTACTGGGGGAATGAAGAAGGTAAATGCACCTCCAGAGAAGATGGGGTCCAGAATAAGGCATGATTGGAAGCAACAAGAGAGGTTGTTGATGGCGTTGAGGAAGGTATGGAAGGGAAAAGGGTTTGGGTGGAGGACGGCGATAATATGTCTCTAGTACAAAAAAGGAAGGAAAGGATTGGTACAGACACATACTTGGGGTACAAATTTAGAAAAAATAACAAGGAAGACAGGTATATTAGAATAATGGCAGTGAAAGTGAATAAGGTTATGTGCCAGGTCTGGGGATAGAATATTTAGGGGGGATGTGAGAAAAAGGAGGATAATGTTTGAGAGCTTGATGAAAAGTGTAATGATGTATGGGGTGGAAATATGAGGATGGAAGGAGCAAAGACTGTTAAAGGCTTAAAATTATCAACATTTTAAATACTCACTTGCTACCATATTTTGTTTCCCTCGCGAGATTTCTTTGATACCTCCTATGAGTTTGTTCAATGTCCCATACTTCATTTCTCAATTGATCCAAATTATTACAAACAATAGTATTTGTAGGTTTCTCACTCATTTTTCTATCAATCTCTTGCATATGAGCTATTATCAACGAATGCATTCGTTGTAATTCTCTAGCAGGATCGAGAGTCATATGAAGATTATTTGAATCCACCGAAGATACTTCATGACAACCAGCGGCTGAAGCTATAGTTGATTGACAACTAAAAATCAAAAAAATATAATTCGTATTAAATTTTTTTTTAATATATTTACCATAACCAATGTCCATCGATAAAAGCACACGGATGATATTTCGTCAATCGATTTTTATTAGTTTGACAAATCTTAGTCAACAAATCAACCCATTCTTTTTCTTCGACGCAATTTGCTGCTTGAACATAAAGCGCTCGTTCTCTTTGGACTATTTGAAACATATTTTTCATTTGAAACGATTGTTCGTGGAGTCGTTCGACAGCCAAAATGTTGGATAAAGGTATTTGGCACAGCGCTTCCTTTCCCCTCGTTTTTGAATAACTGAGATCATGCGTTGTTAATTTAAAGTATCTTCTCTTAAAGTTTTTTCGACCGAATCCACCGAATCTTCGTCTGCCTTGAGCTCGTTTCGTCATTATTCTGTTTGAAAATAAAAAGATAAATTTTAAAATTACTTGAAATGTTTATTTTATTAAAGAAAAAAGTACCTTTTAAATTCCCTTCGAGAGCAAAAATAAAAAGAAAAATAAAATGAAATTATTGATGTTATAAATTAATTTCATGTAATAATAAAAAGCTTAATTTTGACAACGTTTACTTCCCAGAGAATTGTGTTTACGTTAGGTAACCACAGTTCCTCTCTTTATAAACACTCTAATAACTACCACGCTCAATTGCAAGTCTTGCAACAGACCGTGGTTGACCTAAATTTTCTTCACTATGTATGAGTATAAAAATAGCATAAATGCGTAAGTAACGGGAAATAACGAGAAGTTTTTTATAGCAAACAATCTCTTTACATTTTTGTAAAAACAGCTATAATTGTAGGTGGTGAAATCCAAGACTCTGTTATTGAAAATTAAATATATGTTTATATTGTACTAAATTTTTATTTTTTTAGTTCTACAAGGTGAAATTTTTTAATATCAAGTCATAACAACATATTAGCATAATGATATATTTCAATGGAAGAACAGAAAATCCTGTTTGTGCGAGTGGCAGAGCTAAATTAAACGTTTTAAATTGCCCAAAAATGATACTATATAAACCTAATTAAGATTGATATCTCATAATTTGATAGTACTAAGTATTACTTAAGAATTTTTAAGCATCAGAGCCAGTAAGGTTCCACCAACCGGAATATGATTTATGTATATGATACAAAGAATTATTAAAGAATATAGAATGACAGAAACGGAAATATTTTCAAGTCGCTCATGTTGTCCAAATTCTAAATTCTGACATTAAATGTTGGCCTAATAATGAGATTTATTAATAATTCAACATTCTTCGTTTGTGCATTTATGCGATAAACATCTTCTACTCAGAAAATTCTCCATGAAGGACCCATTCTATTAAAGCTATTCATAAAAATCCTGTAAGAAGAAATCTTCTCATGGGTCAAGCGAAGAACAACAAGGCTTTAGGAAGAACAGGTCAACTATAGACAGAAAATCTATAGAATACAACAAAACAAGATACATGTGTTTCATAGATCTTACGAAAGCTTTTGACCACGTAGCACTTCCAGACGTTGTGAGACTCCTTAACAAGAAAAATGTGCACCCAGATTCAAAAAAACATTATAGTCGAGCTAAATACGGACAATTGGACCCATATTCAAGTGGAAGGCAAAAAGACACGAAGAAGATAGCTTAAGCCCTAAAATTCTTTTCAATCTGATAATGGACAAACTAATAACTGAAGTAAAGAAGGTTGGAAAAAGATACACATTAGTTAATAAAGAACTAAAGATAATCTGCTACGTAGACGATGCCGTGTTGTCTCTTTCAATTTGAAAAAACAGCTACCAAGTACAACATGACAATATAGATAGCAAAGTCTAAAGCATTGTCCATATCGAAAGAGCCGAGAAGATGTAAACCCCAAAAAGTCGATATCTATTTTTTTGCTTATTTTGGCGGAACTATTATCAAAAATGGTAGAGAACTATAGAACTCAAGAGAAATTTGAAGTTTTTAAAAAATTAGATGCTAACTTCACAGACGTCAAGATAGTAGATAGATAAATGGACAACAGACTATAAATAAGATATTAATTTGTTTCTTTTTTTAGGGTTATTATAAATTATTAGGCAAAGGAAGAATAAGAAATCAGCCCGTCATTGTTAAAGCCAAATTCTTCTCGAAATCTGCAGAAGATAAAATTAAAGCTGTTGGTGGAGTTTGTATATTAACAGCTTAAGTTGTAATAAAGTTATTTATTATAAAAAGAAAAAATTATTATTATAAAGTTATATTTTTTTTTACATTAACATAACCTCAACATATTATACCCTTTTTTTGATAAAAATCTGTTCGTTGCGACCACGGTTTACACACTTTTCTGACCTGCACTCAATTGTGCCATGTCGTGCAGAGTAGTGCAGTCCCAACGAACACAGCTCATGTCCCTAGATTATAGAGTACAAGGCAAAGGCCTTAAAAAAAAAGAAGAAGAAGCAGAAGTACCTAATGAATGTTCAAGAGGATTAATAATCTTTAATGAGTAAATGTATGGAAAGCAAAACACGAGAACTTCCGGAATGTTTAGGACCTGATAACATTAAAGATAATAATTATTAATATTTATTCATCGCCATTCTATTTTTCCATCTACAAATTCCAATTCTAAAATTTATTTCGTTTTTATAATTAATTTTATGATAAATCGCGTTTCTTGATGACTACAACTACTTTTTGAGGATATAAATGCCATTTAATTTTATATATGAATTGAATGAGTAGGAAAGAATAAACAATATAAATAATAAGAGCATTAAAAAATGATAGTAAACGAGAAAATACTACTTTATTTATTTCGTCAGGAAAGCAATCTTGATTAATACTTTTTTATCAGAAACCACATGAATACCTACCAAACAAATTGTATCAAATTATGATGAATTAATCAGCGGATTTTGATAATAACATATTGAGATCTCATATCCTCACTTTGTTTCAAAAGATGATTTTGTAGTCTTATAATAAATAATTACACTTGTCTGATAAGGTTAGTCTGATAAAATGCGGAGTAGCTTAGGGAAGAATTTTTTTAATATTATTTATTTTTTGTCATCATTATTAGTATATTGTCCGTTGTTAGAATACTCTTTCTGTTCAGCCTCCTTATAAATCTAGTAACAAAAGAAATTGATATATAAAACTTCGTTCACCTAATACTCACTACATTTTGGTTCAACTTCCCTCATTTCGATCAAGTCCTTGAATGTTTATTTGAACGTCACTTTGTTTTTACAACATTTCTAATCGTCATTAACCATTAGTGTTTATAAGACAACTTTATTTGCATACAAGTGGCATAACAAGAAGTTTGGTGGCGTCAATGTAAGAAATCCTTATCTCGTTTTCGTTTCGTATACAAATTGTTTCTTTGTCAACTTATGATAAACAGTCAATAATTTGGTTAACTCAATCCAATTCTTTCTGCTAAATACATATTCGATTGTCCTATTATGTGTAGATATTGTCAAATACAGCATAATCAGTAAATAAAGGAATTTAAATAAGTTCCAAATTCTCTAACCCACTTCCTAGACAAAATCTCTCCTGTCTTGATGTATTAATTGAAGTCAAAAAACCTACAGTGACTTGCTAATATTCAACTCATGTTCAAACCTGTGATGTGCCAGATGAAAATAATAATATTAGTACTAGTGGATGGGGAGCGGACAAATATATTATTGTACACTTTCAGATAACCAGGCATGATGGTATGAAAGTGCTGAATTTACCAAATTTCTATGAAAACTACAGACAGTTTATTATTGATGACCAACTTGACATTACCATTGTAGAGACAAATCGATACGGCGTTCAGTACCTAAAATCACATATCTTCGTCACTGCGTAGTGTTGAGTAAGCAGAAAGAGATGAAATTGGGACGAAATAAAAGATTGTGTCAGAAATAAAACCATGATGGAGAGCCCGTATTATAAGGAAGAAACCAATAACAAAAATATCTTTCGAGTCAAATATAGTGCTACTTTCGCAAAACTATCAAATGGCACAAAAAACTTTTATTATTGAGAACAACTTTTAAGTGAATTATGAATAAAGATACTATAGAAGCAGAAAATTACGTATCAATGCAGAAACCTCAACAACCTAGGCGAAGGTGGTCTAGAAATTTCGGCAGTATAAGTCAATACAATGAAAAAATGTCACACGTGTTTCAAAAAGTTCTAGTTGATCCTAGAATAAAATTAACAATGATTACTACATTTTGCCAAGAATATCCAAGAAAACTGACAAAGTGTATGGAGTGTTTTAAATAGAAGAAAGTATTTTAGAAGAAAGAAACATAATATATTACAGATTAAATAGTTATTTATTATTTTTAAATCTCACGTCGAAGCACTCGATTCGGCGAAGTATATAATTACGACTTTAACTCTACGAACGAATGATTCGCTTGATAGAAAGACCCCTTTAAAGCGAAATTTACTTGAGTCATTTTGTACACATATTCTATATAGCCTCAAATTAAAGTTCGATTAGTGTATGTTAACGGATGTTTTATTTAATTTCGTCAAGTAAGTATTGAAGAACATTATTTATTCTTGGAATATAAAGAAATGTTGATTGTTTGGAAAATTCTGCAAGATCTAAAAAGTTGAATTGGAAATTATAGCTCTTGAAATTAAAAATATAAAATGAAATAGTTTTTATAACTGCAAAATGCAAAATTTTAGCATTTATAACTTAGAAATGATTTGTGACAATGGAAAAAAAACAAGCCATTTAAGATATGGTGGAAATCAATATTAACAGATGATTAATTTATCTCTTCAACATCAGTAAAGCAGTCAATTTCAGCATATTATGTGATCCACAAAACATTTACACAAAAATTTAATGCCTGCAACAGAATGCAGTTTCACATTCCAGAGATAATAATAATGACTTGATATGATTTGAAAACGTTGGAGCAAACATGAATCAGCTTCAATGTGGAAATCAACTTCAAAACATCAATATTAACAAATGATTAATTTATTCGATCTTCAACATAAGTAAAGCAATCAATTTCGGCATTTTATGTGATCCACAAAAACATTTAGACAAAAATTTAATACCTACAACAGAATGCAGTTTCACGTTCCAGAGGTCTGATTTCAAAACGTTTGAGCAAACAGGCCCATTAGTCCAAATATTTATAATGCTTTTGGTTCATTGCAAATCTGCAATAATTTTTTGCAGTTTTATTATGTTGGAAGTGGAATCAATGAATTTATTTTGACTTCATATACAGGGTGTATCTAAATTGATGCGAAAGATTTTAAGGGTGATTTTCATCAGAACTTTTTAATGCGTCTACATTTTTCTATTTAAAATTAATTTAAATAGAGGGATTCAATATGCAACTTTTTTGTCTATTCAAATTTTCTCCTAAAATTGTTAGTTTGTCCATAAAACAATAAAATAGTACTCAGACCTATTTGACACAAATTCACAGTATGGTTATTTATGTAAAAATATCAAGTAGGCTGATGTCATAAACACATTTTTAAATATTAAGAATAATTTCTCCCAAAATTGCTAATTTAATTAAAAAAAAATAATAATAATAATACACAGACGCTAACAATAACAATTAACAAAACTACAAAAACACATAATAACAACGTTAACAAAATATTAATAATCATACTAAATGTTGAAAATGTCGCCCCTCAGCAGCGACGCATTCCTGGTGTATTCCTAATAGTTTCACATGATGCGATGATACGATTCCGTAAATCATTGATATTTTCAACAGGAGTTGAATAAACCAGGGTTTTAAGAAAACCCCAAAGACAGAAATCTAACGAATTTAATTCGGGAGATCTAGCTGGCCAATTCTTAGGACCACCATGGCCTATCCAACGATTTGTATAAACTTTGTCTAAAGGCCCGTACAGACACGTTTAGTAATTTAGTCGAGTAGCGAGTAATTTAGTAACTCGCTACGTGCGCACAGTACAATTTAGTCGAGTAGTTTACAGTACTACTAGCGCACAGTACTAAACACGTGTGAACGCATAAATTTAGTTTAGTGAATTAGCAATTGTATTGCGCGCGATGACGTCGTCTGTTCATCTTGAGTACCACTAAAGTGTCTTGAGCGTATTAAATATGGACAGTTGCCATCTACTAAACGTCCCAGTGGTAAGTGGCTACTCGCTACTCGACTAAATTACTAAACGTGTCTGTACGAGCCTTAAGTAGCGTTAATACTAAAATGCGCTCCATCATGCATGTACCATAATTCTCGCCTGATTTCTATCGAAACGTCATCAAGAAGCAGGGGCAACTCCTCTTCGAGGAAATTACAGTATGCGTCTCCATTTAATCTCATTGGAAGAAAACATGGTTCAATTAAATAATTGTCAATGACACCAAGCCACACATTTAATGAAAATTGGATTCAACAATTTTATGTGGATTTTCTTCAGCCCATATGTGATTATTATGAAAATTTCTGATGGATTCTTTTGAAAAATTCGCCCCATCAGTAAACAAAATACGACATAAAAACTGCGGGGTTTGTGTAATCATTTGAAGAATCCATTGGCAAAAAATTAACTGAGGTAGAAAACCTCGCGGTAAGAGCGCTTGAACACGTTGCAGATGATAAGGATACAAAAGTTGTACTTTTAAAATCCTAAACACGCTAGAATGGCTTAATTTATGGCTATAAAATGGTTGCGCAATTTTTCTTGTACTGGTTCCGGGAGAGTTCTCAATTAAATTGAGAACTTCTTCCTCTAGTGCTACATTACGTACTTCTCGTGAACGTCCGCAATCAACAATTCTTCTTGAAAATGTCCATCTTCTCGACGTTGATGAATACGCGCTAATATGCTGTGATGAGGTAGTGTACGTTCTGGATATAACTCAGCGTAAAGTCTTTGAGGTTCTAACCCATTTCCATTAGCACGACCATACACAAAATGCATGTCTGCCATTTCGGCGTTTGTGTAGTTTATCATTGTGTTATTACTTAAGCAATAATTCTTTAATTTGCGAAAATAATACGGACAAAATCACAACAATGAAAATATTTGTCATTATAACACCTTGATATTTTTAAACAAGTAATTATCAATCTCTGAATTTATCTCAAATAGGTTTAAGTATTTTTTATGGACAAACTAACGATTTTAGGAGAAAATGTTAAGAGACAAAAAATTGCCTCTATTTAAAACAAGTTTCTAAATAAAAAAATGTGGATGCATTAAAAAGTTCTGATGCAAAGTATTGTAGGGGTGGATTTTTCACCCCCTTGTAATTACATTATAGGGTTATAAAATCGTCAAAAAATGTCACCTTATTAGTAATAGTTATCTGCCAAATTTCATCCTTCCAAATTCCTCCATAGTGGATTTATTAAAGAAAAATAATTTTAGAGGGCTGTAACTTGGAGAAGTGGTTTTGATCAAAAAGTTATATGAAAGACCCCCCTTAATTTTCGTTGAAAAACCTGTATTTCATCTCATAGCTGTATTTTTTATAACACAAAATCGTCTAAATATTATTCTTATCATTGCTTTTTCGTCCATTTAAGAACTGATCAAGATTTTATAGCGTTTAATAATATTATAAAAAGCTTACCCTTCTTTTAGCGTCACTGGTGTATCAATTGGAATAACATTTTGACTAGTATTTGTCGAGATAATATCCAAAAATTTTCGTACGGCGGCCACCCTTTCTTCCGTACAAAATTTTTTGTACAATTGGTCCATATAATCTTCTTTACAAAGTTGCTGAGCCGAACGACAACTAACCGAATTACCAAGACTTTGAATTGTCTTTGATATTAAAGTTAACGTCCTATTTGTTTGACTATCCTACATAAAAAAAGGAAGAGAATTATCCACAAACTTATTTGTTGTGTTTATTTTTAACTTACGATTTGTTCTGATGTTAAATCGAAAAGTCTTGGTCCAAGAATAGCAGGAGCAAAAAATCTCAAAAAAATAAACCCGGATATAACCGAGTACCTCACTTCCCTATTTTGTGGAAAATGTTTCATCGCGCATTCTTTTAGATTGATAAAAATTTGACACATCAACGATGGGCATCCAACGGCGCTTTGCGTGATCGCTTCAAATATTCTTTGGACGTACGTTGTTAAATTGGCGAGATTCGCTTGGATGGTATTCGGATCTTTTACTTTCGTCGGGTCGATTTCACACGGTTTTTTCTCATTAAAAATTTGATCTATCGTCGGCCTTAATGTTTTATGTAAATACTGTATACCACAGAGTTTCATTGCTTCATCCATCATCTTCGAAACCAGCGTGTTTCCACGGAAGATTGTTGTTGGATCACTAAAATAATTTATGTTTTTAATAAAAATAAAATAATAACGAGGATTTATTTTAACTTACGTTAACGTTGATATTTCTGCAATTGCTAAAGCTCTTATTATATCTACAATTTGTTGATGATGCAGAAATATTCTCACTAATGGCTGTGCTATATCAGCTTTATTCGAAACGATATCTCCTAAGATATACACTGGACTGTTTGTAATTGGCTAAAAATGTATCAAATTATTAAAATGAAAATAAAATCATCTTATCTTTATTATTATTACCTGTGTGTGTATACTATTTAATAATAAAGTGCATAATCTAGCATATTTTTCAAGAGGAAGAACATGATCGGCGGTGTATTGAATTTGTAATCGAAGAGATCCCAACATGTTTTCGCCTGAGAGTCGAGTTCCCGGTGGTGTTGAGCAAGAATTCGGTTTGTTCTTTCCAGATCTCGGTTGTAAGAAATACCTTAAACAGTCAAGAACAATTTCCTAACAATTACCATTGTTCTAAATCAGAATATTTCACAACTATATTTATTTTTTCTTTTTTTCTAATATACGGTGTGTATTCTATTTTTATTGCCTACTTCATATTCTATTGTTCTTTGTGTCTTATTTAAAACGGTAAAGTATCGTTTCATGATTTGATTTGAAATGCTCCACTGACTGTTTAGAACAAGCGTCAACCTTGACCTAATATTAATCTTGTAAGAACATTATGTTATTATTATTACATAGTCAAATCTCAACAAAAAAAATCATTTAAAGCTATTTTTTTATTGATAACGATTACTTAAGATAAATTCCTAAGATACAAACAAGTTGGCGTTAATAATCTTAACGAGTTATCACAATGAATAGAAATCAAAAAAAAATAACGAATAAAACCTGTTTGGTAAGGTGAGAACTTAAAACGAGTTGAATGAAATAATTAGTCAGCAAAAACGTTCATTCTTAAAAAAAAACTTCAAACAGCAGATGTTAGAAATACTAATAGAGCATAATATTTATTTTCGCGGAGGTTTTCCTATGATGCCGTGAGAAAGTCGTTTTCTAGTTCCGAGGAACTCTGGTGATTCTTATACATCGGAAATTTTTAGGCAATTTAAAACCCACGCAAAATTCCCGTTAAAAAATTAAATTGTATGCTACTGGGGAATATTTAACGAAAAAATTTAAATATACATGGTTTTTATTGATCGTTGTCCTTCGAATTCATTCACGAGACAACGAAAAACAATTAACACGTCCAATTTAACATTAAATTTCAGAGAACGTCATCATTTTTTTTTTGTTCCGAGATAATTATCAAAATTCCACTCCTAATCTTTCATTTTGCTTACAAGTATCAGGCGATAATTACTATTAATAATCCCGCAGACGTTCATTCATAAAATCTGGAAAAAAAAAACACCGACACTCGTAAATTCCCATGTTTTCATCATCGTAATTTATATTACCATTCATTTTGCGCGTTTTTTTCTTCTTTTTTTGGTTCCGTTTACGGTTCAATATATTAAGATCACGATATCAAAGTGCTCTGGTTATTATCGGATGTTTCCAAGTTTAATGTAAAATTCTGAATGAAAAGATAAAAACTTTGCCTCTCTCTCTCTGTTTATTTCTCTGTCTTCCGCGGTTTTTAATATTCGTACAAAGTGCTTATTGTTAAAAGGCCTATACCAATCACACGTACTATGGCTGGTTAAGCAAGTTTTATTATCAATTTTATGTTAAAATGGCATTGTATGCACAATTTATGCGGTTGATGCTTACAAAAACAGCGCACAACTCGGGGTCGACATACCGAAAAGGAAAACAGTAACGCCAACGTTGCATTTGAACATATTTTTCTCACATCCGTAGAGGTAATATTTCAAAATTGCTCACATAACTATTATTGTTAGTTTCTTTTTTTCATTCGATCAGGTAATATTTCTGCTGATTTAACATGTTTTATATTACATACAATCATCGGATAAACTTGAGAATGTAAATCCTTAAACATTTATTATTACAAACTTGGAACTTTTATTACTATTACAAAACTCTCCTAGCAAATACAATTTATTTACTGATTTCAAAATTACACGCTACAGAAAGCAAAAAATAAAGTTTGACAACACTGTTGAAATGTCCGTACAAGGTATGTTCTAGATATGGTTCGTAAAACATACAGTTGTAACGGCTTCCGGGAGACGTGCGTGAGATGGTGTGACGTCACTCAAGTTGCCAAATTATATGTATTCCGTCCATGCTAACAATATTAAATGGTTTTGAATGTATATCTTTTTTACTCATTGTTTTCTTAGTGGAAGAAGAGTGGATAAGTCTGTCATTTTTATTCAATTTAATGAATAAATTTATATAATCACAAAAATTGATAATGAAATTTGTACACATAATATTTAATATCAATCCGAGTATCTTTGTTCGCTATTGTTTAGTTCTATTTGTTATAGTCACAAGAAATTGAAAATTTCAGGCTCTTGGTTGTTGAATTCTTAATTCATAGGTGTCTTTCCATCTTTCGGACTGCTAGACATCTCCTGGTGTTTTTTGCTTTCTTTTATCCTCTACACATAATCTTACCACCCTTTTCTACTTCGTCTTCCCAATCTTACCAGATCTAATATATCACATCGTTCCGTGATGTTTGTATTTTTTATCCGGTCTCTTCTGGTCCTACCCACGATAGTTCAATAGTAGTAGTATCTTCGCGTATCTCTATTGCGTATGTGATGATAGACCTTGGACAAGTTTTATAAATTCCTATCTTGCTGGCGATTCACATGTATTAATTTAATCGATCTCTCATAAGTATTCTGATAGAGACGTCGCTGTCTAAAATATTTGAATTTGCAAATTAGTTCTTTGGAGATTATCATGACTTATGTTTTATGGATATAATCATATTCATATATAATTGTTGGCTTACTTGACAGAATTTATAGAACTATCTTTGCAAACCACCTTCCGTTTCTGCCATGATAGATGCATAGTCTCCATATCATATCATACTGGCTTTAATAATCCTGTATACTCATATTTAATTTGTCCATTATCAAGTTCACCAGGAATGAGCTTAAGCTGTCCCCTAATTCCATCTGGGGTCGCAATATAAGCGGTTATGTGCTCGCCTGTTTTAATCTTTTTTATAGGTCGTTTACGATTTGAATTACATTTACAATGTTGGATGGCGTTTCTTTTTCTATTGCAGACATATTTCTGTTGCATAAGTTTATGTTAGCCTCTAAAATAACAAAGTCAAGAAGCATATTCAAGTGATTTTTTTGATGGAAGCAACTATCTGCTAAAGAACTGTATGGCGAACATTACATAACAGTAAACAAATTAATATCAATAATTCCTTGTTTTATCAACAAAATTGAGTCGCTTTCAGATTATAAGTAGCATGGAGGAAGGTTAACTTATAAAATTAAAATATTATAATGTTACGATTTTATAAAATTTACTGAAATATTGCCTTATTTGATTAGAAAATAGATTTCTTTCTGTGAACTACTTTAGCTGTATATTACAATAATAATATTTACGTTCTAAATTTGTGCATCCACATGTTTTATGCCAATAATATGCACAAGTACATTTAGAATGAAACTGTTAGATCAAGTGGAGCCCAAGAAAAGTAGTTTCATGTATCTTGTAATATTTTCAATAAATCATTGGAAATGAATATCTGCAACAAATTACATCTGTAATTTATTAATTTCATCAAGATTTTGTTGATTAATTGCAATTATTCTGTAGCCATTCTACTACTTAACCTAAAGCTAACTTTTTAGTAACAAACAAAACTTTACTTCTAACATAAGTAAGGATTAGTAATTCTTCATTAGAAATTGTTTCATCAGCGATTTTGCTTTTATTAATATCGATCACATTTAAATTTCTGTATCCTGCATTTGTCATAAACTCTTCTTCTTCTGAAGTTGCTATTTTTTTCTAAAAATTAATACATTTTCTTAGGAGATATGGCCTTACAGCAGAAAAACTTCTTGTGGCTGCTTTTTATGGATTTATTTTATGAATATTTATTAACATACTATTTCCATTTTTTCTATTTCCTCTCTAACCATCCTTATAATTGTAGACTTCACTACACAGTACTTTGTATCAATTACTTTTGTTGTCATCTAATTTTTTTAACACCTTAAATTTATTGTTCAAACATACATTTCTCTTTTTTCCTCGTATTGTTCATTACACTTAGAACACGTTATGTAAAAAACATTATGTATGCACCTATTTGACACACACTATGCGTTAATATGTAAGATATACACCTGCAAATTCATCGCGAATAAATAAATAAACAAAATAAGGGCTTGTAAACTTTGGGTTTACAAGAACATAAAACAAATTATAACGGAATGGGATATACCGGAAATTTCATATAACTCGTTACGAAACTACTATGCACTTACACTGTCCCGTATAAAATGCAACATAGCTTAATAGTACAGGCATTGGGCAGTTTTGCAAAGGAAAAGTTTTGCTTGGAAAAGAGCAAATCAGCCGTATTACGAGACGCACGGCTAAACCTGAATGATTCTAGTTCTAGGTCTTATGTTAGTTCTAGTAATACTACTATTGCAAAACTAGAACTAACACTAGACCGAGAACTAGAAACATTCGGATTTAGCCGCACGTCTCTCAAGACGGCTAAACCCGAATGTTTCTAGTTCCAGGTCTTGTGTTAGTTCTAGTGATAGTGCTAGTGTAAAACTAAAACTAATACTAGACCCAGAACTAGAAACATTCGGGTTAGCCGTGCGTCTTTAGACCTTACTGCAATAAAAATATGCAACATAGTGATATCTTATGCTAACTACCGCTACCCACCACTGTCACTAGAACTAACATTAGACCTAGAACTAGAAACATTCCGTTTAGCCGTGCGTCTCTTAAGTTGGCTAAACCCGAATGATTCTAGTTCTAGATCTAGTGTTAGTCTAGTTTTATTTGTTATTCAGCGCTACATTGTTGTATATTTTTATTGCGCTATAACGGACACTGCGTTCCCCATATTGATCCGTTATATCAAGGTTTTACTGTAATGTCAAATTATATTGACATGTTGCATTTTATGTGGGACGAAGCAAGTAGGTACCAGAGACCTACAGCAAATGGCTCACTTAGTGAATCATATTCGCTGATTCGTTGCTTGAGTGTTGCCTTCATTCGTCAATACATATATAAACATATGCATGGTTTAAAACCATTCGCGAAATAGACATTCGAAAAGTTCCGTATAACGTATTGAAATTTAATATTTTGCTGAAAAAGTGCAAAACTTGTAGGTACAAAGTTGTCTAAAAATTATCAAAAATATTCCAAATGAGTTTAAACCTATTTAAAAGCCCAAAATTTGTCCAAAATCATTTAATGCTGACTTTGTAATATAAACTTATCGCAAAAATTCATCACATTGGAAAACAAGGATTAACAAGAATTATTCAAGGGAATTTAGATAATTTTAGACACATTTTGACAATTTCAGATAATTGTGGGCATGTTTAGCCAAGTTTAAACAATTTTAAATTCAATTTCATCGTTTTAGACAACGTTATAAATTTTTTCAGTTTTGAACAAGTTTAAACAATTTTAGACAAATGTTGCGCTTTTAAATAAATTTGAACACGTATAGGTAACAAAATTTCCTATAACAAAATTTCAGTAACATTTTGACCATGAACTATTTTGTAAAATTTTGATAATTTTAGATATAAACAATTTAAACAATCTTGTACAAGTTTGGCCAAGTTTTGATAATTTTAGCCACATTTTGATCATTTTAGACGGTTTTGAACAAGTTTAGACAAATTTAAACAATTTTAGACTAGTTTTAAGCTTTTAAATAATGTTGAACAAGTAGTTTACATAATTTCAGTAACATTTTAATCATTTTGAACTATTTTGATGACAATTTTCTGTAAGTTTAGCCACATTTAGACAAGTGTGGATAAATTGAAATTGTGTCTTAAATTCCACTTAACATTACTTTATTTGTGTTCGGTTTTAAAGTAACAATGATTGTATACAAAAGCACTGCTGTGTAGGTGAGACATTTTAAATGATTCGCGAATACTTTTAACGATTTACGTTAGACTTGAGAAAGACGCCTGTTGCTTGATGTTGTAGAACAACACTGCAGCATATTGAGCGAATCGTGTGTTACATTGCACCTCTTATGGAAATATATTTTTATATATTGCATCTTAAGTGAAATTCACTGTATACTATCTAGTTGTTAGTCAATTTTGAAAGTGGTTAAGACCATTATTAATAAGAAGACACATCTTCACTCTTACATACATTCGTATATTTTTAATTAAGTGAAACGCACACCTTTAAATATCTTAATCTTCTTCTTTGGTGTATATAAAAATACACTACATCATACAATTTGTATGACGGAGATAACATCATTTTGAAGAAAATTTCTAAAATATATGGAGGATGAGATAGGATTTGATGATACAGATTTGGCATTTTTGGTTGATTTGACTTTTTAAATAGATGTTGACTCAACACAACTCATAATATAGGAGAAATATGCAACTATCTCATTTATAGTCGATGTGGTCGAGTATATCTACTAAGATTTGAACAACTTGTATTTATAGCGAGGAATATTAAATAGATTTATAATGCTGATCAATCTCCTTGTTTCATTCAAAAATATCTGGTTGATATCTATTAAACACTAACTCATATTAGAGAAATTAAGATTACTTCATTAATTCTCCGAAATTAAAAAAATTTAACTATTTAAATATGCAGGAATGGAACATATATTTTTCCTTATAACTTTGTGGTTTATGCAAATAAAATAGGAATCATCGAAAATTATGCTTTTTCAAAATAAATAGAGCAGGATTTTCCAACCAAGAGCGCACGCCCCCAATTTTTTAAAGATAAATTAAATTCACGCTTAAATCATCATTATATGATTCAGTCGGTCACTGTTTTAAAACCCGACGTCGTTAATTGCTGTTAGACAAGTTGCAACAAGTCACAACTCAACATATCACCCCCACATATAATAACTATCATGCAGAACCTACGCGCATCCCTGTCTTAAATAGGGATGACTTTGAACTCAGCTGTAAAGATCGTAAACTACATCAAGAGCAGCGCTTTGAAAAGTTGATTATTAACTTTACTTTGCGAGGATCTCGAATTTGATCACAGAGTCTTTTTATTCCACACAGAAGTACGTTAATTATCTAAAGGTGAACAATTTCAATTGAGATTGGTTTATTTTACTGATATATTTGATGTCTTGAATCAGTTAAGTTTGAAGTTTCAGGGCAAAAATTGCGCTTTAATAAGTATCTATGCCAACATTCAAGGGTATCCAACAGAAATATGTCATATCATTTTCTAGGCTATCCAACACAATTAACAGGAAACAACTGGATGATAATTTAAAGCTGAAATAGAAACTCAAATTCATCAATATGGCACATGATCAGAAACCCATTTGTTGTTGATGTTTTAAAATTACCTTTTCTTCTTACAATTAGAATTACCAGAAGAAGTTTAGGAAGAGTTTCTAAAAATGAAGACCGTTAATTAACAACCTAATTAACTCAAAAATGGAGAGCAAACTTTTTATAGGCTAATAAAGGAATTCAATTGAAATGGGACTTTACCTGAAGTAATAATAAATTAAATTAATTATAATTTTGTGAGATATAAAACATTTCAGAACCCTTTAAAATCTCTTGTATTAAAAATACATTATAATTTAACGACACAAGAAAATAAAATAGTAATTGTAGGTAATAAAAATTATTTCAGTCAATTCTTAAAACACCAATGAAAGAATAAAGTAATAAATCAGTGTTAGAGTGTTAAGTCATGCCAGGTTATGACTCAGTTAGTTGGTTAGCCAACAGCTCGCTTTACTACTTGTAATAGATCTAAATGTAAACACTATTTTATTGCACAACTAAATATTTATATTTTAAAATTTATTTAAACTCAGATACACAACATTTTTTAGGATTAAAATTTCCTTTTAAACGGGAAGTTTAACTTTAAACTTTAACTTTAAACTTACCATGCATTATTATGAGCTCCCTTTTGTTGTTGTGGTCCCCTTAAAGACACCTTAACTTCCCCAAGAAATACATCACCGGCCATTCCGGGCGCGTCATGCCAAAACGACACATGTAACTCACATATTTCCACATCCGGTTCGTTCGCTTCAATGTACCCTTTATTATCTTTTTCCTCAACACTATCAAAATAAAATTCTTCGTTAAAAACCGGCGACGCCGTTTTCTTTTTCGTCTTAGTCCGTTTGTTCACTTTCTTCCCATTCGAATACACAACAGTAACAAGCGCGAACGGGTCACAACTTCCGTTCTTTAATGTTAAATCCGTACACTCAACGACCCGCACCACCAGACGATTTTTGAAACATATTGACGTTTGATTCTTGTTCGAGACATTTTCAAAATCGATTTTGATATTAGCTTTTCCTTGGACCTCCGAGTCCGCGTCAACCGGTTGGATGGAAAACCAATGGTCTTTGTTGTTGTACTGGGCCAGATCTTCACGTTTAATCGCCACCTTGCCCAGGACTTTGTCTTGTTTGAGGTGGCGATCTCTGTCATAGAGATATACGGAGAGGTAACGAAATTTTCGAGGTACATTAAATTGGAATTCTTCACTAAAAAATGGACTGAAAACAAAAAAAAAATTAGTTATAATAAAAAATTAATTTAAAAAAATTATTTTTTAGGTTAAACATAACCTACAATTTTTTTAGGTTATGTTCAATTACATAACCTAAAAAAATTGTTTTTGTTGTTTTGAGTTGTATTATTATTATTTTGTACAATTCATCACAAATTTATATGTATAAACAACAATTTAAGTGATATATAAACATTTAAAGAATGTATTAAAAAATAAGGATTTGGAGATAAAACAAATAAAAAGTTAGGTTAGGTTTGAATATTTTTTGATTTTAATCTTTTAAGTCTTTAAATGTATTATTAACTTAAAAATTATACTTAATAATACTTTGTTTGGTTAAAATTAATTGTGATAAATGTTATTTTAATGTTTAATCAAAGAAGTGGTATTCAACTACGTAACCTAAAAAAATTTTTGTTGTTTTGTATTGTATTATTATTATTTCATACAATTCCTCACAAATTTATATGTATAAACAACAATTTCACAGTGATATATAAAAATTTAAAGAATGTATTAAAAATAAGGATGTGGAGTGATAAAATAAATAAAAAGTTAGGTTAGGTTTGAATATTTTTTGATTATAATCTTTTAAGTCTTTAAAAGTATTATTATTTTAAAAATTATACTTAATAATGCTTTATTTGGTTAAAATTAATTGTGATAAATGTAATTTTGGTGTAGAATCAAAGAAAAGGTGTTACGATTAAGAGTGTATCGAACAACTCTGATTCTATTTAAAACTAACCTTAAAGTTTTTTCAATAGTGGAAGTTCTAAATATTTCTTCTTGATCCAAAGAAACGGTACAATAAACATCCCTTTGAACCGAAGTATGGCTCCTGCACTGTAAGTTCTTAGCAGCACCTGTTTGGAAAGAAAAAAATACAAAAACATTAAAATTGAATAATTTTAAACAATTGCAAAACAAACGAACGAAACAATCGCTACACTTAACCTAAATACGAGTGTTTATTAATGAAAATGTCGCCACCTGCGTTCGATTCACTTCTAAAACGTCAATGAATTAGCGTAGAAAGCGTCCTTATAGGTTAGGATTTTGCCCGAACACCAACAACGAAAACCGACGCGAAACGGGTTCCTTCGATACACGAACGGGTTCAAAACTTAACATTTTCGCACGTTTTATTTACCTATTTTTATTTTCAGGCGTTCCTCGGTCCTAACTTGAAGATTGTCGTCCGCCATGTTTCACATATCTTGAAAAAATGAATGGGACGGTGTGACATGAGTCTGGCGCTCCGATCCTCGTCGTCGGCGGCTGGCGTTATACTCGAAACTCGGCGACTTCCCGTGAGAGACGGCAACAACAACAACAACAACAACGAAGCGGACGGGAAAAAGAATATGAAAAAAAAGACCGGACTCTCTTCTCTCTCGAAAGAAAGACGCCGTGTTCTTCGGACCCCCTTTTTTTTGCACTAATCTTTTCGCGTTTCGTACGGAGCACGTGCGGGGTTTCGTTCAATCGAGGCTCGGTTTTATGAATGAACTGGCAGGATGTACGCGTACACACTGCACGCGGCCAACTTGATCGTTACGGAGCGGGCGGCAGCGCGGCGGCGCTCACGACGCATTCGCGGACCTCTATGAATGAAACTGAGGGTCGACAACAACGACGACCACGACGCCTCCGACCCACCGACGGTCCCCATAACGCCTTCTTTAAATAAAAAATACACCTCCTACAAAAAACTAGGTAAGAAAATTATTAAAAATTGAAGACATTCTTATAAAATACTAATGCTTTCTACGAAAAAATAATCACTAAAGTAATTTAATCAAAATTATAATAATGTAACTGTCATTAATGACATTTATATAACCTNGCTCTTTGTGATGTTTGATTTTATTTTTTATTGACCGTAAGTTCTATAAGAATTTTAACTTTTAATTATTAAATTGTAATTAAAATATAATTGTAGATTCGGCTGAAGATGACTAAGTAAAACTAGTCGAAACCGGTTCCGTTAAAATAAATTGAATTTGCAAGATAAGAAGTTATATTTATTTGTTTATTATTTTAATATTTAAACGAAACTTGCAACATGGATATCAACAGTTAAAGTAATTTAATCAAAATTATAATAATGTAACTGTCATTAATGACATTTATATAACCAAACATTTTCAGATGGTATTTATTTTATCAAATTGGACATTTAAAAAATATTTCAAATTTAATTATAATATTATTAAAAATTAAAGAGATTTTCATAAAATTCTAATGATACATAAGACCATAGAGCTTTCTACGAAAAAATAATCACTAAAGTAATTTAATCAAAATTATAATAATGTAACTGTCATTAATGACGTTTATATAACCAAACATTTTCAGATGGTATTTGTCAAATTTGACATTTAAAAGATTTTTTAAATTTAATTTAAAAAATTAAAGATTATTAAGAAGATTATTAAAGAGATTTTCATAAAATTCTAATGATACATAAGAACATAGAGCTTTTTACGAAAACATGATCACTTATGTAATTTACTCAAAATTATAATAATGTAACTGTCATTAATGACATTTATATAACCAAACATTTTCAGATGGTATTTGTCATATTGGACATTTAAAAAATGTTTCAAATTTAACCATTTACGGCCAGGGTTGAAAATAATTTGTAAAGTTTAAAACAAAATTATTATTTATTGCAAAAAATTTGTTAACTAAGACGATTCGGCATATACTTATCAAATCAAAAAACAATGGGTATATGAAAAAGATGATGGTGCGTAAACGCACCTTTGGCTAAACATATGTATATTTACTTGTAGTAATCCTCAAAACATTTTATATGTAAATGTACTTTACACTTGGCACAAATATAAATAGTATGAGTTTTACACAATTTACAACGTCGTTTGACTTTATTAACTTCTTCTTTGACGATATGACCCACGTTATCAATTCGAACTTCTGCAGGAACAGTACCTCCAAATGATGGATTCATATTATTACCTGCATTATCATCTTCACCTTCTTCAGACGTACTGCAATGTATGACTTGAAGTCCAACTGCGTCATTTTATTATTATTTGCCATGTTGAACAATTTCCAACAATTGACGATGGTACTGTTTAGCAAATTTACAAACAACGGCCACCACCACTTTTTGCCTCCTACATATATCCTATAGTTAGAAATTCCATTATCATGCAAGTCTACGCCTCCCATATCTTTGTTATACTCAGAGATTATATTTGGTTGAGGAATCATAACGACTTTCCCCTCTCTTCGGTTGTATCGTCTAGCGTTGGTCAAAGGTTGCACATTAAAGTTATTGCTAATAATGGTAACTACTGAATTTTCGTTCCATCTAGTCAAGGATATTTTTGTCTCTTCGTGAAATACGGAATCATACTTTCTAAAGGACATTTAGCTGTTCGATTACCTCTTATGGTTCCCGTAGCGTAAAAGCCCTTTTCATAATTGTCATAATATATCCGATAATATTGTAGGGATTTTACGATTTTTAGCAAATCAACAACAACTTGGCCTCCTAAGCCAAGTTCTGATTTTTCTCTTGATGTGTTTGCTCCTTCATATGGAGCAAATTGAAATACATATCCATCCGAAGACGACAGGCACCAAACCTTGAACCCGAATTGCACGGTTGTCAGTGACGACACTATATGCTGGCCTGCACGATGTCAAGATGAGCAAGCAATGATATTGAGGGATGTCCAAAACGGTTTAAAGGAGTGGTAAAGATGATATTGAGTGATATCGTTATGATAACTCCATATTAACACAAATATNATCACTAAAGTAATTTAATCAAAATTATAATAATGTAACTGTCATTAATGAGATTCATATAACCAAACATTTTCAGATGGTATTTATCAAATTGGACATTTAAAAAATGTTTCAAATTTAATTATAAAATTATTAAAAATTAAAGAGATTTTCATAAAATACTAATGATACATAAGAACATAGAGCTTTCTACGAAAAACTAATCACTAAAGTAATTTAATCAAAATTATAATAATGTAACTGTCATTAATGACATTTATATAACCAAACATTTTCAGATGGTATTTGTCAAATTTGACATTTAAAAATTTTTTTAAATTTAATTTAAAAAATTAAAGATTATTAAGAAGATTATTACCCAGCAACATTCCTCTTGTATTTCCGTCTATTTTTCGAGCTAATATTTTCGTTATCTAGAAAGATAGCGAAAAACTAAGCACACGGTTGGAAAGCTTGGTCTTTTCTCTATCTTAAACCGAGTTTTCGTCCGCCGATATGTTGATAATAAGAGCAAGAAAAAATAAGAAATGTCGCGCTGCATTCAATTTACCTCAAAATTAAAAAAACTTCACGGCCTTGTGTAGCCGTTACCAGATGGAAATTCAATAAATGGTTTACATATTCGGAAAGAGCTGATCTCGGACAAGGAATTCCAAGTTTTCGTCTGTCAATATCTGTCGGCGACTATAAAAAAACGCTTCTGAAAAGGAGCCTACAGTTGGCAACAAACTTTACTTTTGTATTTCCATCTATGTACTTTTCGAGCGAATATCTATGTTATTTATAACGCTAGCGAAAAACTAAGCACACGGTTGGAAAGCTTGGTCTTTTCTCTATCTTAAATTTTCGTTCGCCGATATGTTGATAATGAGAGCAAGAAAAAATAAGAAACGTCGCGCTGCCACGAATTTAGCGGAATCATGTGATTTCAAGACACAATTTTGAAATAAGTTAAACAATATTGAGTAATGAGTCGAGATGGTGAGAGAGGGCGGAGCGATATTAAAATGATATTGAGAGACCCCATGAGGAATATTAACAGTATATGAATATCATTAAAAATGCAGGGAACAGCAGAGACTAGGTAGAGTGTTGTCAAAGACAATATTGAGAAGCACCAGAAACTATATCAAACTATAATATTTGGGACGATATCGAGAAGTGTCATATATAGAGTGACCCCGGGATTATTGATGGTTGTCAATGACGACACTATATGCTGGCCTGCACGATGTCAAGATGAGCAAGCAATGATATTGAGGGATGTCCAAAACGGTTTAAAGGAGTGGTAAAGATGATATTGAGTGATATCGTTATGATAACTCCATATTAACACAAATATTTATTATTAACCGTCTGTTCTTATGTTTTATTACCCTATACTTTTATAAAACATAAAATTTCGTCCAGAACCCAAAGATACCAAAAAAAGTTTTGCAGATAAAATGCAATGACATTTTATTGTGTGGAAATACTTTGGTCGATAAGCTTTGCCATAAAAGAATAATAAAATTACTCGCAGGAAAAAAATTGTACATTGAAAATTGAAGACCGAAGTTCAATAATCATTGGAATAGGCCTTTACTTCTTTGACAGCTATCTGCTTTTGTGTAAAGCAGAAACGCCGTGATCTCTCTGTCGTAATAAAATAAAATAAGTTGTCAAGCTTTAAATTAAAATTACTTTGCAGTAAAGAGAACATTGCAGAGTCATTCGAAAAAGCCTCTCGAAACAAATCATTGTAGATAGTAATTGTGCAATAATAATTGTATAATAATTTTTACTACAATTTACATCAGCTGTAACGTGTTTTTCAACGTTTGGTAACAGGTATACAGCAAAGAAGACTCTAGGATCTCCAGGAACTGCAAAAGCAGTCGAAAACGTAATCGCAATGCAACTTCTAGCTTAGACGTGATTATGTAAGAACAATTTTGCGTTTAGATTTCAAATTCCATCTATATGAAAAGCAGATGGTTTAGATACTCAACGTAAGATTATGCACAACCAAGAGTCTTTGTTCTTGTTTCAGGTAAATCTGAATGCAATAGTTATAAGCAACAATGACGTTTATTTAAGTTTGAGTAGATCAATAAAGAATGAAACCATCATTCAAAATCCTGGTTCGCCATGCAACTCTTTCACTCTTTCAATGTGACTTCCTGAATAGTTGTTGAACAGAGCCTAACTGTTACAACTATGCATGCGCTGAATAAGAGTCATACTTTGTTAAGGAGTGGCTACATTTAATTCAGTGTTGTAACGACTTTTGGGAATAAGGTGAGGACGTGATTAGACTCTGAGAGATGTCTCCGGATTGTCAGAAATTCATTGAACGTTCTTCTTAGGTGTTTTGGCAATGGTGTTGGCGAGAGGAAATCGAGCTGGTGTGCAAGTGACAAAAATTCAAGCTAATTATTTAGTGAAATTTGTGAAAGCAGTAAATTTGCAGTTAAATAACCATAAGTTTGAAACAGAAAATTTGTTGGAAGTACATCATACATATTAAAAAATGAACGCAAAGAACAAACAAAATGCTCGTTTTGCTATTAAAGAACAATCCATACAACCATGGGAATAAGTCGCTAAGCCGACAGAATGGTTTTAAAGAATGAATTTGTATTACATCAAAGTTTTATGATTTATTAATGTAATTTGTTCATATTTTATCACCCTCAACTTGTTCATGAAGTTAGTGTTATTGATTAATTAACATGGGGATGAAGTTTCGCCAATAAATGATCGGGAGATGCGATGATAACC